TGAAATTTAAACTCCAAAAACTTACTCAAGGCAACAAAGGGGTTGAGGAGTATTTCAAAGAAATGGACATGCTCATGATTCAAGCATAGATTGAAGAAGATGAAGAGGTAACTATGGCCCGATTTATTGGTGGTTTGAATATTGATATATGTGATATTGTTGAGTTGCAGGAGTTTGTTGATATGGAGGATTTACTTCATAAAGCAATTCGAGTGGAGCAACAACTTAAAAGAAAAGAAGTGACTAAGAAGAGTTCTACCAACTTTGGATTTTCAAGTTGGAAGGACAAAGGCAAAAAAGATGGGACTGTTACTTCTAATAGTTCCACACCTATTCCTACAAAGACTCATTCAAAATATGAAGAACAACCCTCTAAAAAAAGTAGAGATGTGAAGTGTTTCAAGTGTCAAGGCCTAGGACACTATGCTTATGAGTGCCCTAACACAAAGACCATGATTCTTAGAGAGGGAGAATATATAAGTGAATCTGAGGTTGAAGAGGGAGAAAAGAGTGAAGACACTGAGGAGGAGGAAGAGATTCCAAAGGGAGATTTATTGATGATTAGGCGATTACTTGATAGTCAATTGAAACCTATGGAAGAAAACCAAAGAAAAAAATATTTTTCACACTAGATGTTTAATCAATGACAAGGTGTGCATGATGATCATAGATGGAGGTAGTTGCACCAATGTGACTAGTGCTAGATTAGTATCAAAGCTAAATTTAGCTACCAAACCACATCCTAGGCCATATAAACTCCAATGGCTTAGTAAGGATGGAGAGGCGCAAGTGAGACAACAAGTTGAAGTGGACATGTCCATTGGAAAATACAATGATAAGGTGCTTTGTGATATTATTCCTATGAAAGTCAGTCATTTACTTTTGGGGAGACCATGACAATTTGATAAAAGGGTTAATCGTAATGGGTTCACCAACAAGATTTTTTTCATACACCAAGACAAGAAGATTGTGCTCAAACCTTTGAGTCCACAAGAAGTATGTGAAGATAAAAAGAAAATGAAAGAAAAACTTATTCAAGAAAAGAGAGAGAGAGAAAGCGTTAGTGAAATACTTGAGAGGAAAAAAAGTGATCAAAAGATGAGTGAAACACTTGAAGTGAAACAGAGCTATTTAGCCATAAAAAGTGAGTATAATGTTTGTTCTACATTTAATTTGTCAGACTTATCTCTTTTTAATGTAGATGATGAATCCGATTTGAGGACAAATCCTTTTCAAGAGGGAGAGAATGATGTGAACATGACCTATGATAAGGGCTAGAGCAAGGAAAACAAAGGAAGCTCTTCAACAAGTATTGTTGGTTGACCAAATTGTGTTTTGGATTAATCAATTAATGGACTTTAGTTTGATTTTGTTTTAAGTTGTAATAAGGGCCCAATTGAAAATTTAGTCATCAGCCTTTGGGAGATCAAGGGGTGCATAGCTGATTGACTTTTGGTTGCCACAGTTTCAGATACAATCAGTCATTAAGTAGTTTCAATTCCTAGGTTAATGCATCATTATTAGCCTTTATTTGTTTCCATTAAATAGTTTTCAATTCATAGATTAATGAGTTATTATTAGTATTTATTTTCTTTTATTGAGTCTTTTGTAATTCTGATGGCAACGCTTCTATATCAGCTGAACCATTCTTATCAAGAAATAACAAGTGAAATTTTATTCAGAAATATTAGAGTTTATCTCTTTTATCTTAGTGAGGTGATTCTCCTAAATTCTTAAGTGATTCAAGAATATTTGGCTGTATCAAAGGACTTTCACATCCTTTGTGTGTTGCCTTCCTTGGAAAGAGTGATTCTTTCCTTCCACCTTCTTTCTAATTCCTAAATTTCTTACAAGGTTTTAATCCTAAAGATCCTAAATTACCCCTTGTGATTCATATCATAAGGCCATTAATACTGAAATTGATTCAGAAAAATAATAGTTGGACTTTGGTAGATTTACCTAAAGGAACAAAACCTATTAGTTGTAAGTGGATATTTAAGAAAAAGTATCATTATGTTTTGATGGATCCATAGATAAATATAAGGCAAAATTAGTAGTAAAGAGTTTTACTAAAAAATCTAACATTGATTATTTTGACATCTTTGCCCCTGTGACTAGGATTTCCTCTATTCAAGTTTTGTTAGCTCTAGCAAATATCCATAAACTAGTTATACACCAAATGGATGTTAAGACAACCTTTTTGAATGATGAATTAGATGAGTAAATTTATATGACTCAACCTGAAGGGTGTGTTGTTCCATGTCAAGAGAACAAAATGTGCAAACTTTTAAAATCCTTATATGGATTAAAACAAGCACCAAAACAATGACACGAAAAAATTGATAATGTTATACTTTGTAATGACTTTTCAACTAATGATGTTGATAAAAATGTGTACTCTAAATTTGAGAGTGGTGAATGTGTCATTATATGTTTATAGGTAGATGATATGCTAATATTTGGTACATGCATTGACATTGTCTCTAGAACTAAGTTGTTTATGGGATTTAAATTTTAAATGAAAGATATGGGTGATGCCAATGTGATTTTGGGAGTTAAAATCATAAGGAAGGGCAATAATATTTTTCTATCCCAAGAACAGTATATTGAGAAACTTCTTAGGAAGTTTGAGTGTTATAACGTCAAACCAGTGAATACCCCTTATGATGCTAACTCTAAATTAAAGAAAAATAGAAAAGACTCAATCTCTCAACCTCAGTATGCCCAAGTAATTGGGAGCTTACTGCATTTAATGAGCTTTTCTAAACCTGACATTGCTTATGCAGTAGGTAGACTAGGTAGGCACACTCAATGTCCTAATCAATAACATTAGAATGCACTTTCAAGACTTAAGATGTTCAATGAATTATGACATTGAATATAATAGATTTTTCACTGTACTAGAAAGGTACAGTGATGCTAACTGGATCTCTGATTCAGATGAGACAAAATCCACTAGTGGCTATGTATTCACACTCGGGGGTGGTGCAATTACATGGAAATCAGTCAGACAAACAATTATTGCAAGATCAACAATGGAATCTGAATTTGTTGCTCTCGAAATGGTTGGTAGTAAAGTTGGGTGGTTGAAAAACTTCTTAGTAAACACTGTGATTGTCAATTGGCAATAACTATAGCAAAAAATAAGAACTACAATGGAAAAAACAGACATATACAGTTTAGACATAATTTAGTGAAGTAGCTGCTAAAGAATGAAACAATTTCCATTGACTATGTAAGGTCAGAACGGAATGTAGCAGATCCTCTGACAAAACCCTTAGCGAGAAATATGATTTTAGAAACATCAAGGGGAATGAGACTTAAGCAACTTGCAAACAAACAGGTGATGGTAACCCAATCTTTGTGATTGGAGATCCCATGAATAAGGTTCATATGGGTAAAAACAAGTCACTTGTTAGTTTTGCTAGCACTAAAATTGATTAAAATCAATTATGTCCATTCCTATGGTGTATATGTGAAAATGCTAGATACTGCATCATTGATAGGTTAAACTTTGTAATTAAAATTTTATGCGGTGTACGAATTTTAGTCTAAACAAAGTTTTGAACGATTTCATATCCCTTAAGGGTGGTGTATGATTTGCAGCATACGCTTGATGAAGTCACCTATATGAGTGTTGAGTGGGGTCGCTTGTATGAGATCTTTGCAAGATTTCTAAAACACTTATGAATATTGGGTACGCGCATGGCCTAGTCACAACGATAACAACAAGAATTGTGGGGGTGTATTGTGGTTATTAAAACCGCTAACACATATTAAGTGTTTTGGTTCATATAACTTGCTACACCAACTACACTGTGTGTTAATTTTTTAGTCTAAGACTGGTTTATATAGCTTGCTATACCAGCTCTGATGCATTACATCTTATATGAGACCCATAATTTTTTTCTTTTATTCTTTTATCTCATTCTTTTGTTTTGAAATATGTGGGGATTGATGTAAATTAAAGGATATTGCAAAATAGAGAACATGTTCTCACACTTTGCAGAAGACCGTTTCAGAGAACGTGTTCTCACACGTTTGCTTTTAGAGAATGTTGCATAAGACTGTTTCAGAGAACGTGTTCTCACACATGTTGCAGAAGACTATTTCAGAGAACGTTACAAAAAATCATTTCAGAGAACGTGTTCTCACACTTTTCAGAGAACGTTACAGATAACGTTACAGACCCACTACCAAGTCTTCCTATAACTGCTACAGACTTTCTCCTATAAATAGAGACCACTTTACACTCTTCAAAATACATTTCTCCCATCTACCTTTCTCTGATATTTTTTCTGTTATCCTGGGTTAAGTTTCTGGTTAGTTTTTGAGATCCTTGAATAGTTCGAGAAGTTCCTGAAGGACCTGCGCAATACACCGCAGACAATGATTATACACGTCTCAGGAATAAGGTTTGTTCGTATCTATAAGTTTTTTCAACAATTATAACAAAGTGTGAATACTAAACTAAAACACACATAAAAAAAACTCTTAATCGACATCTAACCCCACCTTTTTTAACAAAATGAAATTTAAAGGTCATATTATAATTATAATCCTACCTCATCTCCCTTTAACATAAAAAAAAAAGGCATTCCAATTAGTTATATATAAAAGAAAAATTAATAACATTTATCATTCAGTGTCTTGTTCCAACATCTAAAACATTGGCAATATGTCTTCTTCGATGTATATTAAGTTTGAAAATTAAAAGCCCATGCCCCATACTATACTGTATACGGCAGCGTTTGGCTAGCTTAAAAAAATTGAAATCCAAAATATCTAGCCAAGTATTCTGCCAATGGAAGGGTGTGGGACGCTGATTCTTCACCTTATCCAACCCTGTATATCTCCAACTAAACCCCTGCAACATAACCTCCTAAACCCTCTCTCGTCTATGGGGTCAAAGCTTATACACAAACCCTTGAATTAACCATCTTAATGTTTGTAATTCACCTTCTCCAATCAGCATTTCCCAACACAGTCGCTCTCCGCCAATGGAACTCTCTTCCTCTTTTTTACTCTCTCCAAAGGCATGCAACTACTCTTTCTCATCCTCCCTCTCTCCGTTCCCGATTCACCTTTTCATCAGAAACTCCAAATCCCGAACCCCCTCTTTTCGAATTCTCGCGGTGGCTTTAGAGCCGCAACAGGACTTCCCCGGGAACAGTCCCCAGCGACTTCTCAAGGAACTCGCGGCACGCAAAAAAGCGATTTCCCTGAAGAAGGGACCCCCAAGAAGGTTCATTCTAAGGCCCCCAATAGACGATAACAAATTAGCGGAAAGGTTTCTCAACAGCCCGCAACTCTCTCTCAAATCGTTCCCTTTATTGAGTTCGTGCTTGCCCTCGTCGCGGCTCAACAATGCGGATAGGTTGTGGATTGACGAGTACTTGCTCGAAGCGAAGCAGGCTCTGGGGTACTCTCTCGAGCCCTCGGAAACTCTTGGAGACGATAACCCCGCGAAGCAGTTCGACACGTTGCTGTACTTGGCGTTTCAGCACCCGTCGTGCGAGAGAACTAAGGCGCGGCACGTGCGGTCGGGGCATTCGAGGTTGTCTTTTCTGGGACAGTACGTGCTAGAGTTAGCGCTGGCTGAGCTTTTCTTGCAGAGGTATCCGAGGGAGTCGCCGGGTCCAATGAGGGAGAGAGTGTTTGGGTTGATAGGGAAGAGAAACTTGGATCAGTGGATTAAAGCCGCAAGCTTGCAGAATTTGATATTCACGTATGATGATATGGATAAGATAAGGAAGAGGGAAAGGGACGGTCCTGTGAAGTAAGTTCTAACTTTTAGTCTCCTGTGATATGGTGTTGACTCACTGGATAACATGTTTCTCTTTAAGTTCGGGATTTGTTTTTCAAAATATGGTAGTGCAATTGTGCTAGTAATACTAAATGCTAATGAGTTTAAATGTCTATATACCTCCAATTTTAAACTGTCAATCAATTAGGCATTATGTTTTGTATGATTAGTTAAGATAGTTATTAGAAAAATCAACAAACTTACTACAATGATGGTTTGTGATTGAATGACAATGTAAAAATTATTTACATTGTCATTACGTATAATATATTTTCTTAATACTAAATACTCACTGCCAAACTGGAAATTGTGTTATTGCTTTTAAGAACTATGCGCCCATGTGGAATTATGTTTACTTTCTATATGTCCAAATTTGGCTATGAAATAAAGATAGAAAATGAAAATATGGTTGGTCTATGAGCATTTTCACGTGACTGGTCAAACTGGGTTGGTCTATTAGCTTAAGAGTTGAGATGCGTGTTTCTTCTTAGGAATTATGGTTATACTGTTATTTGTTTTTGAGTTGGTTAATACGACCTTCTGTTTTCTTCTCACGATATTATTTTGAGTGATGTTTAAAAATACAATGTGTTGTATTGTATGTGCTTGGGATGCTGAAGAATGGAGAATTTGGATTTGAAATTATGTTGATGTTGTATTGGCTTCAAACAGAATGACTGACTGAAATTTGAAGTGACTTAAATCCTGGGACACTTAGATGCCATCTCTTTTTCAAGTTGAAGTTGTTCAATAGTTATTGAATAAAAAATAATAAGCTGCTTTAGCTATTAGCAGTCTAAAAGGATCTAGGAAAGAGAAGGCAAAAATTTGAAAATTTAAGCCTTCTTCGTTTACTGTTTTCAAAAACAGATTTCTGCTTTCTGTAATTAAAAAATTAAAGAAACTTATTTGGTGGTCGAAAAGAGAGATGGGCTCATGCTTATGGCTCCAACATTTTAGAGGAATTCACACGTGCAGTCTCAGAACTAGAATGCTACTTTTGATTTATACTACAACGAGAAGGGGCTTGTAATGTGTGTCACATTTCTGAGACAAGATAACTCCATACAATTACAAAGAGCCGGGGATAGTAATGTGTGTCACAGTTCCTCAATTGCATACCACTTTTCAGCTGCACGGCTTTTGTAGTTCTCTGAACTCCATTGCCTGAACCTTCAAAATCAACTCTAGGTTAACAGGTGGATTCACGACAAAGAGAACACTATTGAATAGAGCTGTTTTGAAAATATAAGAGGATGAAAAAGCATCTCCGGTTGTTTCTGGTTTTCAAAACTTTGTTTTGGAAATATTATGTCAAAACTTTGGCTTTTTATTGCTTACAGTTATTAATGTATGGCAGAACCCTTTTAATTAATGAAGTTGGTCTCTGTCCAATCTATTTCTGAAATGGATTGCTCACTGCATTTTAACATTTGTTATTCTTTGGCAGGTCAGTATTTTGGGCTTTGTTTGGGGCTATCTATCTTTGTTTTGGTATGCCAGAAGTTTATCGTGTTCTTTTTGAAGTCTTTGGAATGGATCCAGATGCTGGGGATTGCCAGCCTAGACTGCGTAGACAACTTGAAGATGTGGATTATGTATCTGCTGAGTTTGAAGGCAAGCTAAGCTGGCAAGATATTGTTGCATATAAGGCAAGCAGCTAAAGTGTTGTTTATTTAATTGTTTTTTTTTTCCTAAAAGAAGTTAGTGCACATTCATCTATTTTTCATGCTCATAAACCTAATTCCTCTATTTCCTTTAGAAATTCATCTACGATAGAATATTTTATTTTTAAATGATGACACAGAAATGATGTTTACTATTCTTCATTCAGCCTCCTGCAGATGCTCTGTTTGAACAGCCAAGGCTATTTAGAGCTTGTGTTCCCCCAGGAATGCATCGGTTTAGGGGCAATATATGGGATTATGATACCAGACCCCATGTTATGAAAACACTTGGATATCCGTTAGAAATGACAGACAGAATCCCAGAAATTACTGAAGCCAGGAACATAGAGCTGGGACTTGGATTGCAGGTAGGTCTTCTGTTGTCTTCAATTTTACTTTTCCTTTTTCTGTATGAACATATCAAAAGCACAAATCTGGCTTGACTTTCAAGGGAAGGGCAGTAGGGCTTGCGTTGTGTCTCTGCAAAAGTCTTACCTTGAATATTTAGAGATACTTTCAAGTTTTTTATGTGGAAATTTGGAAGGTAAAGTTAGAAGAAGCTGAAATATTGAGACTGGCGAGTCGCCAGTGGCGACACTTCTGATATTTAATTATTCTTGCTCTAGAAAAAATTATTTTTACCTGCTTTATGTATTGTTTTACTTTATTCTGCTCATCACTGCATTGTTCACTTCATAAGAACAAATTCTTTCCTTTAAAACCACCCAAATACTACGCACATTAAGAGTTGAGGTCGGAAATAGTCGGTGTATTTGGTTATTCAGTCAATTTGGTTCGTAGACCCTACTGTGGAAGATGCAAGTCGGTGGTCATAAGTTTGAAAGTTCCCGACTTTTGTTGATAAGTTCTGATGTTGAGTGTCTTATCTAATTGCAGCTTTGTTACATGCATCCATCGAAGTACAAATTTGAGCATCCTCGATTTTGCTACGAGAGATTAGAATACATTGGCCAAAAGATACAGGTACTATTCTGTCTGCTGTCCAAATGATGATTTGACTGAAGTTCTGGGAAGACTAGTTTAATTTCATTAATTTGCGATGTATCATACTTTATTACTCAAGCTCAATTTACAATGTAATTATTTCTTAATCACTGATTGGATAATGTATAATTTTTGATATTATTATTTATCATTTTCTTAAGGATTTGGTGATGGCTGAAAGATTATTGACGAAGCATCTGGATGCTCCGGGGTTGTGGCTACAACAGAGGCACCGTGGTCTTCTTATGAATAAGTATTGTGGAAGATATTTGAGGGCCAAACATCTCCACCGGTATATTATATTTGACGAGAAGATTCAAGACACGTATGAGAATAACCGGAGAAAGAGAAACCCAGCCACAACAGCTGTTCAACAAGCTCTTCATGGCCTTTCCTATCTTGTTTACGGGAAACGTGACGTGAGGCGCCTCATGTTTGAGTTTTTTGATTTTGAGCAGATTCAACCTAAAGAAGTAGTCTAGATATGGGACAATATTGACAACGATTAAAAAACTTACCTTTTCCTTTTCTATTCCTTTGATTCGAGTGTTTTTTTTTTTTTTTTTTTCACGTTATGATTTGATCATCTAGTTGTAAGTGAAATAGCAGCTGAAGATTCTCCTGGAGAAGTAGAGCTGGTGTACATAATAGCTGTATTTATTTTCTGGATCCTGGACATGAGGATACATGCAAGATGTTCCAACACTTTATATATTATATTTAAGGAAAAGTGTTTAGTTTAGATTAAGATAATCAAACACAAATACGCGCACTATCTAATAGTGTGATCATAGGGATAATTGCATGTCTTGTATATTATAAAGTTGAAAAATCATGTAAATGGGGTATCTTCACCCTAAAAAACAACGAATGTGAATACCTCAATATTATAACATAGTCCCGGGTGATTACTGGGCCTATAATTATTCTCAGGATGGAGGCCCACTCATAATCTGACTTCGCTAGTTTCACTTGACGTTTGGAAGGATAGAGGCTCGTTTTTATATAGGATGATGTCTTGAGAATTATGGCAATTGACTATGTTTGGTGTATTGTAAAATTGTTTAGAATTTTTATATATTTTATTGAAAAATAAAAATTAACATGATATTTGCATCATAAATCTTAGTTATTTATTATTTTAAATAATTTAATAAAAATAACACTGTATTTTTTGTCACAATATTTTTTTTCGTTTACAATTCTCATATTAACATGATAACACACAATCTTGTTCACGTTCTCGTATTAACATGATAACACTCAATCTTGTAGGGAACGTAGCAAAACATTTTTCCTTAAAATAAAAATTTTTGGAACATAAATGTTGAGAATATATAAAAGTTTTCTTTTACTAAATTTGAACACAATTATCAAAAGAATACCAGTGAACTTAAAAATATATAAGACAATTATTTTTGCTATCTTCCAATTAACTGAGATGTTATTACTAGTAATTTTTTAATTCTTAATATTAAATTCCATCCTGTGTCCAATAACCACCTAAAATGGACTCCTCCACACAAAGTTGACCATTGGCATGGTAGTCAATAGGTGTGTGATCACACTGGGACTCCCTTAACACGTCACTCATACACCTGTAAACACCAACAACCTTGTCGTTCCTTTGTCATTGGAGATGGGTACATTGGTCAGCCCAATTGGCATAGGCATGCACATAAAAGGGCCGTGTTAGAATAACCCACAAAATAAATGGGTCAGCACAATGACTTATCCACACCAAAATAGCAAGACACAAACATGTTGAAGGTTTTTGAAATAACTCCATCCTAAAAAAAGTAAAGAATCTTTCAGAGTGATTCTAACTGAGTTGCTAACAGATATTTTTTGAGACAAGTCAGTAATTGCCACGTCGATAGATTCGTAGGGTAGACCCACAGGTTTTGGTCCAAGCAAAATACCTTGGTAGGCTATATATTCTAAGCGAACAGAGGACCAAACGCAGCTTTATTACCTTCCTTGCGAAGCGTCGATAGGCAGAGGATGATATGGGCCCATGAGATGCGCACAAATAATCACTACTGCTCCGCTACTTGCTGCATAGGCTAGGCTAGTGCGCACCCCTGCCTTCAACCTCTTACCGTGCGCATCTTCCAATCTTTTAAAGGAAACCCCATCGCCATTGTCGCACCAAAACCGTTTGCCACAGACTCGGGATCTCAGATTCCACGCGCCAAATCATGTCCAAGGCGCGCGTCTACACCGATGTCAATGTTCTTCGTCCCAAAGAGTATTGGGATTACGAGTCCCTCACCCTTCAATGGGGGTAATGTTCCGAACCCTAATTCTTATGCTCTTGTTTCTGATCCCCAAAGGGAACAATCCACCGCGAAGGGGATTTGATTGTGTGATCTTAGAGTGTGTACATGGTTTCTCAGCTGCTGTTTGTTTTTTTGCATTGTTCCCGTTCCAATGGCTTCAGCAATTGCATATAGTCTTTTATATTTACTAACTGATGGATAAGGAATTATGCCGTTTGTGTTGCACTGATATGATTTGATTGGATCTCATGCTTTTGCTTAGCTTTTGTGTTGTAGGACCCGACACAGAAGCCCGTCCATAAGCACCTTGTACTGAAGTGTTGGTTGATCGAATTTGTGCTCTGTATTCTTAATATAACTTATACATTTCCCTAAAAAAACATCACTGAGCGAGTATTTGTTGCATCTTTCTTGATTTAATTTTGTTTAAATGGAATGGGTGATATCAGGACCCTTTGATGATTTCGTGCCTATCCTTGACCAATTTCTTACATTTTTATTTTCAATAATATTTTTATAAATGTGCCATATTATTTTTGTTAGTGATCAAGATGATTACGAGGTTGTGCGAAAAGTGGGCAGAGGGAAATATAGTGAAGTTTTTGAAGGCATAAATGTTAATAGCAATGAGCGCTGTATAATCAAGATTCTGAAACCTGTCAAGAAAAAAAAGGTACTCCTTCATTAGTTTGTCCTACTTTTATCCTGGGTGCCTGCACATAATTTCACGCACACTTTATCAGAACTATTATCCTGCATCTGCTATATAATACACATGTTTTTAACAAATTTCACGCACACTCAAATATTTTTGTGAGGTCACGATTGGTATTGAGCAATCATTTTCAAAATATAGTGAAACCTTAAAATTCATTATCAGATGTTAAACATGACATACTATTGTCATTTTTTAATATCAAGAATATAAATGTATGGGATAACACTTCTATGTTTCTATCAATAAATAAATAGAAGGCCTTATGACATGATATGCAACATTTGTATGATAATCGTTAGTTATGTAGCAAGTCAGCAGAGACCACCGTATAGGGTTTTAGGTGACAATTGGAGCTTCAAACTTGATGAATTTTCCAGAGGCTAGTGCCGTTGTAAAATATCCAGAGGAGTGGTTAAGGCAGGTCTCAACTTATTCTTTACACAGTTACACACATCAATGCAAGTGAAAGACACTATTAAACCATTAAGTATATTTTAACTAGATCATTTTATCGCAAAATTCACCATTGGATAGAAAAGTCTTATCAGGAATTCTATGCTAAAAATTCTGTCTATAGAAAGTTATTGAGTGGCAATCAAGCTTTTACACGGGTGTAAGTTGATTCCTCCTATATATATGAATGACGTGGGTCTGCTGCTCCCTTTATATGGTTCTCCAAATTCCATTTTTGTGAATTAGTAGGATTACGTTCTCCAAACCAGTTGTCCGCCTTATGATATAGTTGGAATTAATCATATACTTGTAAGCTCTTTTTCATTTTTTTCTGGATCAGCCAATGTTAGTTGTTAATATGTTTAGTTTTTCAAATTCAATTGATATTTTTTCCTTACTTTGTGAGTTCTTCAACATCATTTTGCAGATTAAAAGAGAGATAAAAATACTTCAGAATATTTGTGGAGGACCAAATATTGTCAAGCTTCTTGATATTGTCAGAGATCAACATTCCAAAACTCCCAGTTTGATATTTGAGTATGTCAACAGCACAGATTTTAAAGTTTTGTATCCAACCTTGACTGATTATGACATACGCTATTACATATATGAGCTCCTTAAGGTAATCTTTTCATTCAATCTCTTGTATTATACTTGGTATTGGCATTCTTTATGTCCTCTCCCTAATCAACATATTCTTTTCCCTTTAACTAAATATTATTGTCATACTTAAAGACTCCATAGATAACTACAATGTTAATGTGTATGAGCTCTATAGTCAATTGCATGTGTACCCAGAAAATTACTATTAATTATTTGAACAGATATGTAATGAAACCTTTTCTTGTTTCCTGAATGCTTTAGTGTTGAATTGCAGGCCCTGGATTACTGCCATTCTCAAGGGATTATGCACAGGGATGTCAAGCCTCATAATGTTATGATTGATCATGAGTTACGAAAACTTCGCTTGATAGATTGGGGTCTTGCTGAATTTTATCATCCTGGAAAGGAATATAACGTTCGTGTGGCTTCAAGGTACTGTCCTCTGACCAATAAATCACAGTTTCAAAGAACAGATGCGAGATTGAAATGAATAAATAAGTGTACTGGTATTTGACATAAATTAAAACCAATATGACCCGAGTCAATATAATTTTTTCAGAATGGACAAACTGATGGAAATTTGTCTAAATCGTTTGTGTGGCACGTTTGGTGCAACCATAAAAGTAATTCTGAAATTGTTGAAGCATGTAGCATAATGGCAATGCAGGGTAGACCTGCTTAGGTCCAGCCCGCATAATCCCGCACGGGCCACGGGATGGGTTGGTTTGCATAACTCTTATATCTTTTTAAATTAAAGTAATTATGTTAATTTTTTTGAAGTTTTTATATTTAATTAGGATATTGTGAATTACTACCTATCTTATTATTATACCATTTAAGTATTCAATTAGTTTTATGGTTCATCTATCTATATGTCAAGTGAAAAGAGATTTATACACAAAAATATAAAGTATTGAAATGTGATAATACTATGTGCGTACAATTGTATTTGTTTGTATTTTCTTGTGTAGTATAGGATATTATTTTCCATTATTTTTTTATATATGCCAGACAAACTAGTCCACAAATCTCATGCGGACCAGCCTGCTTTGTTCATTTTTTGTGGGTCAAAAGTGGAGCGGGCCGTAACAAGGTTGGCTAGCCTGCATTGCCACCTAATTGAACTATGAATCTTGGAAGGGGGATTTGGTAAATTGAGATGTGACCATTCTTGCTATTAAACATAGTGGGACTTAAAACTTGCAAAAGTGCTATATGGTATGTTACTTTCACCAATATATGCACGATAAACGTTACATAAAAATCCCAAATTATTTTATGGTCCTTTTCCTAAGCTTTAATTCTGAAGTTTTATAGCTTCTTGTAACAGACTGTTCTACAATCTTTGCTAAGTTAAATTTGCCGAGGGTTTAATGTGATGTGAGTCTGCTGGTTTTCTGGCTCACTCCTTTAACTTCATTTCTAATGCTCTTAATATGCATATCACAGTTCCCTTTTTTTGATTTAATTTTCACTTATAATTTATTTTTGAATAATCATTGTTAGGTTGAAACGTGACAAGAAAAAATGACTATCTAAATTTTCCTAGCTTATATTTTATGATTGTAAAGCAACGGTAACCTGTGGTTTCGTTTTAAATGTCACTGACCAAACACAATTGCCATGTGTGTTATGCTTTTGTTACTCAGATACTTTAAGGGGCCTGAACTTCTAGTTGATTTGCAAGACTATGACTACTCATTAGACATGTGGAGCCTTGGCTGCATGTTTGCTGGAATGGTGTGATTTATAACCACAAATAACTGGTTATATATGGCATACTCTTGACATCATTTGCGCAGATGGTCTAAATTTGAAAATACATGATTAAAAATATGTAATTCTTGTTATGATTTTTTCATTGTGCTTATGCAGATATTTCGCAAAGAACCTTTCTTTTATGGCCATGACAACCATGATCAGCTTGTCAAAATAGCTAAGGTAACATTCATCGCGGTTTGCAATTATTTATAAATGTTTGGTACACAGTAATTTCATGTTTTAATTGTACACTATGATTTATTGTGGGTCCTCAAAGTATAACATCATTGACCATTGTTTAGCATCTTTAAAATAATAATATTAATTTGTAACCAAGTATTTCCTCCTAACAAGCCTTTGTAGATATACTTTTCTTTATAAAGTTTATGTTATCGTTATTATTTTTAAGTTATTGTTAGTAATTATTAGTGACATGTAGGTGCTTGGGACTGATGAACTGAATGCGTATCTTAATAAGTATCATCTGGAGCTTGATCCTCAACTTGATGCACTTGTTGGAAGGTATCATCTTACATTTCATTTTAACATATTTCACAGAAAAATTGATTTATTTATTATCAACTGTTTATCACAGGAGTGTAACATTTCATCATTTTCCTCTTCAAGCTTTCCTTAGAAGTTTGCTGCTTTTATTTGGACTTTATTTTCACATGGTAGATAAATGAAGTAGTATTACTGACTAAACACATTTTATTATGTGATGCTATTTTCTGTTGCAGACACAGCCGAAAGCCCTGGTCTAAATTTATCAATGCAGATAATCAGCATCTTGTGTCTCCCGAGGTGGCTCTTTCAGTTTTCCTGTTTGGTAACCTTTCCTTTAGTATGGACTGCTTCTAACAACTATTGTATGGCATGTAGGCAATTGATTTTCTTGATAAGCTTCTTCGATATGATCACCAGGACAGGCTAACAGCTAGAGAAGCAATGGTAGTGATAAAGAGCTCATTAATTTTGTAGTTTTTTTTTTTTTTTAATTTGCGGTAATATAGTAACTTCTGTTGCATTAACCTTAAAATAAATAATTAGTTTATTTATTTTGAAGTTGCGTGCACTAACTTTTTTATGTCTTTTTTGGTGTTTGCCTCCGCAGGCACATCCCTATTTCTCTCAGGTAAGGGCAGCAGAAAGTAGCAGAATGAGGACACAGTAACTTTTTATCACTTATGGGATCCATAAACTTGAGTTAATATATTTGGAAACCTTTCGCTACCTTCTGTTTATTCTAGAGAGTATTTTTACCGTGGTGTATCCATATTATGTTCTTTCAGTTAAGGAATAATGCTACTGCCCGATATTGAAAATTTAAAGTTATACAATATTTAAATCACCTGGGTTGTTAGATTTGAAAAAAAAAAAACGTGTTCTATTTTTATTTTAATTATATAATGTCATTAATTTTACTTTATTCTTCATTTTAAATATTTTCATAGAGAATGGTGAAATAAATAATAAAAAAACTTCTCAAGCCACGTTATTCTACTGTAGGATTGTTGGACTCCGATGATATATAGCAGCAAATGCCTTTCCAAATCTATTTTTCTTGATAAATTAGTTCCAACAATATGTAGCTCAAATGAATTGGCTTTGAGGCTCATCCGGATATGTATTGGTTTAAGTGTGTAGTTGGTTTAGAGTTAGATACAAGTCATTAACTCGTGATCAAAATTTATGAATTAATTCATATATTAATTCATAGTATTAAGTACTATATGAGGTACTTAATACTATAAGTACCTCATATAGTACCTGTGATATATTAATCCCTCAAGTATTACATTTCATTTAAGTTCGGGTGATTAAATTAAAATATATAAATGGAGAATAATTTTTACCTTAAAAGTTTATTAATAAAATTGAATTTGGTTTATTTCCTTATTCTAAATGCTAGACAATTAATATCATACTTGAACAAGTTCTTTATCCTCTTATCTTATACTGCAAACACTAACTTCGTAAAATGACTACCAGTGTTTTAAAGTCCCGGACATGCGTCGAACTACTTTAAAGTCTTGTTACCTTGTAGAAATCAAAATCAATCTTCATGCATTCCGTTCACTGATTGAACTATCGTACTTGTTAGGGAATAATTCGGATAGATAAATCCACTTGGCAGAACGGGAAAGACCTAGATGATCCTCTACATTTATTATAAAAATTCCAGACTCTGTAAGCCAGAATGACTGATAGTCAAATAATTCCCTGATAAGATTAGAACTTAAGTTTATGTAACCCTTTAATATTAACAAGAACATTCATTAAACAGTTACAACTAGACAGAAAGAGAAAGCATCACAGTTTTTTGCCCTGTCATGAAGAGAAAATTATAATAAAACACCCTGCTCTCCCTATCTCTCATAATTCCGAAGCACAAACACAGAAAGATATATTTAATATATGAAAAGAAAAATCGAGGAGATCTGTGAATAGGTTTAAGGACGAGGCCATGATGACATCAGGTTTTCTCCACTTGCACTATCCAATATGTTCACTTTTTCAGGTGAGGAAAACAGGCATAAACATCAGATTTAGGGTGTTTGGCTTCAGCATGCTCCCTACACTTCACTTCCGAAGTGGTGCACATAAATGTTTGCATGCACACCTTGCACTGCAATCATCAATCAATACATTATTGATGATCAGTAAAAAATTCTAACTCTACAGCAATCACTACAGTAATGCATATATTTCAATAATATTACTAGATAATATAAGTTAAAACATGGCATGAATGTACAAAAAGTGTATATATGACATATTGTCATACCAAATTAAAAATAAACAAAGTACATTAGACTGACTAGATCATGTACTGCAAGGTAACACAAAGGAGATAACATCTTCCCATGCCCCAAAATAGCACATTTGATGCAGATAAAATCACACTTAACAAAATTTCAAACCAATGTTTTCCATATTCCTCTTTTCTGTGTTGTAATTTCAGTTTTGCTCCAATTAGTTTTAATATACTGAAATATTTGAAGTTCAGAAAAACAAAGTTCATGGATCTGAGAGAATAGGCTATTCCTAGGCCTTGTATGAACCTGAATTCCATTTTTACTGATTTCTGGTACAGCATTATAATGAAAGCATAATATATTTTCTATTGATCAGGGAAGGTAAATGCAGAAGATACTCTATAACAAAGGATGAACGGCAAACATTAAATGGACTATTTTAGCCATAACAGAAATGCTGTCGACATTAGCAAATTTATACAGCAATCAACATCTGAAACAATGGAATAAACCATCAATTTAGTCTCGATTTCCTAAGTAATGACTATAGAAATAAAACTGTATAAGTAATTCTGCAAGAACGGTTAAGTATTACTAGGCCTTGTATGAAACTTGAATTCGATTTTCATTGGCTCTGCCACAATGTTATAATAAAATTAGACCATCTTTTGCATTAAAGGGAACGTAAATGCAGATGATATCCCAGACCAAAGGGTGAATGGCAAATACTAAATCAATAACCCTTTTAGCCGTAACAGAAATGCTGCCAGTATAAGCAAATTTATACAGAATAATGGAATAAATATAATGTGGTCCCCAACATATTACTCTTTTCCTTTGTAGTCCCTAGAGTAATAAAAACATAGAAATAATTCTCCAAGTATTGAATATCCATCAGTTTTTTTTAAGTTGGTATATTTTACTAATTAGCATCAATTTTAATAATTCATATATTACTTCATCCATATTCTATTTTAGGGATCATTAAGGAGAGAGGGTAATACATGAAGGGCCAAATTGATGGTTTACTCACAATATTAATATCCAACTTAATTATTCTATACAGGAAAACCGTATGAGAAATTCAACTTATGCGGCGAAAAATCAAAATGAGTTGAAAAATAACGAGCTGCTGTGGAAATTACAAACACAATATTACCTGAATGGTCATTGCTTTCTTGTTTGAATCCAGCTGGCTTCCTGCACAAATCAATGAAATTACTAAAGTCAGAAAGAAACAAAGCCAGATCTAAGACATATCGTCTCAATTTTCAGAATTTATTTTCCAAAACGGTTTTATACAAATCAAAATATTGATTGGAATGTCGAACAACCGTAGTGAATTGAACAGAAGATGAATGGGAAAATATGATTAGGTTGGAGAAAGGGGCGAAGAAAAATTACCCTTTCCGGCGGCCTTCTGCTTCTCGAGGTTCTTTTCACGAGCCATCTTTGACTTCTGCCCGTTGCCTCCACCCATGTCTGATACCGCGCGAAGGATGAAACCCTGAAGACCCTAATTTTTCTCTCACGTTACGGAAGCAGGAGCCGAAAGAAAAATCCGAATGGGGACATATTATAGTCAAGGCATCGTGGAGTCATGTTCGACCCGAATTATTTGGTCCCACCAAATACTTTTTTTTTGGGAATAAATATATTTTTGCTTCACCAAATATTAACGTTTTCTTGTTTTTTTTTTATATATATAAATTCTTATCCATCTCATTTTTAAATCTTGATCTTAATGGTTAATATTTGTTTTAAACAAATATGATTGAATAGAAAAAAAAATTAACATATTTATAAAAATTTAAAATAAAAATAATAAAATTGTGACACCTAGCAATATAAACAAATATTATAGGAAAAAATATTATAATAATAAAAGATAAATACGTAATATTAATATATTTTTTATTTTCATTTTTATCCTAATATTAAGATTTTAAAGTAAATTTAATCCAATTAATTTACTGTAAATATCAATATCCTAAAATAAGATAGATTGGACAAATAAATTTATAACTTAAATTGAATTATGTTTATTTTAATTTGATGTAGATTTAGTTAAGTTAATTCATAAATTTATGCAATTAGTCAATTTTATAAAATTATAGTTATTTTTTAAATAAAAATATTATTATTTTATTAAAATATATGTATATATATATATATATTATAAATTAATTTAACTAAAATTTACTCATTATAAAAATAAATATAAAAATAAACTAATAATAACTATTTATTATAAGATAAAATAGTTAAGATTAATTATTATTTTAAATTAATATATTTTTAAAAATAAATAATGATAATAAAATGTAAATTTTTAATTTTTATTTTAAGATTGAATAAATAATATAATTATATATTAAATTATTATATCTTAATTTTATTAATAAAAATTATATTTTTAATATATTTTTTATTTTAAATTTTCATTTAAATAATTTTTAATTAATTATTTATGTATAAATATATATTTTTTAAAATTTAATTAAGTCAAAATTAATGCATTAGCTTATTCACCTAAGATATGATTAGATTAAATTAAAAATTTTAATCCATTTTAAAATATATGTTAAGTTGAGTTCTTAAGTTTATTTTAATTGACTGGTAGATCAGGTTACACTGTTCTTTTATATTTAATATTTTCCATTTTTTTTAATATTTTTGAAATTGTCATTTATTTTTATTAATTTTAATTTTAATAAAAAAATTGTATTTCATAGAATTAAAATTAAATGTATAAAATTAAAATTATATCAGAATATACCAATATTAAATTGTTACCAGAAAAAAATAACTCAAATATCGTACTGTAAATATTTTAAATATTGTCCGTATTTTTCTCCGGTCAAAATTAAAATTTCATATGTTAAAATTAATAAAAACAGTTATTATACGTATAACTGAGAACAGTTATTATTAGTTGAGCACCTTTTTCAAATTTATTTATGATACATTATTTCTTTCAAATACCATTTAGTAGTTTTATTTTCAAATTGACATAATTTAAAATTTAAATCTTGATAATTTATAACTTTAGAATTTAAATTTAGTTTTTAAATAATACTTTCTGGCGTGTCATATAGCATATTTAATTTTAATCATAAGAAGTTATTTTTAAAAATCTTAATTATGTATGTATTTTATTTGATTTAAGAATATTATTATTATTATTATTATCTATTTAATATACTAGTAACTATAATTTTGTTATTTAAATATTCATAATACAAATAATTCTGAGTAATATCTATATAACAATATCATTTCATATTACATTTCCATGGATGAAAGTTTTTGTTATGATAAATCAATTGAAAATATTAATATAATATTTCTTTTTTTAAATAAATTCGGATTAAATTTTAAACCAAACAGCTGAAATTATTCAACTCAAACTATAAACGGTTACATATAGATATAATCAGTTAATCTTAGGATTTGTTTCTTATACCTGCAACATCTTTTTGCAACAAACTATTTACATTTCCCCTCCTAAACGGTGGAGCAGTCCTTTTCCAACACAGACATTCATGGGAGTTTGCCTTCGCCATAGTTGTTGTTTTTGTTTTTTACTTCCATGGGTTTTTCTCAGATTTTTCTTCTTTATCCCAAATTTTTCATGAATCCATACGGGTGTTATTGGGTGTGATCATGATGTTAAATCTGAGTATAAAAGTTGGGAAACGGATGAAGTAAAAATTGATGAATCCAGAGCCAAACCGATACTGGGAAATCTAAGAGTCCCAGTTGTGGATGTGGGTTGTGGATCGCCCGAGATACGCAATTCAAAGACGATGGGTGAGAATAGTGTTTACCGAGAAATTGAATTTGTGAATTTGGCGAAGGATCATGTTGTGGATGAGAGTAATAAAGGGGTTGTTGATATTAACGACGTTGAAATAGAACTGATGGAGTGTGATTCTTCTAGAGAGAACAAAGTGGAAGAGCAAGAGGTTGAAATCTTGCAGTTCGAAGAAAATTATAACGAGATTGATGAATCTAGTAGGAACGAGAAAATTGGCGAGAACAAGGGCTTGGTGGTGAATGAGGATGGTTGGGAGGAAATGGAAATAACTGAGTTGGAGGAGCGTTTTGGTGCTGCAGTTGTATTTGTAGGATCCAGGAGTAATGCTAATAGTCTCAGTAATTATGTGAAGTGAAGTTGAAGCTTCATGTTTATCACCGAATTGCTGCTACACAGGGTCCTTGCCACGAATTCAATCCAATGAAGTTCTCTGCTCGAGCAAAATGGTAGTTTACTAATGATTACCCTGCTAGGACCCACGAATTCAGTCCAATGAAGTTCTCTGCTCGAGCAAAATGGTATATTTATCCTATCCTAGTATTTATATTTTAAAAAGTTAGAATCTTTTCTCTCTGGGTCTAGTTTTAGTTTGAGTTGCTTAAGAGTTACTGTTACTTCATTAGATTCGTTCGCTTGATGAGGTTAACTGAATTATTTTTGTCGGGATTGCATGACAACGACTTAGGATTATGCAACCAGAGCAGGCAATGGAGCAATATATCAGCCTTTTATCAGAAAATATTCTTGATTTTGTCACGATTGCATACGACTTAGGATTATGAAACCAGAACAGGATATGGAGCAATATATCAGCCGTTTATCAGAAAATATTCCTGATTTTGTCAGCATTGCATGGCAACGACTTAGATTATGAAACCAGAGCAGGCAATGGAGTAACATATCAGCCTTTATCAGAAAATATTCCTGATTGGATTGCAGAAATTTTATTCTTTTTCTCAATTTTCCATATACCTTCTCTAGTTCCCTTTAACCCTCCAACTTGTGGTGGAATAATGATTTATTGATCTGTTAGATGATGATTATGAAACCAGAGCAGGCAATGGAGCAATATATCAGCCTTATATCAGAAAATATTCCTGATTGGATTGCAGAAAAACCTTATGTAAGGGAGAAGGATTTTTTTATTTGTTGGATCATTTTGTGGTGGAAGAATGATTTATTGATCTGTTAGATCTATCACGAGATGAATTTTTGTATTAGGGAGACTACCATGGTTCAATTTTTATATTTCCTTTCATTGCAGGATAATGCTGAGCAAGCTTTTGAGGAGATCCGTGGTGGAGAACTATCCTTATGAATTATGTTTTGAAGACAAAGTTATAAATAACAGTAGGAATTGATTATTTCATTTTTTTGAATTCTGACGTCTAGCAATTGAGGAATTGAGTTTGGTGACTATGGAGTTTGGTTTCCATAAGTTTCCCATGACATTCTTTTGTTACCTGTACATATTTAATGTAGTGCCTCTTAAACTTCTAGTTAAGATTTTTGTGCCTCCTGCGAAATTTTTGTGCCTTTTTTGCTTCTTATAGAACAAAATTATTGGGTAAAATCTTCTGTTACGAAATCAGAAATAATCTAAACTGAACATTTAAATAAGATTAGATTATAATATTTTAATTTAGTGTCTACTCCTCTTAAACTTCTAGTTCAGATTTTTGTGTCTGCAAAGATTTTTGTGCCTTTTTTGCTTATAGAACAAAATTATTGGGTAAAATCTTCTGTTACGAAATCAGAAATAATTTAAACTAAACATTTAAATAAGATTAGAACTAAACATTTAAATAAGATTAGATTATAATATTTAATTTAGTGTCTACTCCCATTTCTAGTTAAGATTTTGTGTCGCTGCGATGATTTTTGTGCCCTTTTTGCTTATAGAACAAAATTATTGGGTAAAATCTTCTGTTACGAAATCAGAAATAATCTAAACTAAACATTTAAATAAGATTAGATCATACGTCGTGTTCATTCATCAATTTTTATAGATGCAAAACGTTGAGTGTTCTCTTCTTTTTCTTATTTAAACTTTTTTATTAAAGTTAAGATGTTCACTAATTATTTTTAAATTATCAATGCAAAATGCTAACAACTGCAATTCCCAGATGGAGAGTAGTTACCCTTGCACTTGAAAACGCATTATGTGCCTTTAGCTTCTTTTTTTTTTTAATATTGTAATTTGCTGGTCGGGTTGCTTTGTTTGCTTGAATCGAATTCAAATGTTCGTTGGTCAATAAATATGGGTTGCTTTGTTTGCTTGAATCGAATTCAAATTTTCGTTGATCAATATATATATATATATATAGTTAACTTTAATTTTAAAAAGTGATTGTTAAGTAATTTTTTTCAAAGCAATGTTTAAGAAATAAAAATCAACTCATCAATTCAATAATTAGAAAATATCTACTGTTATTTATGTTTACGAAATTTTTTTTCTCTACTACTTACTTAACCCTGTCTTTAGAAAATATCTACCTCAGTGTTTGTTGTCTATAGAAAATATCTACTTTAGAAAATTTCAACTTGTTCTACTTACTAATATTTTGTTCCTATATTTGTTTTTTTACTGTTATTTTAGTTTTCAATTTACCTTGTTTTACAAACTGGAATATTCCACTGAACAAATGTTTCTATAATCTTAGTTATAGAACAGACGAACGACAGAGTGACAAAGCAAAGCAAAATTCTTGAGTCGAAATGAATGAGAAAAATATCATATAATTTAACTTAGGGCACATACTCTCCAGAATGTTAAGATATTATTTTAATTTTGCTTTAATAGATAATGGATACCCTTAATACTGGTAATATGATACCAGTTCGTGTCGTGTTAATTTTTATATTTTCAAATTGACAAACTTAATAAATTTATTTTTTAAAATATGATACTTTTATATTTAAAATTATAAAATCGATAAAGAAATTAATAAAAATGTTATTTTAATTATTTTATTTTTATTTTTATATTTAATATTTAATAAAAATATTTTTTTATTATAAAATCAATAACAATATTAAATTTATAATTTGTTTACAAGATTTGGGAGATAATTATTTAACTTCAAAAAAAATTATAGAAATAAAAAACAAGTGACAAAAAAAAGTAAAAGAAGAAGAATATATTTAACTAGTAATAAAACATATTTTTTATTCTATCAGTGTTCAGACTCGTGGATTGGAGATGTTATTAACAAAATGTAAGAAGGGGGAAGGAGTGGCCTTCAATTCGTTTCTTGTTAGTTTAGCCCCGTCCGCAGCATGAGTATTATTCATTAATCGAACCACCACCTCCTCGACGATCAAATCCATCTCCCTCAGTCTTACTTTCCGCCTCTTCCCGTTCTTGAACCACGATCTAGGGTTTACCTCAGATTCCAAGGGAACGTGAATTTTCTTGCATTTTCTTTTCATGCGTCTTCAAACTAAGATTATAAAAAGCCGATGGGAGTAGTCATTGAGAGCTCCGTTTGGGAACCAAATCCATCCATATACATCTTCATCTTTGTTTGTTGCTGCTTCTTGATCTTTCTTTTCCCTCACGCCTCTAGCCTCAACAGAACGTCCACAATCTTCGACCATGGAACTTCTCACTCGTTTCACCGTTTCCAGCGGAACTTCCTCTTCCTCTATTCTCTCGCATCAGGTTGCTTTCACTTCATTGTAGGATTGTTCAGTTTCTTAGACAATGTACGCAATCAGCTTTCAGAATTTCATAGTTGTTTTGTTTATGGAGGAATAATTGAAACCTTAAGAAAAACAAAATACCTGATTAACTTTGAACATTCATTTCTATCTTATTTTTTGTTTTCAAAACTGATTTATGTTTTTACTTCCTTTTCTGATCTGTTGTTCTGTTTCTGAATCAAAATTCCGAACTCGTTTGTTTTAGTTCGTTACTCAATTGAGATTTAGATCTGTAATGTGCAAATGTGAATGACGGTTGACGGTTTCATTTCTCTTCTCAGTATTGGAAGGTCTATGGTCAGTGTTCGGGGAATATGAATTAGCTTCGTATGGAATCGGCAGGGAAGATATGATTAAGTCTCTGTGTTATGGATATACAACAGCTCTCTTTGCTGCTCCTTTCCTTGGCGTGCTTTCGGATTTGATGTAAGGCTCTATTTTTGGTCTTTGACGTTACTAATAAATTAAGATTAATAAGTATGTTTAAAGTAATTCAACGTTGAGTTTAGTATTAAAGTTAGCTTTGCAATTTTGATGTTTAAGTGCCGACATATCATGGTGTTTGTTTCAATAAAGATGATTTGCTTGTTTTTACTTGTTTTAATTACGATAATGTACATCATCCAGAGGAACATGGAATTCGTTCCGCATGGAAGACTTACTGTCAGTGAATGATTGTTGATGTGTAATTTACGTAAGTGTTTTCTGTTGATTAGTGGTTGTTGAGATGACTAGGAGTATTTTTTTTAAACACATCCTTTCAAGACATATGCATTTCCAATTGTTGTGGAAGAATATGATCAGTATTCTGATGTCAACTCATCTTCCTGTGAATTTTTATCACTTTTTAATATCTGTCATTTTGGTCATGATATCCTTCTTTGTCTGATTTCAACCGAGGGCTTGCTATGTTAGATGTGAATATATGAAGCATCTTGGTTTTTCCAGAAGCATTAATGTTAAATTATGCATATTCAAGAAATAGATACATTTCTGTATACAGATTTATGATGATTTGTCAGAAGATTAATCTAACTTACTGTTTAATGTTGATTTAGAGGCCACAAGAAAGTTAGTTTAATCTTTTGCATGCTACACTTCTTTTTTGGCGTATGGAAGAGGATTGCAGAGCAGCCTAGCATATTCATGACTAGCACATGTCTCTCTATGGCCAACACAATATTTTCATTTAGTTTTGAGAATTGGATGGTCAATCAACATGAAAAGGTAAACAATAAATCTTATCATTCTATCTTGATTACCACATAAGCACAGATTTCAGTTAAAGCATCCACAATGTTGCCACTGGAAAAATGTCTAAGTAGTTCTTCCTGGTTAAAATAACTTGATCCATTTTTTTTTTCACCTTTATGTGAAAAGTCACTTTACATAGAAAGTATGTGGCTTCCTAGGAAAAGGACATTGGAATGCAAAATATCTAGAATTTAACGTCAAGCTGGAATTTTGTGTTTTTGTTTGCAGCAAGGGCACAGGCTTGATTCACTTAATGACACATATTGGTTGATGTCTTTCTTTGAGTCCGCATGTTTTATTGCTAGCCAAGTGTTTGCAAATTGGCTGATTGGTAATAATACCGAAAAAAGCACTGGTCCTTCATCTGTTGTTATCTTTTTAGCTGCCACATGCTTCACTTTTATCACCAGAGGATGGACAGAAACTCCTCGATTATCATCTCTTAAGGAGTATAGTTGCTCCTTCTACGCATACATATTAGGTGGTAAGTTCATATGCTTTTGTTGTTCTTCTTTACTTTATTTTATGATGAACAACTCTACTTTTACTTTTTTTTTAATGAAACAACTCAATGCTATTAAGAATGCCGTACTTACATTTGTTTGACAATCCTTTTTATTTATGTTCCTATTAGATAATATCTGCTATTTTGTCTTGAGAATATGTGCATACAACCAATTAGTATTTAAGAGAAACTACTTACGAGAGTTTCTTTCTTTCCTTTTATTTTCCGCCCATATATCCAAATTTTGCTTTTCTTGCCGGTTTCCTTTGCTCCCTTCACTTGCTTTGATCTATAAAGGTCGACGCTTACTTGTGTCCTTTTCTAGGACAGTTTTTGCATTGTAATATTTTTATACACGTTTCATAAATAATAAGACATCCACTATTTATCCAATTATTGTTGCAACTTACCAAGAGAAGCTGCAATAGATATCTAGTGAAAATTAAGAGAGGAAGTATGCATGCAGAGGCTCAATTTCGTTAAACTTGGATCTCATGCTTTGAGATTTGACTTCTCTGGCAGCATGGAGATATATAATGAAATTCATGGATGCTTTTATCAAGTTGCTATTGATTATTTTTAAAATTTCTATGTTTCTGATGATTAACTACTTTATCTCCTTATAATCGTTTTGTATATATTTGCCATGCCAACAGTTTAATCTTTTTTTTTTTTTTTGGTTTCACTCTCAAGTTGTATTAGGCGTTAGCTATGCATGATAAAGTCAATCATTATGTTCAGACTGACATGGTATAATACTTAAGTTGGTTAGATGTGGAAAGATGGTACTAGAAAACACATTATTCAATTTTACAACAATGTACTGAAAACTTTAAGTCATGTACTGATTATATACTGATTGTAATTTTATAATCCACAGATAAAAGGATATGGTTGTTGGCGTGGGCACAAACTTGCCTTCACTTCTCTATGGGAATTTTTTGGATCCTTTGGGCACCTACAGTGGTGGTATGATATCAAATTTTATAGCATTTGTGATATACTGAGGCACCAATGTATGTATAATGTATTTAAAATGCTAAGACAATGTTTCATCAAATGGATGTTTTAATGGCTTCCCTTTCTTCTTCAGGCTTCTTTGTGTTGATGAATCTAGAAATGGACTTAATTATACAAATTTATGAATAAAATTGTTTCTCTGTCCATTATTGTGGGAAAATCTCTCTCTGTAATTGGGTCATTATGAAAAGAGGCTTTCTTAAGCTATTGAACCTGCTATCTTATCAGTCTAAGTCATAGAATGCTATATATATGTATAACTTTTAATGTCTCTGGTTTTAGGCCGACGGGCGAGAAGTGCAACTGGGGTTGATATATCCATGCTTTCTGGGCTCAAGAATGATAGGAAGCACAGCATTTCCGTGTCTCACTAGTAGGCCATCATCGCTCAGAACTGAGGACTGCCTAGTTTATGCATACATTACATTGGCTCTTCTCCTGTCTATTGTGGCCTATGACTATCAGGTGCAGTTAACTATATATATTTAGAAAGTATCAAATATATTTGTGGTCAGATTTTTGGGCTGAAAATCTGGAGTCTACTCTCATGTGCAGGAAATTGGTGTTCTGGTGATACTCTTTTGCTTATTTCACGCTTGTGTTGGGTTTGTTTTGCCATCGCTTGCTAGATTGAGGACCATGTAATCTGTTTAACTAGATTTGTACTTTTTCATTTGCTCAGTCTTGGATTTCTAGTTTAATTAACTTTGTTTGCAGGTATGTGCCTAACGAATTGCGTGGAGGGATGATGGGCTTCTCTCTTGCCCCTGCGAATGCAGCTATTCTGCTTTCTGTGGTGCAAGTATGTATTTGTGCATAATGTCATCTAAATTTCAGGGGGCATGTATTAATCAATTAAGCATTTTTAACAAGAGTTAAATGAACCATGATAACAGGCTACTTGGTTTGAAAAAATATTCTGTTTTTATTTTCTATTCCACTTTTATTTACAAAAATAGCGCCTTGTTTTTACTTTGTTTTCTATTTTTATAGATTTATCTAGAAAACAGAGAAAACAATAAACAAGCTAGTTTCACTGTTTCCTTTACAAATTTATGAATACAAAGCAAAATGAAAATATGAACACATTCTTGTAACTAAAAGTGAAAAGAAGAAATAAAAATAATGGACCTTTTTCTGATAAACATTTACTCAAAAGAGACACTAATTTTGTGTGAGGTTTTGAAAGCTATAATGCTATAATCGTCGAGGGTGGCATAGTATTCTACACAATCATTTCTAAAGTAGTAGACACAAGTTCTAGTTTAAACTCTTAATTATGCTAGCATCTTTTCCACAGCTTTGAAAATAGACATGTTTTTTTCTTTTTTGAAAGGTGAGGGTTAAATTAATAAAATACAATACTTTAGGTGTGATATACCTTTTGAGGTGTGACTACGGTAATCCGTAAGGGTATTATACCTGAGGTGATTCACTACATTTAAATGTTTGGATCAATGCATCAGCATCTGTCTGAAATGATTTTGTGAAAGACATTTGCGTTTCAACTGGTTCGTGTGTGTATTTGCTGACACACACATATATATTATATATTGACTTCCTCTTTGTGTTTGCAGGGTGGCTATTATCGGAATGTTGGAAATGCAGCATTAATGGCTCTTGGTGTGTTTGGTTTACTGCTAGCAGCTGGTTGCATGCATGCCCTGAAGCAATGGGGGAAGCAACCGTATAGCAACTGGCACAAGCAGTGAATATATTCCCCTTTGGCAGGCTTTGGTATTGGTGGATCACCGACTCTTCTATTGAATGCAATGAGTAGGGAGTAGTAAAGAGATGAAGAACTTAGATAATGCCAATTCAGTCGAGGGGAAATAATTTAAAAAATGATACAAACATCAACTACTAGTGAGTGCTGGACTAAACTGACATTGGGGTTCTTTCTGTAAGTTAAGAAGAGACTGAACAATGCACCTTCATAGTTTTAACGTTCTCGTAGTCTGTGAGACCAAGTTCTCCTCTAATTTGAGTGTGTCAGAATTTTAAGTTACTCTGGACTAACATTTTGATTATATATTGTAGCTTGCTTACTTTGCTGCTTGGGTTTGCTTATGGAGGATTCAATTGCACAAGCTTTGGAAGCTGCTTTCGGAATCTGTATCTGGTGAACGTATGCCAGTTTCTCCAGAAGAGCATCTAAAAGTTCAAAAGGTGAAATTTCAATATCATGGTTTGGTTATATTAGCATTTTAAGGTAGTCATGTGTTATGGGCTTGGTTATTTTATTCTAAGTTCCATACCCTAAACCATAACACTGACTAACTCTAGCATGCTAAGTAAAAAATATGAAGAAGAAGCCACAATGAAAACATTCGAAGCACTGTTGATGTGATTTCATCAATTTTGAAAGACAGTTCAGTTGGTAACAAGTTCGTTCGTTTACTTGTTTTTCTGCCATATAGGACCACCCTTTTTGTCTGAAAAAGTTTTATAGAATTGTTCTTTTCTTTAAGCTAAACTACATAAACAAATATACTGGCGGTTAAGTGTTGTTTGGTCGTCAGTTAGAAACAGTAGTTTCCTTAAAATTTAAAAAAGAAAAGTACTTTATAGTAGGCTTGTTATCTTATAATTTAAGCTGAAAATATAATTTATTGATAACAATTTTTTCTAATATGGGTCACTGCTGAGTATATATTCTCCTCTCCTGGTGAAATCTATGTTTTTAATTGAAATTTTTCTATTTTTTTATTTTGTATTTTATTTTATAAATTTCAGGCATAACGAAAAGTGTGTTAGAAAAAGTACTGTTAAGAATAAGCATTTCTCTCATCTTTTCCTAGTTTATAAACATCACTTGGAAATATGTAGTTATGGCTTTGAATGTGGAGATCATTTTTAGCAATTGACTTTTGAATGACACCTTACAAAAATGTCTTACTCATCACGATGCCATATTTCATTAAGTTTTGTCCTCTATTAGTCATCACTATAAACATATTTTAGCAGAAAAATCTTAATGACTATTTAAGTGCCGTAAATACTACTACCGGTGGAGCTTGAAAATCAATTCCAGGTAGCATTCATTTAATCGTCGTCTTGTATTTGATCCCTTATCCACTTTGTTGCCACCCATTTTTCTCCTTTTATGACGGGACAGCTTCCGTGGAGTGATGTCTGCCGAAGTAAAAGGTTAAATGCTGAGCACCTCCTTCATATAATCAATTTGTAATTAGTGTTCTAAATTTACGATTGCGTACAGCGGATAGCAATGATATAGTAAAACAATTGTAATAACTATAATTTCATCTATAGCATGGTAAAATAATTATAATAAAATATATTATCAGAATGTAACGAGGGACTATTTTACAATATGTAATAGTTTAATATTTTATCATCTCATTTCACTTTTTTTACCTTCGTAAAAAAGGCTAACTCATATCTTATACTTAAAAATATATCTATATATCAACAAATAAAAATTAAGAGGTTATGGTGAAAGCATATTTTAATAAATTTATAACAAAAATATTATTGATCTAGCTACGTTGACAGTGCCTACTTAATTTATGAGGGTTGATATATATACATCGAAATGCATTCAATCAGCAACTCAGAAAATAATATAATAATAAATAATAATATTAGATTAAGATGTAGAGTTAAAATAGAAGTTGTAGATTGAATGTTTTTGGAACTAAAATATAAATTGTGATGACGATGATGGGAAAAAGAAAACACTAACCTGATCAATTGTACCATTAGGCAATAATGAATAAAATAGAAGCCCATCCCCTTTGCGTGGCCTTACTTTTAAACCAATACAGTCCTCAAAATCATAGCTACCGTCCATGTTGAATCCATTCTGCAGAATAATAATGCGCTAATTACATCCTAAGTAGATTAGTAAATGGGATGTGCGTGAATAAAGATGTGGCGGCAAACTTGGTTTCACCTCAAACGGAAACATGGTCTCCCCACCTTCTGGAACATCACTTAAATACAGCAAAAATGAAGCTACCTGCATGAAACTTAGTTGAGAATCGAACTTATAAAACAAAATTCGTAAGTTCAAGAGCCAAAATTGTATAAATAAAAAAAAAACTTATTAAAATATGAGATAGATCATTATTTAATAAAAAATATAATATATTTAATAAATTCAAAATATATTAATAAAATTATATTTAAATATAATAATTTGATATATAAATTATAATATATATTAATAAAATAATTTTTTTTAAATATAATTATGATTCCACAAAATGTCAGTCGACCCAACTGAAATCCATTTAAATTACAAGTGACGAAACAAAATCTAACGATAATTTATAGAACGGCCCACTTTTAATTTGGACTACAAATCTTTTAGATTAATTTAATTAATATATTTTTTAGATTTTTTTAAACCGATCCATTACATTATATCTATTTTTAGAATTCTAACTATCACCTACAAACAATATAATTCTTGTAATTTTTTTAATTGTTATACTTTAAAATAAATAACGAAAATTTCAAATAAAATATCATAACCGACAATAGGTGTGTATAAAATCTCATTTTATTTTCTAAAATCCCATAGTAGTGTTGAAAAATAGGTATCTCGATATAGACATGTCCTAAGAAAGGAAAAATGATAAGCATGCTATATTAAGAAAGAGTATGATGATCTTTGTGTTTGAGGAATAGGAAGTTAAAAAAAAAAAAAAACTGAAGTATGGCCAACATGAGAATGAAATTATATACTTCACTAAACTTTTCTCCTCTATAAATTCTCTATTCTCTATAACATTACTTATCCTCTTCATTCTCTACATCTTTACTTTTTATTCGCATTGTTTCTCAATAATTTTAAATTTAACATAATAACTCTTAATATCAAACTTGGTAGAAAATGACACACCATGTGCCATGGTTGTCGGTGCTAGAACTAGTAGGAGAACATCTACCCACAAAATTCATAACAACTTGAAAATAAAATGTACGAGTTTTGCTTTATACGTACCCTTCGGCTCTTTTGTGGACCATATTCAGCATAATCAAATGCATCATAATGAGAATTGTATTTCTGTCCAATCTCATAGCGTAGGATATTAAATGCCTGAAACATGGTTGTTTCTCAGATAATTTAAAATCACCCTAAAAATTAAACATTAACAAATCAACAAAATCAAAGGCACTATAGTTGCATAGGTTCATGAAAGAAAATATTTATAGTCTAAATGTACAAGAACATTGGTTTCAAAGGTTTTTTAAATTGTTTTCCCCTTTCTCCTAGTTAAAAAACAATTATGGTTGGTTGATTAAAGGCGAAGGCAACATGCCAACATCTCTAATCAAAAGCAAAATTTGAAGATTACAAATTTGAAAAATCATAGGTGACATTATTTCTCATCAACGGCGACCTTATTATTTTATTTCAACGGAACACAACATAGAAAATTTAGCTCAATTTCACTATTATTTTGTTAGAGAAGGAAAGAATAAAAAAGTCCCCAACTCATCATTTCAGTGGCAACAACACAAATGTGTCGTTGAACAATGGGAGATTCCTTCGTACAAAATGTACGAAATCAAACCGCAGGCATCAAACAAAAAGTTTCCTGCCAACCATGAGGAACAAATTTACCGTTCGAAATGGTACAAATTTTACAAATTTTTCTTTGAATTTCACTTCGCCCATGACCAGCAATATGTTAATTTTAATATACCATTTACATCATCAGACATATCCATGTCTTTCATGGAATAGGGAACTACGATAATAAAAGGATCTCTTATTAGAAGGATAGATATTAATATTATCATAGGAAAAAATGTGAATAGCATGACCGTTATGTTGAACGTTGAACATTGTGCACGGTTATTATATTTCTTCTATATCAAACAATATTACTAACTGACGCATATTAAACATCTAATCCTGCCTCTCCCCCTCTCTCTCAACTCCCCAAATTTTCTACTTTAAGTTAAAAGGAAGAAAAGGTGCCAAGATTCCAAGACACCAAGCTTTGACATTATAACAGACAGCTTGGAAGATATATAGAAAAACATTATCTCCTCTGCAACTTTAACAGGAGGAACCATCTATTAAGAGTGTGTTTGTATTCTAGTTCCATTCAACTGAACCCACGTTCAACCCAACACTCACATTGCTTGGAGAGTGAAAAGCTTCCATTCAACACCATTCTAACTAACACACCCTAAATACTGAAACAGGAAAGGATCAATCCAACTAAACACCACAAGTTCCCGTAATAGTCTCAACTCTGCTTCATTTTCCACATTAAGTCTTACACTCCTTTACCATCATTAACTGAATTTTGAGCCAACAAAAGTACCCAATCTTATACTATTTAGAAGTATGGCAAGGAACAATCTCACATTCACTAAGCATTATTCTATAGAGCATTCAAAGGTAAAATAAGGTTACGTAAAAGCACCAGTGTGCACCTATTAAAGAAACAATTCGTTAATGTGTAAATTCAATGTATTTTCTTTTACTTAAGCAACTAAGGGGAAATTTGAAAACAAAGAACAGGTTTTGCAGAAAATATAGAAAGTGGTAAATACCAAAAGGATAAAAATTGACAGTTTGAACAAGGAAAATCCGGATACCTATTAAAAGGTTCGATTGGCTACTTGTGCAAAAATGTCTTTTCTCTTCCCCTTGAATTAGTCTAATGCAGAAGTAATCTATATGATGGATGATACTAGTTTTACTAGGAATGAAGAGCTGTAAATAAACAGTTTTTACTGTTTATTACAAATACAAATTCAAACAATTGATTAACTTAACCAAAAGAGATAAAAAAAATCTTTTAGTAAATCAGATTAACAAGTTTTTCAAAATGCTGTTTCTGCAGGGCAAGACAGCCAGTTTAGTAGGAATGTTACCTCTCCATGAGTCCTAGGAATTTTTGTTGCTTTGGCTATTTTTTCCTCAATGGCATATAAAGTTCCCGTTTCATCCTCGGTAGCACTCATAAAAACACCATAGCTGTTAAAACAAAAATGTGGAGATAAGCTCGCAATATGACTTTATATTACATAACGTGCATCTTTGAATTTTAGGAGAAGGTGCTCAAAACCATAATCGCCAATTCTCCCAAGGGCTAGATCATTTATCTTAATTAGGATGTATTAGAATCATAGAGAGGCGTGTAAAATATCAGCATATTACCAAAAGTCCCAGTAATTGAAACTCCCACGAATTACTTGAAGATGTTTTTTAACGAATTTAGTTTAAAGCATAATAAATTTATAAACATATAATCTAAGAACCACATGGGGCCTTAAATCATTCTATCTTAAAGCAGATAAGAGGTCTAAGATTCAGGAAGTCAAAACATATTGCGTTGCTATCTTTCTCATAAAGATTGGAGTCTTGGTTAGAGGCAAGCAATAGAAGAGCAAATATAAAGGAATCGAACAGATTCCATATAATTTCTCAGAACCTGAAAATCTGTCAGGTTCACCATAACTCCAATCAGAATCAACCATGCATATTAGTTTGTTATCTTAGCCTTTCCCAGTATTAACATCTTTCTTTTGACTTCTTGTTTAAGCATGCGAGTCTCGTTGACCTTTCGGAAGAATTTGTGATAAATTCATATTCCTGCATTTAACATTCTACTTTGTGCAGTTTATAATGAAGTCAGACGGTTAAGTATTCCACAGACACGTACTAAAGTACACAATACCTTGTTCTGATTCCCTTTGTGTTCTCCTCCGTTTCTCCCTTGCGCAAAGCCAATGTTGATGGCTTGAGTCCTACCCTTGCCATTTCAATTATGCTTTCACATTGTTGTGCACTCGCAAAATTAGGAAAATACAGAGCGCGAGGGTACCAACTCAAAACCTAAGGATCACAAATCAGATCCAGATTTATTTGAGAGTAAAAGCTCAACTGCTCAGGTAAATACTCCAGCAGAATCGTATGCTCTACATTATCACATTCAACTTCAAGCAACAATGAAATTATAAATTTAAGAGACGCGATCTTCTCATAAACGTTTATAAAATCAAAATATTACGTAAATTCACCGTAATAAACTAATTTAAAGATATTACACTATTACGAACAGATGAAAAGCATATTTTATCTACCCTAGCCGAAGAATATTGCAGGGTAAAATGCGAAGCATAAAGAGACGAAAAAGCGCACCTGAAAAGGAATCAATGTAATGGAGTCGTCGCCGGATTCTCCAGCTTGCAACGACTGATACTCCGTCTCCTCCTCGATCGATTTTTCAAGTAACCTCGCTCTCGGTCTCGGCATCAGCCTCGGATCATATTCACGTTCCTGAAAATTCCAGCGATCTGTTATTTCGCATATTTCCCAGAAAGCAAAATCGAAGATAAACGATCTTAAAATACAGAAAAACAACGTGATTACGATTATCGAGAAGGAAAACCTGAGAGTGGGAGAAGAGACTGGAAGCAAAGAATCCAGCGACAAAGAAGAAGATGCATATAAGGAAGACGAAAGGCAAGCCGAGCTTGTTCGTCCACCAATTCCATCTCCAATTTCCCTTAACCGTTTTGGTTTTCATGTGGTTTGTGCGGAGCGGTATTATGCTTTACGTTGTTCCCAGTGCAAAACGAATGCTAACTTACTATCCAGTGCCGAGCAACTACGAAAGTCACAGAACTTGACGGATCCGCGTCAGAAGTTGACTAATGGCTTCTCTCAGCTCCTAACTACCCTTTTCCTAACGGATTTACAGCTGCTGCGCCTTGTCTATGTCCACTGTTTATTGATTTGAATTTGCATCAAGTCCAATCTTCTTTGCCAAATATGAATAAAATGGACTCACCACCTAATTAATAAATGCTTAATTGACAAGATTTATGCGCGTGAAACAAAAACAAAATCTTAGATCCAATAAAATGACCTAAAAAACTAAAAAAAAAAAATTCTCTATAAATACCCATTGCCAATAAAATTACTCAACTTAGATCCAATTTTCTCCTTAGAGAATTCGGCCTGTGTGGATCCGATTTCTCAATTCTGCCACCATCTAGTTTTTTCAATTTTCTCTGACAAAATTCAGTTTCCCCGTGACTCTGTCTGTGAGTGATTTTTGTGAAGACTTTTTTTTTGTTATAAAAACATTTAAACAAAATAATTTTAAAACATTAACTTTTAAAATTGAGTACACTATATTAAATAATTAGTTTTATTTTATTATATTAATTAATTAATTAAATAATTATTAATATTTTAAAATTTATCAAATATTTAATGCTAATAATAACATTATTAATATTCAATATAAAATATTAAATTTATATAAATGCTAATAATTTTAAAAATTCTTTATTTTAATATTAATAATAAAAATTAAATGTTAATAATAAATTCAAATAAATTTTAATGTTATAGATTATTCATTAATTTAATAATCATATTATTGTTAATATAACTCATTTTTGACAATTTAATAATACTAGTTAAAACATATTACTAAAATTATTAATGTCGGCATATAAAAAATAATGAAAATCAAAGAGTTGTTTAATATTTTTGTAAGAAAATTAATTATTTAATAAAAATAACTAAGTATATCGTCATATTAAAAAAAATTACTTGAAAAAAAAGGATTTTCCCTTATTTTAAAAAATATATTTTAGGATAAATATAGAATAAAAAAACTTATAGAAAATAGTATTTCTTTAATGTTTTTTTTTTAAAACAAATCAAACATGAAAAACAAAGTATTTTCATCTTCAAATTTTCTAAATATTTATTTTAAATTAAACGTTCCTGAAAGATAAGGTAATTTACTAAGTAATTAAAGACAGGTAATAAAAAGTATAGAATAAAAGTGAGTATTCCTTTTATTATAGTTATTTTATATTTGTTTAACATTATATAATTTATTTGATATGAAAGTCGAAAAAAACTGTTTGAAAGTATTATAGATAATTGAAACTATTGTTATGTGATAATAAAATAATAATAATAGATTTATTAAATAAGCTGTAAAAGTTAAAATAAAGCAAAAAAATATTATTCTAAGAAAACATTGATAAAAAATGGATTTGTTCGATTTCAAAATCCTTGTTTAATATTTGATTATATCGATTTGATATTGTATTTAAACTGAATCATATGATATTTTAAGATAGATGAATACAAAAACACGTGTTTAAAGATATTATATTATTTTTAACTTATAGATAATTTAAATAAGATAAAAATAACTCTTAAATCAAACCAATTCGCAAAGTGAAGAAAATAACTACTAATATTTAGTCATAACTTTTTCTCTTTATATATATATATATATATATATATATATATATATATATATATATATATATATATATATATATATAATAAATCAGAATGGATGTGTAATCGTTTTCTTCAATAATTTTTTAATATTTTTAAAATTATAATTATTTTTAACTATTTTTAGTTATATTATTATATTTTTTCTTATAATCTAAAATAATAATTTAATTTAATTATAATACTTCAAGAAAAAATATAAAACAAGAATATAATTTTTTTTAAAATAAATAAATTATATATATACATGTGTATATATAAATATATATATATATATATATATATATATATATATATATATGAGATAAGATATTAATTTAAAAAAATAATAAGAATTAAAAAGTTAATAAAAAATAAGAATTAAAAAATACTTTGTTGTAAGTTGTATAATTATTTTTACAATTAGACAGTTCACTACATTAGTAAAAATATGGATTTAAAATTTAAAAATTTAATAACATATTTTTTAAATATATAATATAACCATAAAACAAATTCATTAATAAAAAAACTAATAAAATTTTATATAAAAAAAGAAAATAAAAAATAATAATAGAAGAAATTATCACATGGATTAAGTATAGTAAAACTCAAAGCCTGATAATTATAAAATTTAAGATCAAAACACATTAAAACATCTCTTTTCTAAAATTTACTTGATTATGAGATAAAAGAAAAAATGATAAATATTATATTTTAAAAAATTATATTCTTTGAAAAAGGTTAAAAAATATCTTTAAAACAATTATCAAAATTAATTGTACCCTAAAATCAATCAATTTTACATTATTTTTTAGTTTTATATCAATTCAATTGGACTTTTTTTTTTAAAACAATGATTGGACTAGTTTAACTAATAGGATGAATTCAATTTTAATAACAATATTTTTATTTTTTTTATTGAATGCTTCAACAATTTCCAGAAAAAACCTTTTTGTTGTATGTATATAAATTAGAAAATTTACCACTACAAATTATATGAATAACGTGAAGTGAATCAACTAGATTTTATATATATAACATTTCGGTTTACCTTCTTTGAAAAAGTAGTCATTTACACTTATTAATGTTAAACAATCCCCTTAGGATGCTCAAGACAGTGCATGTAATTCTTAGCCTATTTCAATCATAGGTGAGTTGGATTGGTTCATTATAATTAAAAAGAAAAACATTAACCACTTAATTTTTTTCATCATTATTAATTAAAATTGATTAACATTACAATATTCTTTAGTATGACTCCATATAAATAACTGGTCACACTCCCGAATTTATATTTTTAATTGATTTTAACCAACAATAGAGTATATATTAAAAAATAATTATAAAAAGATAAAAAGAAAGTCTTGAGTTTACTTACCAAATAGATATAAGTATACTTTAGAAAGAAAAAAAAAACATAATTACCTAAACATATTCCTTATAACTCTTAGTTAAAATCTATAAAAAATATATAAATATTTTAAACATCAAGTATGATTCACCTTCAAAACTGGAAATATTAACTTTTAAGTCGTTGCCATCAATATATATTCATAATAATTCTTTGCATATGATGACTATTATAATTTTTAAAAAAGGAACCAAAATTTACTCAACCCAAGCCACTTTTAATTATCTAAAAAATAATTAAATTGAGTTGAGTTTGTTTTAAAATTGAATAAAATTGTTAACGCAATTCATTTCACGAGTCAAACAAACAACATCGAACTACTTGTTAAATTTAATTTCTTTAATCACTCCTTAAAAAATCATATGTTTATATCTTGAAAATATATATATAGATAATTTTAGATCTACATGTAATCAAGATCCTTGATTTTCATAGGATTTTCGTCCAAATAATGATGTACCCTTTATCATTTTTCAATAAATAAAGAAAAATAAATACAAAATATAAAAGCAAACCTTCAAATTTAATTAGAAAATAACTTTCAAAATCATAAACACCCCCTTCCATGGTCAGTTCTTGATTCAAGCCTTCTGCGATAAATGTTACAAAATGTACACGATAATTAATCATGAATTCGAACAATGATCTTATGATTCTTCATCAACCAAAACATCAGAGTTGCTGAACAGAACCTTATTTTCTATTCGTATAGCAGTAGAGAGGATGAGTTTTAAGATTTCATGTTTTGAGAATCTTAACCATTCATACTAACTTTGGCCAACATTAATATCTACTCGTTCAACCCATTTCAAATTCCTTAATACCCAGATTCACTTTATTTTGACCACTTAAATAACTAACATAATTATTTTATAATATATAATATTATAACATTTTAACACTCCCGCTTTATTTGGTCAGGCTGATACTGATGATGGATGTGCCATTGTTTTGCTAAATTGATCATGCAAGGGAACGGCTGCCACGTTGCTCCAGCAAGTTCCCTTGGCGTTTCTCGGACCACAAAAATATAAAAGCATGAAATGCATTTGGTTCGGATAATCTGAGTACTATGGGTGTTAACTGCATGTGATGGACGGTGCAAAAGAAGCCCACGTGGACAAGAAGCTTGTCCACATAACAAAGAGGCAGGGTAGAGTCACCAAAGGCTCTCTCTCATCTTTGAAAATCTGGAAAAATACAGACTTTATTTTCTTGTTCTCCTCCTCCACGTAAATCAGCGACCATAATATCCTATTCTTCCTCCTCCTCCACCCCCCAAGTAGAAAATTGAACCGGGATTTAAACCCAAACACTATCCTGCTGCGTTGGTGATAGCTTAAACTCAGTAAATGATTAGACTAAATGTCTACTGTTCACTAATTCCAAGTGCAAGACAAGCCAGACCAGTCAGCAGCTATGACTCATTGATCATCCATAATCACAAAGCTTCTAAATTTCCTCATAGGATTTCCATCAAGGCTAAGGCCATTAGAGATGAGATGGATGGAGAAACAAGCGGATCTTCAGGACGTAGCTGGGATCCTGGTTTGGAAATTGAGGTCCCTTTTGAGCAGAGACCGGTATGTGTTAACTACCCAATGTTTGGCAATAGCTGTTATGATCTTCGAAATCAACAGGATGCAGTGTAGTATAATGTCAGTCCATGAATTTTATGGTCGAATCTAGCTAGTAAGTTAGATATCCTTGCACGAATGTAATAAACTGGAACGGCATGAGTTGGGATTAAAATTATATTGTTCCACTAAAATCATCTCACCTTTTTCTTTTGTGCTAAGTTTGCTAACCCCTACTTCTTCGTGGTGTAACAGGTAAATGAGTACTCATCTCTGAAGAATGGAGTCTTGTATTCGTGGGGTGAATTGGGTCCGGGGTCGTTCTTCCTTCGCCTGGGAGGTCTCTGGTTGGCAGTCTTTACAGTTCTTGGAGGGCCAATTGCCGCTGCAAGCTTTAATCCTTCTAGAGTAAGGAAGTTAAAATATATGTGCATAATCATTAGGACATCTAATTAACTAATCAACAAGAAGTTTGATATATGGAATAGGATACCTGCCAGCTGCACACAAACAAAACTTTTATAAAGTGGCTCATAAAATTTCCTCTTGCCTCCGTCAACTTTCTCAATCTTGCAGGAACCTCTAAGATTTATACTAGCTGCTGGAACAGGAACGCTCTTCATTGTGTCTTTGATTGTCTTGAGGATTTATTTGGTGCGTTCAAATCCTCTTTCTGTTTTCATGTCAAATCACTTCATTACTGGGAACGGGAGATGATGCTGAGACAGACAGATTAAAAAAAAAACTTACTATCGTGTGTACACATCATGCATACCGTTTATATTCTTACCAAAATGCACAGCACAATGAGTTTTTCAACTGAATGTAATTTGTTTTCCATTCACACTAAGTCTACCTCATGATTAAGTGACTGAGCTGTGGCTGCACCTTCACACTTAAATAACTGTTGCAATTAAGATAATTTAATTACAATGCAGGGTTGGAGTTATGTTGGTGATAGACTTCTATCAGCGGTTATCCCTTATGAAGAAAGCGGATGGTATGACGGACAGATGTGGGTCAAGCCGCCCGAGGTTAGCCTCTTTTAACATTCTTCCTGTACCTAAGAACAGAACATAAGTATCCCAAAGAAATCATATGAACAAAATCGTATTAAAGGCTATAGATTTAGTGCGCTATATACATTGCAAACTGACAAATTAATGATTTTGTTTACAGCAGGATATTTTGACAGTAAATATACCGTCCTTAATGAACATAAAAATAGCAAATTTTAGACATTGCTTTACTAAATACTAGGATAAGATTTTAGCAACTACAACGAGTGTTATGGCTTCTCAAAATCGTAAAAGATACTTCTTCATTAAGCAGCAAGAAGGCTCTTCAGAACTAGTGAATATGAAGGAAAGGATATAGAATAAAGTGTAGCTGAAATGTTCTAACAATATTACTACTACTAAATGAACCATCATTTCAGGCAATATAATCTGAAAACCTAGTTTCTTTGCAGATCCTAGCTCGTGATAGATTGCTGGGCTCTTACAAGGTACTGGACATCACAAAGTATCACAGCATTGCTTGAATTCAGAACGATTTCGGATACAGACTAGAAGAGCAGTATGTTAAATTTGATTTCTTGCAGCATGATTCACGTATATTCCATGTTCCCAGGTTAAACCAGTTGTTAAACTGCTGAAGCAAACTCTAGTTGGGACAGGAGCATTGCTTGTCACAGGAGTTATGCTATTTATCTTTGCTACACCGGTGGAGAATTTTCTTCGAACTACCTTTACCACGGAAGAAATTAAATCAACCGTTCAAGCTCCCAAGGTTAACAACACAAAGCTCAACCTGAGGTAAGAGACGACATAAAGATCCTTTACTATCTACCAGAGTTTTTCCACAATGTCATTGCAATTTTTTTAATGCATATTGTAGAAAAGAGGAGTTGCTTAAATTGCCAGTGGAGGTAATAACTGATGATGATCTAGCAGCAGCTGCTGCCGAGGCTGCTGATGGAAGACCTGTCTATTGTAGGGATAGGTATTATCGAGCATTAGCAGGAGGGCAATACTGCAAATGGGATGATCTGCTCAAATAAAGGATAAAAAAAAGGCATATGTAGTCAGTTTCATTTAGTAAAAGCAGTTTGCAATTTGTCGTGACTCTATGGCCCAAGGCTTATTCTATCAGTTAAGAAAACCGTTAAGTGATTCAAAGCAAAGTCAAAGCCAGAAATAGATAGTGAAGAAACATTCAATCAAACCTAACAACATAAACTACATGTCATAACAGTAATATTTTTTTTTTTTCATATCAATCCAGAGGGAATAGCAACACATTTAAGAGGGGGGAATGTAAACAAGAAAAACATGGCTAAATATATCGATAAATATATACAAGTACAAAGACATAAAATTCCACATGCCTATGGGGATGATTCTATGTAAGCAGAAATTGTATTTTATATACCACAAGATATGATGGCCAAGTAAATTCCAGAAAACTGTCCAGCTCCATGATCTTTCCAATGGGGGGATGAAACTCATTATGCAATGAAACAACTAGCTTCCATAACACTGACCAAAATAAAGAATCTCTGTCTAATAACACAGATAGGCAACTGCAGAGGTATATTCCACGTGAAGATTCAGATTCCACAGCAATTCTGAGACAAGTAGAGCCAGAGAATATTTTCGAAAAAATCAATGTTGGTTCAAATCGGCTCAGGCATGATGAAAAGTAGAAGCGACTCCAGCCAATCCTTGACTTGACTTCAGTATTTGGCCAACATATCCACTCTATGCAGATGAAAAGTTGAATTTGCTCTAAAGTATAGAACAACTCGAGGCTTGTAATGAGTTTTCCTTTCAGTACTTACATTGCAGACAATCCATCCCGAGGATCTTGTAACTTTAAATGGACAGGGAAATATTCTAATCACTAAATAAATATTTGTAAAGAATTTGCCGATCTTTCCAAATTGGTCTAGCAAGGAAGGACACAATAAATTGTTAACAGTGTCATAAGCCCGAGGGATAATCTATCGAACAAGTTTCTTGCACCAATGAAGTATTCTAAACGTATGTGCTCCAACAACATTCCTAAATGATTTCTTGCTTGCTTTGACGTATTCAAGATCAAGTGTCCGATATGCAAGAGCAAACAGATACATTGCCGGATGAAGTCTTCTGCAGATTGCAGAACTGAGACAGTCAGTATACTCGACAAGCAAAAACTTGGGTTGGGTCTTTGGGAGAGAACTTCAAAAATATTAATTAGCTTCTCTACTTCTAGATGTCCAAGACGAGAAGTTAAAAATTAAGATATTTGATTCCTACCGACAGAATAAGTAAGCAAGTTTTCAGAATTCAGTAAGGGGAGCTAAGCTGAATTTGTTACATAACAGGCTTATAAATTCAGAACAATTTGTCTTTTGTATACATGGTTTCACAGAACTTTTCAGTCAAGAGCCAGTAAGATACCTCTTTTTAAAAAGTAAATAAAATGCGGCGGTGGACTTGATCACTTTACCAAGCCAAAATGCTTCTCGAGTAGACTTCAATAAGTTGAAAGATAGTTTAAACAACATAGAGATGAAGTGCAAATTGTAAAATACAAATGTCAACTTCTCGTTTCTTTGTCCATTTCAAATTTTCCCCAAGATCCATAGTATTATTTATACTTCATTAATGATTTGACATTTGTTTGTATAAACTTCTTCATAAACACTTATAAAAAAAGAAAAAATTGAAAAAAAAAGTAAAATAAACTTTACCATAAGTTAATAGGATCTTATACATAAGTTAGTTTGTAGAAATTATCTCATATCAGCTCCTATATAAGATGATTTTATATTCATACATAAATTAATTTTAACTTATGGAAAAGTTTACCTTATCTTTTCTTCTTCTAAAAATGTTAATAAAGAAATTTATTCAAACATATCTTCGATAACATACGTTTTAAAAAAGAAAACTTTTGTTGCTAAAATTGAATAAATTTGCATAAAGTTAAAAGAGAAGGAACACCTAATTACTTAACTCACCCGTCAGCTTGCATGTTATAGTCCAAACCACCCCAGAACCTTTGTGATGGCTTTGTACGACCGTTCTTATCTTTGCCATATGTTTCAACATACCAGCCCCCTATATCATGTAAGCCACAGCGAGGCTCAAATAGCCAAAATCTGTATAATGAAGGCATTAATATTATTGGAACGTATTATAAACAGTAATGAGAGAGCAGCAGACAATCTTCATCTTCATAAATAACAAGTTGAGGAATCGTAGAAAATTCAAACAAACTTGAAACACAGCATTAGTTCATTTTTGCAGATAGAAGCAGTAGGGTTACAGAGAGAGTTCTGAGTAATAAATCAACAAACCACAAAATTATTCCATCAATTCTGCTTTGATTCCCCAAGGAGGTGCAGATACCATTTTCTTGAGTGTTGAAAGTTAATTAACCCAAAGACCAAATTGCTGCAACCATTTAACCTTTAATAGAACCATTGGTTAGCTTAACACTTGGAAATGTATGGGGGAGAGGGGGGGACATGAAAAGGGAAGAGAAAGACCACAAGTTCTAACAAAGAGAACACCATGGAATTTGTTTCCTTATTTATAAGAAAACAATCCCATGTTGACCCAAAAAAGAGAGACAAACAAATTACATAATGATGAAAAGAGAGCAGACAGCTTCGGTGTACATGCATTAATTAATCCCAAAGAAATTGTTGTGCTAACTCAAACATCAATACAATTATAGAGAGATGTCAGAGCTTTACTTGCTTGGGGGTAAACGTGCTCTACTGCATCTACACTCGCAAACTGAAACTTTCTCACCCGCTTCATACCAATGCATATGCTTCACCTGAACATTTTGTCATAACATGCATATTATCAGCATCTAGTTAAACCAAGTTATATAAGGCTAAGTTTCTAGCAAGATCACGAAAGTCAAACCACATTTCTTCTGATATTTGAAAATATTAGAAATAAAAACAAATGAGACTTAGTACTAATGCAAAAACAAAATTTCCATCTAGATTGTCAGAATCAATCGATGTTATTATAACCAGTAAATGAATATTATTAATTTCATCATTATTCTGATTGATTACATTAGACAGTAAATATTTTTATAAATTGGGAATCAATCGATGTTATTATAACCAGTCAATGAATATTATTGATTCATCATTGTAAGCATTCCGATTGATTACATTAGACAGTAAATATTCATATAAATTGGGAATCAACCTTTATTGTGATTATATTGTCATGGAAACCTCTCCTGATTCCTTTCTTGTTCTAATCTACCATTATGGCATATTATTTCCCCCTTTTTATAAGAGAGATTGCACTGTTTGACTAAAGTTAGATACAAAGAAATATCTCCCAAATTAAGCTCTAAGTGTTAAAACATCAAGACCATGGGAAAGCAACATTACATACCATCAATGTTCTGTGCTTCATAATCGCATGGGTCTTTGTACCCTTATCATTGTAAACATAACAACAACCTTCATCTGGACTGCTCCCAAGTCCAGATATGGTTCCCAAATGAATTCTACTTCCAACTGCACCATTTGCTTGGTAATCTTTCCAAAAACCACTGCTGATATGTTTGGGATCTTCATATAAGTTAAGGAACACATGAATATGATCTTCAGAATCTTCTGTCTGCATTACATCAGAACCGCATCTAGGAAGGGCCCTAGATGCTGTAGCAACCACTCTTCCAGCGATGTGCAATTCTAGATGTCTATATGCATCTGATACAATACTTGAAGTTTTAGAGCTGAGACCTTCATAGGTTTCAAAATCATCTGATCTTTCTGCATTCCTGTGGACATTCATATTTGTTATAGATTGACTCAGGTCAGAATGAAAGGATCTAAAAGATGTTAACTTCTCGTTGTTAGTAGTTGATATCTCTGGAACCTTGTTGGCTAGGCAAACCATCCCAAAAAGATCACGACCCGAAACTAAGTGCAAAACCTCAGGAGTATCATAAGAGGACCTTTCCTCAGCTTCAAAGCAGTCAGGAAGAAGTTCCATCGGCATAGAGTCAATTTCAGGACCATAGTATGCTGCATGAATAGCTGAATAAAAATCTCTCTCAAGTACATCGAAATAGCCTGTTCCATCTACCACCTTCTTTTCTGCCAAAATATTATTTATAGTTAACCTGTACCATTTTAACCATTCAACAACTTCCATCACCTTGAACGTGGTACCTTCTGATTTGTAAATATACAATTTAGAACCCTGATTAGAATGCTTTTGCATAAGCTTTTTCTGCGACAACAGGTACATGTCATAATGGGCTCTCTTTTTAGAATCTGAAAGAATCTGCAATGCATCATAGATTACACCGTCAAGTCAATAATCCCTGTAATATAACCCTGGAAAAACGTCATTCTAGACTTTAGTTAGTTACCCACACAGACTCCATATATGTTCTACAAGATTTCCAGAAGTTAAAGTCATGAAATATGTGGTCATCTTTCCGATAGGATGAACACATTATGGCCAACAAATCAGCAAAAAACACCAAAAAAATATACATTAGACCGTACAACATATCAAAAATTGAAGAAAAATATGCATACAAAAAACTTCATATTCTCTAATATGTTTGGCTTATTTATCCAAAAAACAATATAGGAAATCCTTGAGGGGCAATGGAAGTGTGAGTTGGAGTCTCCGAAACCTAATACCTTAAAATTTTGGATTAAAAAAAATATCATATTCTCTAATATGTTTGGCATATTTATCCATTTGGGAATACCTCTTCAGTGTTCTCTCACTTGGAAATACTTAACATGGACAGCTGTTCACATTATTCACAGCAATATCCACGGGAGCTTCTTTGAACCCATTGCATCATTTTGACAATTTTTCTGTGACTAAGGGCTACTAAAAGGCATTGGAGAAACAAAATACACTGTCAAAACGCTATTACGACTACGTTATTTCTCAACTTCACATGCATTTAATTATCAACTTCGATATGCATTCCTGGACATTCAAACAAAACCAATTATTCAGTCCACTAAACACAACCGTAAGGGAAACATCACCTGAACATAATTTTAGGGCATTCTTGTATAAGCCAGGCATGGTTGATTCGATTTTATTCAAACTCTAATTTAACCTTGTCTCAAAAAAATTTGATCAGTAAGAAAACCACCCCTACAACTTCTGATTGAGGGTATAGTCATGAATGACACTAATCATAATTCACAAGCCGGAGCTTAATTTGCACAAACCTCGTAGGCAGCCAGAATTTGCACAAATCGTCGAGACGCACTGGAACCGTTGCTTGCCTCCGCGAGGTCCGGGTGAGTTTCTTTGGCCAATTTGCGAAAAGACGTTTTAATCTCGGCAAAAGAACTGGTCTCGGTCACTCCTAACAGCTCGTAGGCGTTCTCTATGGGTAAATCTGTCCAAGCTGATTCGGAAGCGCTACTGAAGCCATGTTCTCCCCGACAGAGTGATACGATGTCGTAGAGCGTTAAAATGGTGCTGTTTGGTATAACTGATGTAAAGAATTTTGGCCTCCGGTTATTCATTCCGACGACTGTGATGTATCCTGCACCGGCGAGATAAACCATGGCTATCCCTCTTTTTTCTGTTATTATAATTATTATTGTAATTAAAAAAAATGTAATTGCAGAACCTCCAGACCGTCACACCTCAGAAACAAGTGCTTGCATACGGTGAAACTATCCGAAGAACATCTCAAGAATTAGTACTTTTTATTTATATTTTTATAACTTTTTATTTGTATTTTAATTAGACATTATATTAAAAAAATACTTTTATTAATTTTTTAAATTTAAAATACCGTAAAGTGATCATATCTCTGTAGCATTGATCTTAATCATTGATTTTATATTAAAAATATTAAATTTAAAAATATAATATGAATCATTCTAATAGATTAAAAGGTCGTTGTAGGGCTGCACAACGAAGAGGATCCGAACTCCTTCCATTATAAATGTGTTTATAAGATTTACTTATGAGATGTATAATAATTTTAATGAATTTTTTTTAATAAACATACATCTTAAAAAAATCAATGAGATTTATAATAATTCTATTATTTCGTGTTTGAACAAGGAATTTAGAAGAGATAATTTATTTTTATATATTTAAAATCTTTATGACAAAATATACTAATAAAATTTTTATTGAACAAGATAATTTTTTAGATGATATAATTCAGCATTTTTATTCAATGATGGTAGAGATTATTTTCTGTAGTAATTAATTTTTGTGATTTTTGTATAAGTTATTTATTAATTAATTTCATTACTATTATTTGATGGTTATTTTTTGTATTTAATAATAACTAAAATATTTTATTTAAATAAAAGATAAAATTCAATAAATCTAAATTATATTTTCTAAAAAGAGAATTAGGTTAAAAATTTGTAGTAACTTAGTTCAATCATTTTCTTCAAAGTTTTTTATAAATAATATTTAAAATATTGAAATTAAATTTGTTTTATCCACCACAACGTTTATTAATTATGATAACTAATTATAAATTTAAAATAACCAATTATATATCAGTTATGTGTTTACTCACGTATTAGAGTAATCAATTATGTTGTTTTTAATAAATAAAAACATTTTTATATATTTTTAAAAAATATTCCACAAACTTCACCCTTTTACTCATTACAAATACTTCTACCCTTTATATTCTTATTTATTATAGAATTATAAGAGAAATGTCAATGAAAAATGTCTCTTATTATAGCTTTATAAGAAAAATGTCATTGACGGATTAACTCAAAGTCTAGAGTTAAAGACGATCTCCAATTATTAAACTACTATAATTTTTTGATAATAATTTACAAATAAATTATATTTATATATAAATATACAAATATATTTATATATTTATATATTTATATATTTATATATTTATATATTTATATATTTATATATTTATATATTTATATATTTATATATTTATATATTTATATATTTATATATTTATATATTTATATATTTATATATTTATATATTTATATATATTTGTATATTTATATATTTATATATATTTGTATATTTATATATTTATATATATTTGTATATTTATATATTTATATATATTTGTATATTTATATATTTATATATTTATATATTTATATATATTTATATATTTATATATATTTGTATATTTATATATTTATATATAATTAAATATTTATTTTTTTAAATTATTTAATTTAATAAATTATTATAAATTAATCTAATTATGATTAAATTAAATTATTAAATAAAAAATATTTTATTTTTTAATTAGGTGAATAATTAAATTATATTATATAATTTTACCGACGGATATATCCGTTGGTAAATAATTGTTAATTTACCAATAGAAATATTCAGTCGGTAAATAATTGTTAATTTACGAGATGAATTTATTGATCGGATATATTCGTCGGTAATTAATTGTTAATTTATCGATCGGATAAATTCATCTATAAATTACTCACGGATATATCCGTCGGTAAATTCATCTATAAATTATCGATGGATATATCCAGTTGGTAACATCAAATTCCACCAATATTTTATATCCGTCTGTAATTTCTATCAGTAATAATTATTTTTCAACGACTACAAATCCGTCGGTAAATATCCGTGCAATTTTCTTGTAATGACTGAATATTTCCAATCTAATACATGCATTATAATAAATGAACACGAATAAATAAATATATATATATATATATATATATATATCACTAAAATAACTTTCGTCTTTTATCAACAATGTGAAATATATCTAACATTTTTTAATAAAATATTTCATATTCACTAGTACAAAAAACACTTTTAACATCGGACTTTTTACATCGGTTGTTAAAGAACCGATGTAGAAAATTTTTTAAAGCCTTTCCACATCGGTTCCACCATGAACCGATGTGGAAAGTGCTTTCTACTCGATTTAAAATAATTCGATCGATCATAAACTCATTCTGATCGATCATCCAGCTTCGATCGGTCATAAAGTCATTCTGATCGGTCATCTGATATACTATTTTACTTTCTAATGTGGTTGTATATGTGGTTGTATACAGGGAATTGAAAAATGTGGTTGTATATGATAGCGGTTAAATCTTAACCGCTATTATAATAGCACTTCTAATAGCGGTTAAGTCTTAACCGCTATTATATAGCACGTCTAATAGCGGTTAAATCTTAACCGCTATTATATATATTCAAATATGATCGATCATTTGAAAATGTAATCGATCATAACCAAAAATGTGGATGTCGCTCGAGCGAGACAAGTGTCGCTCACGCGAAAAACCACCCGAGAAGGCCAATTTTGTGCAGGTGGCGTCGCTCGAGCGAGACCAGTGTCGCTCAAGCGAAATACAACCCGAGAATGCCAATTTTGTGCAGGTCGCGTCGCTCGAGCGATCTTATTGTCGCTTGAGCGAATGTTGACCTGCGTAAACATCGATCAAAGTTAGCCGGATAATGTAACATGGGAGACCTCATGTTAGAATCGGATGTCGCTCGAGCGAGTATGGTGTCGCTCAAGCGAAATACAACCTGAGAAAGTGCTTTCTACTCTGATTTAAAATAATTTTGATCGGTCATAAACTCATTCTGATCGATCATCCAGTTTTGATCGGTCATAAAGCCATTCTGATCGGTCATCTGATATACTATTTCACTTTCTACATCGGTTCCCCCATGAACCTGTTAGGATCGAGCGCTTACCACTAGGCCAAAAGCTATAGCCATTAGTCAGAGCGCAACTCTTTTTACTTTAACAGCCCAAGCGCCACGATTCAATTGTGACTCGGCCCACCTGACCTTCGTCACAGGACAATTGATGCTACCTGCAACAATCTCCCCCTCAGCAATTGTCCTACAAGGTATCCCACTCTTGGATTGTGACTTGGCCCACCCGGCCTCTGCCACGGGACAATTGTGCAACCTGCAACAATCTCCCCCTCAACAATTGCCCACCAGGAATCGAACTCGTGACCTTGGCTCTGATACCAATTGTTAGGAACAAGACAATAATAAAGGAAAGAATAAAGGAGAGAAAAATAAACGACACAAGAATTTTTAACGTGGTTCGGCTAAAATATGTATGCCTACGTCCACGACTACACTAGGAAGTATTTTTATTTCTGTGTGTATCTCAAACTTTACATAGGGTTGTTTATATAACAAAATAGAGAATCTCATCTCACAATCCTAATCGATGTGGGACTAAATCAAGCACCATAATACTAACAATTCTCCCACTTGGAGTTTGATTTACGTTACCACCTAGTGTAGTGCCTTCATCATCAATTTGCTCGAAGGCCAGTTGAGGCAATGCAAAGCCTCAACTTAGTTGTTGTAACAGTCTTGGTCAACATATCAGCGGGATTCTCTGCACCTGGAATCTTCAACAAACTCAAGTCTCCATCATTTATCAGGTTTCTGATAAAATGATACTTCAATTCAATGTGCTTACATCTGGAATGAAGGATTGGATTTTTAGCAAGACAAATAGCACTTTGACTGTCACTAAACAACGGAGAACCATCTTGTTCTCTTCCTAATTCTTTTAGAAGGTTCTTCAACCATATCATCTCCTTCGCTGCTTCTGAGATAGCTACATACTCGCTTCAATGGTTGAGAGAGACCCTTCCTTGAAGTTTAGACTTTCAACTGATAGTTGTACCACCCAATGTAAAAATATAACCCTGTTGTGCTCTTTCTACCGTCAAGATCACCTCCCAAGTCTGCATCAGAAAACCCCGTAAAATGAGATTACTTCTCTTGAAAGACAAATGCATCTTTGAAGTGCCTTTCAAATATCTGAATATCCACTTCACTCCTTCCCAATGCTCCTTTCCGGGATTTGATAGAAATCTGCTCACAACTCCTACTGCATGTGCTATGTCTGGTCTGGTGCAAACCATAGCATACATCAAGCTTCCTACTGCAGATGCATATGGCACTTTAGACATGTGACTTTCTTCTTCTTCTGTTTGAGAAGATTGCCTCTTTGAAAACTTTAAGTGAGTTCCCAAAGGTGTATTCCTGGTTTTAGCATTCCCAACATTGAATCTGCTAAGCAATTTTTCTATATATTTTTCTTGAGATAAGTTCAAAATACCTTTATCTCTATCTCGGGAGATTCTCATACCAAGAATTTGCTTGGCTGGACCAAGATCCTTCATTTCAAAGCTCTCTGACAATTGTTTCTTCAACTTGTCAATTTCTGCCATATTAGCTCCAACAATCAACATGCCGGGTGGGCCAAGTCACAATCCAAGAGTGGGATACCTTGTAGGACAATTGCTGAGGGGGAGATTGTTGCAGGTAGCATCAATTGTCCTGTGACGAAGGTCAGGTGGGCCGAGTCACAATTGAATCGTGGCGCTTGGGCTGTTAAAGTAAAAAGAGTTGCGCTCTGACTAATGGCTATAGCTTTTGGCCTAGTGGTAAGCGCTCGATCCTAACAATTGGTATCAGAGCCAAGGTCACGAGTTCGATTCCTGGTGGGCAATTGTTGAGGGGGAGATTGTTGCAGGTTGCACAATTGTCCCGTGGCAGAGGCCGGGTGGGCCAAGTCACAATCCAAGAGTGGGATACCTTGTAGGACAATTGCTGAGGGGGAGATTGTTGCAGGTAGCATCAATTGTCCTGTGACGAAGGTCAGGTGGGCCGAGTCACAATTGAATCGTGGCGCTTGGGCTGTTAAAGTAAAAAGAGTTGCGCTCTGACTAATGGCTATAGCTTTTGGCCTAGTGGTAAGCGCTCGATCCTAACAGAACCGATGTGGAAAGTGCTATCTACTCTGATTTAAAACAATTCTGATCGGTCATAATCTCATTCTGATCGATCATCCGGTTCTGATCGGTCATAAAGTCATTCTGATCGGTCATCTGATATACCATTTTACTTTCTACATCGGTTCCCCCATGAACCGATGTGGAAAGTCTTAAAAAAAATAATAATAATAAAAATTTCAGACAATAAGCCCTAGACTCCACTCTTGCCCTTACGGACTCGACTCCTCCGGAATTCTTCCCTTGCTCCTAGCCATTACCAAATTCATTCTCGCGATGAGCGAAAACCACCGTCTCCTTGCCCCTATCGCAGTAGCGAAAACCACTGTCTCTCCCATCTCCTTCCCCCAATCGAATCCCTAACCTCCGTTTCCCCAATCGAATCCCCAAGCGAAAATCACCCTTGCCGTGCACCAAGAACTGCGACGCGCACCAGGAACTGCGACGCGCACCAAGAACTGCGACGCGCCACCCTCGTCTTCACCTCTCTGAAACCCTCTAGGAGCTCCTCCTCATTGCACCTGCGCACCTTCGATCTCGTCGCGAACCGGAGATGATTCGGACCAGGTCCGTGGGTCTATCCTATTGGCTTCTCATCCTTGCTTTGTCAATTACCTTTATGCATTTTCCTTGATTCTCGGATTGTTTTGTTTGGTCGTGGACTCGATTCTCGCCTGGGTTTAATGTATGTAGACATGTTTATTCTGGGTTTTGTATTATTATTTCCGTTTAGTTTGACTTGAATATGTGATTTTCACTTGGTTATTCTCGTGGGGTTGAGATTGGTGTTATCCAAGCCCTGTTGGGTTGGTTGATGTCGCTTTGGTCCGAGTCTCTTAGCGGAAGAGTTAAGGCTATGGGTTTCCACGCTGGGGTGTAGGGCTTTGGGGTATTGATTATATTTGGTTCTCTTGTTTTTCATTTGGGTTTGTTTCTTATGTTGTTGATTTAGGTTTGTTCTTTGTGTTGTTTGTTTTGTTCCTGGAGTTTTACTGTTGTTCCAGTACTATTTCAGTTTGGATTATAGTTTGAGTTGTTTAAGTTTGTTGCCTCTGAATAGAGGTAATTCCATTTTCACACTAAGCAAAGACGTCATGTACCTATAGATATGGATCGGAGTTGGATAAATGTCAAACGTATAGAAGAAGAATATGAATTAGGGGTTGAAGAGTTCTTAGAGTTTGCACAGAGAAATGTGGGTAACAATAGAGGTCTCTTTTATTGTTCTTGTGTGAAGTGCTTAAATTTAAGACAACTAAGTGTGAAGGATATAAGAGAGCATCTCCTTTGTGATGAATTTTGCAAGAGTTACACTAAGTGGATTTGGCATGGGGAAGTAGTAGATTTCCCAATGGCTTCAGAGACAACTGAAATCCAGAAAGAAACCAATGATCGACTAGAGGATTTGATACGTGATATCGGTGAAGAGCCATTTGAAAAAGGATATGTATTCGAAGAACTATGCGAAGATAGTAAGAAGCCTCTGTATATAGGATGTTCTAAGTTCACACGGTTGTCAGCAGTGTTAAAATTATAGGCTAGGAAAGCATATACCTTTACAGATCCAGATAGAGAAGGGGAAGGAGAAAGAGAAAGAGAAAGTTCAAGAGGAACTGGACTTAGATCCGATACAAAGGTTATGCCTCTTAGCTTATAGGCTAGGAAAGCATATACCTTTACAGATCCAGATGGACCCTCATGTGATTGGGAATCCGCAGCCCATCACGTTGTACTTGAGTCAGAAGGACATTATGGATGTTGTTTTGAGTCAAGACATGATTTGCGTCACAATTCTCCAAGTCTGGTTAATGTAAGTCTTATGTTTTTATTTAAGTCAATTGGTTGTATGCCCTATTAGACACCAACTTGTCTAAAATGCAATTAACATGATATTTTCAATTTCTAGTTACCTCAACAAAGTCATTGCGGAAAAGGGAGTAGAAGATGTTTATGGATTCATTGATCCTGTCCACATTCGGAGTTTGGGGAACAAACCAAATACTATTCAAGCATACATTCAAAAGAGATTTTGTGAAGGATCAAAGGAAGTTTATCTCGCACCATATCATTATGGGTAAGTTTTTTTAAATTACTTACTTTCAAACTTTGAATCTCTTAAGAATTGCTAATTGAGCGACATTTTTTGTAGGTCTCACTGGCAACTGTTTATCCTTTGTCCTAAACGTAATGAGACTATTTTTTTATGCTCTTTATGGAATAAACCCAAAAAGGAAATTAAACAGATTATTGATGTGTAAGTATACTAACACCCTTATATATGAATCTGTCTTTGTGACTAATTAAATACTCTAGGTCCGGTTCATGACAGATTAAATAACCGTAAAGATATGTGCTTCACTCCTTTGAGCTAAATAGTATCCAGATTTTACTTTTTATATTCATAAGTAAGTACTTCATAATAATTGTGCTTCATTCCCAAATCCCGATCCGAACAACATTCAATTGTTTAAGATAAGTATACTAACACCCTTGTATAATATTTCATTCATTTCATTTTAAGTTCCACATGTCTTAATATGAAGTATTTTCCATTTAATCTTTTATAGGTGTATAGAAGCATACTCAGTCATGGAGGGTAAGCCTAAAAAGAAACACACATGGATACTTCCACGTGTAAGGACATTATCTTTCAAATTCTTAACTTTAATTTACTCATTTTCTGTATTTAATGTTTTTTTTTCTTATAGTGTAATAAGCAAAAAGGAAGTTGGGAGTGCGGATATTATGTGATGAGACATATGTTAACAATCATCACAGCAAATATCACAGATTCATGGAATTTGGTATGTGTTATGACTATATCTATGTCATTGACATATATTTGCCTACTTCTGCTTATCTGAAATGTTTTTTTTTTTTTTTGTAGATATTCGATGATGGTCATCCAATAAGTGAAGCAGAGATTGATGACATTAGACGAATTTGGGCAGATTTTGTTATTAAGAACTATAGTCGTGATTGAATTTAATTGTGAAACATTAGGACTGCTAGTTTCTTTGTATATATAAACTTAGAATACAATACATGTTTATTGTTTTTGTTGATACAATACAATGTAGATATATAATATACATTATGTTTACTTGTGTGTTAATGCATGTCCTCTATATATAGATTAACATTCTGAGTAGCTATAAATATTTAAAATGTTGTACAGGTTCTGAAAAATCAAAAACTAAAATTCGTATTTAAAAAAAAATATGACTTTCCACATCGGTTATGGCCATAACCGATGTAGAAAGTGATTTTTAATACTTTCCACATCGGTTCTAGGCCATAACCGATGTAGAAAGTCCGATTTTCCACATCGGTTATAGCTATAACCGATGTGGAAAGTCAGACTTTCTACATCGATTATGGCTCTATAACTCGATGTTAAAACTCACCAACTTTCTACATCGGTTGTATCTACATCGGCTCTAGAACCGATGTAGAAAAGCTGCTAAGAACCGATGTTAAAGGTGTTTTCTGTACTAGTGATTTTTAAATTTATCTAATAATGTCTTTATTTGTAATGTAAAAATAAAATAAAAAAATTACATACTTAATTTTTGTTGTTGAAGATTGATGTTGGTGGAGGAAGATTCCATGGCTGCAAATTGTAACAATTATGGTTCATGCAATAAACATTAATTTTGTTAGTTGTTTTGTTTGTATGTTCAAATAATAAATACTGATTATACACTATATTAATTATATTTTATTATTACATTTATTTGAGTATTATAATTTTTCAGAAATATAAAAACTGTAGGGATTAAAAACTAAATCAATTGGGTTGTGACAAGAATTTAATTTTATGAATGATTAAAATTAAATAAATTCTGTAATTAATAGTGACGAATATATTATGATTTAAGATTATATAATTATTTATTAAAAGCCTGATAAGTTATAAATGCTTCCATTTCTTGACCTTTATTAATATTATAATCTATTGATTTTTTTCCATTTGTAACCCTAGTATTTCATAAATTATTTATTTAAAAACTTTTATTATTTTAAAAAAATCATAAAATGGTTACAATTAATTAAATTGGTGCAGTCAAAATTTAATTATACAAATGACACATCAATTGAATTTTTAAATACTACTATATTTTAAAATAGTAAAATAATAATATAGCATAAAATATTAATAATCAAATTGTAATAAATTTGTTATAAAACACGTACGATTGGCATAAACCTTTAATCATAAAGTGTAGTAATTTAATTATATATAACCCCACACCCTAAACCAAAATTAAAAATAGATATAAAATCTAATCATAAATTACATATATATCTATTATTTATCTCTATCTATATATCTATATGTATCTATATCTCTATATATAAAATCTCTCTATATATAAAAGTTTGATTTTTTAATTATTATTAAAATAAACTAATCATTATTATTTTATATAGATTTAATTTCTAAAAATTATATAATCAATATTCAAACGCTATTTAATTTAAAAGATATATTTAATTATATGTATATTATATAAATAGTAGTAATGGCAATCAATTCATTATTTATTAAATACAATTAAGATTATTTAATTAAAAATTATACAATAACTGCTAATCAAGTGATTTTATTAAACCGAAGAGACTTTAATAAATCCTTCTAAAGTTTTCATTTAGGTCCCAATTCCCATGTAATTGAGATAGGACTTCCCACAATGTTTTTTCCATTTGACCATTCTAAACGTCCAAAACCAAGCTGAGTTGGTGGTGGTGGATATGAAGCTGCAAATGTTACCGTGTATGATTTTTTCTCATTTTTGTTGAAACTCAACACGTTTGGCTCAACTGTAACATTGACGGATGGGATATCCAATGTAACTGAGACTTTGTATGTTCCTGCGACCCCCACATTAGTTAGAGTTCGCTCGTGTTTGACGATCGTTGCATTGGAACTTCTTGCTATCGGTTTGAACACCACGCCAAACGAAGGGTAATTTAGATCCGTTACACTGTAGTGCTTATGTGCATCACAGGTGAACTTTCTCCTTGCCACAGCTTCAATCCTATCAGCTGTGTAGTTCAATGCACAAAGGAAGTTGAGATAATCATCCGCTGTCAGATCGTAAACAAGTCCTGGGTTAAGCGCGGCAATGGGGTTCACATGTCCAGCACCAACCCCAAACGGTGTTGCAGGGGCATTCGTGGCACTGTCTAATAGTTTTTTACCATTGTTGTAGGACGTATAAGCTGTGGTCATAAGTGCAGACCGAATTGCAGCTGGGCTCCAATTTGGATAGGTTGATTTAATCAAAGCTGCTATACCGCTGGCGTGAGGGCATGACATGGATGTTCCTGTGATTAAGTTAAAATCCACACGCCTATCATCTATTTCGAGGTTTGTGGGACCCGCATTCTTGGTAAATGCGGCTAAGATGTTTAAACCAGGAGCAATGAAATCAGGTTTCAATATGTCTGGTGTGATTGGGTTTGGACCACGAGAACTAAATGCCGAAACAATGGGCGATGGCTCAATTCCAACCTTTGTTCCCTGGAAAACAAGTGTAGCTGTTGGATTTTGGGCATGTTGCAAGTACATCTTGATGGCTTTGGAGGAATTGAAGCCCACTGCAGCTGCTGGCAAAAGATGGGCATCCGCCACCAATTCCTCTCCATTAGTTTCTGAATTGCCTAACACCATTCCCACACCTCCAGCAGATTTCACCACAATCCCTTTCTCTACCCTTGAATTATTTCCACGATCACAAAACACAATTTTCCCCTTAACCTTTTCTGGATCCAAGCTATCTTTCACGCAGAACTCTGCACCTTCTTTTACGCTTGCATTTCCAGCATATATGAGTGGCACAAAAGTACGAGGCGTAAAACTACCATCGTTAATTGAAACGCCTTGATAGTTTTCTCCATTCCCGAGTTTGACATATACTGGAAAATCACGATCTATTGATCCAGCTCCCACGGTGATCACCCAAGGTGCTACATTTTGGAGAGAAGATTTAGTAGGACCGCTGTTTCCTGCAGCACATGAAACTACAATCCCTTTCTCCATCGCTGCAAAGGCTCCAATGGCAAGGTTTTCTTCATCATAATCAATTGCTTCACCTCCGAGTGACGCTGAAATGACATTGACATTGTCAGCGATGGCTGCGTCCATTGCAGCCAATAGATCAGAAGCAACGCAGTTATCTTCCCAACAAACCTTATAGATAGCAACTCTGGCGTGCGGGGCCATCCCACGTGATGTCCCAGAAGCGTAGCCAAATAAGTTCGCTCCTTTCACTGCAGAACCTGCAGCTGTGCTTGCGGTGTGGGTGCCATGGCCATCAGCGTCTCGTGGTGACCTAAACTGTTTGGTTGCATTAAGGGGACCCACTGAGGCCTCGTAGCCTTTTAAGAAAAACCTAGCTCCGATTAATTTCTTATTGCAATTAGCGGCAGTGAAATTGTCACCTGATTCACATGTGCCTTTCCAACTCGTAGGGATGGGTCCTAGTCCGGTATCGTCGAAGCTCTTGCTTTCCGGCCAAACACCAGTGTCGAGGAGACCAATAATGATGTCACTTGTCACATTTGACACAGGGAACATGTTTGAGATTTTCTCAAGGCCAAGAAACTGCGGTGTTCGAGTTGTAAGTGGCTTGTATATTTTTTCCGGTAGCACCTTTAGAACCCCGATTTGACTCTTCAATGATCGAGCTTCTTCCGGAGTTAATCTTGTTGAAAATCCATGAATCGCATTGTCATAGGTGTAGAGCATTTCTGTTGTTGAGTTGGATATCGATTTCAAGATGGATCTATACCAAATTGAATGGTGATTTAAGATTGTTGGCATTTGCGATTTGGCTGCATGGACTATGTAAGTACTCTTTTGATTATCCTTTGTGTTTTCTATCCTCGCTAGAGATACATCAGAAAGAATAAAAAAGAAAACAAAAGTAATTGCAAGAAATGGTTTCTTAAACCTCACCATGCTAACCATCTTTGTTTGTAGTGAAACTGTTGATGAAATGTAATAGAGTATTTGGCTCTATAAAGGGATTATTTCCAATGCATAATATATAATAATTGTTGTCACAAAGAAGTGTGCAGGTGAAGAAAAGGAGAGAGAAAATATTTAATTTTGGTTGTTAGATCATTAAATTGATACATTGGAGGTGAAAATACAATAGCACAAAGATATCAAGATGAAGGGACAGAAACAATTAATCCAAGTTAACATTTTTTTTTCTCATGTAACATAGTGAGTTACATTTTGACTTTGCTTCGTTACATAATGAATTAATTGTATAATTAATAAATTGAAAAACAGAAAGGAAAAGAGACATCATATGAAAATGCCGTTTCAACTTTGAGGAATTAATAGTCTTCAAATAATTAAAAACGACAGATATAAAATATCTATTAAAATATTTAAGATTTAAGATTTTTAAATTAATATATATTTTAATACTATCAACAACATATTTTTTGAGAATATTAAAATTATAAGTTTTATATAAGAGTTATAGACTCAAAAAAATAGTTACTAGCTTTCTTCTTTTTTAAGTTGACCAAAATCCAAATTTGAATTTACGTAAAATATTTAAATAAATAAAAAGACCATATACAGTTGATTTTAAATAATGTAATATTTAATATTTTTAAATCCAAATATTAATAATGATAATAGAATATATTCATGATTCAATAATTACATAATAAAAAAATTGTCAGTTTAATTTTTAAAGTTGACCAACAATCCTATTTGAATTTAAATTTAAGACTTATAAATCCAAGTATTAAATAATGTTAACAGAATATATTAATAAATGAAAAGTTAAAATGTATTAAATAAAGATGATTACCAGTTTAATTTGTTAAAAGTTGACCAAAAATCCTATTTGAATTTAAATTGAGTGCAACTGTAGTTTTTATAGTAAGAGTCCCTTTTGTAGTAAAGAAATAAATTAAAACAAGAAAAAAATGATAAAATACAAATAATATGTTAGAGAAGGGAGTGATGAAGAAAAATGTTAATTTAAAAAATATATATAATTATATATTTATTTAATTATAGAAAGTTATTCATACAGTTATTAATTAATATTTTATAAATAACACAGTTTTAAATTTAATATATTTAATTTTTTAAATAATATATTATTTAATATATATTTATAAGATTATTTTATTATAAAATTATTGTTTTCTAATATAATTAAATTTAAATTAATTAAATAATATTATATTAAAAATATAAAAATATATTAAATTAGACAACAAATTAAAAAATATATTATTTTATAAAATTATTCTTATTAAAATGAATATTTTTTATATTTAAAATTTTAATATATATATATATATATATATATATATATAATTTTAATTATTATTTTAATAAATTATCACCATAAAAAATAAATTTATTATTCCTAATGTAATATTATTTTATTAATTTAAATTTTAATATTTTTAAAATATATAATTTTATAAAAAATAAATTTTAATTTTAATTTATTTATTATTTTATAAACATACATTTATATATATATATATATATATATATATATATATATATATATTTAAAGTGACATATGTTTCATTTTATTTTTTATTCTTTTGTACTTTTTCCTCGCTACCAAACACACCTAGATTAATTTTTTGAGAGTTATTAATAGAAATGTTTTGGTAAACATGCTTAAAGGAAATGTTATTAAAAATTATTCTCACTCTTTTTTTTTTTCAAGACTTATTCTATCAAATATATCAAAATTAAACAAAATTAGATTATTTATTATTTTTATTCTAAATTTTTAATTTTAAAATGTATCTTGCAATTAAAATTTTAAGTTGCTTGAAATTTCAAGACACATAACTCATTTCTCATTTCATCTATACTAACTCTTTTGATCATAACTTGTTATGTAAACATTCTTTTTAATTAATTTATATTTTATTAGATTCTTTGTGTTTGAAATTTTGATTTTCGTATATGAAACATTAAGTTTGTAATTCATAACTATTTTTTTATGATTTTATGAAAATTATTATGCAAATTTGAAAGCAACTGAATTCGAAAGCAACCGGATTTAAAAGCACTAAATGAATTTTAAATATGCTAAGCAAAATTTTAATAAAATATAACCTCAAACACTGCTTAAAATTTATTGGACAAATTTGAAAACACTGGACGAATTTTAACTATTTTCAATAATATCTTAATTTCTCTAAACGAAATTATTATTCGTTAATATTACCAATTTCTTATTAATATAATATTTTTCAATTTACAACTAGTTTAATTTATTGATTTTTATTCGTTAATATTACTAATTTCTTATTAATAATATTATTTGAGCAATTATTTACAATAATGATTCTATCTATCGGTAATTGTTCTTATTCAATTTAATATATGTAGAACAAATTGAAGAATTTTCTTAAAATGTTTTGCTACAGTTTAATGTTAGGTGATCAATTTTAATAAAATGCTTAAAAATTTAATTTCTAATCAATTTTTATCTAAAAAGTATTATATTAATTTTCCTAATTTAATATGTTAATTAATTTGTTTAAGGTATTGTGTATACGTATTTTACTCTTTGTCTCTCAACATGCCAGGTACAATACCTGAAGATTATATCTATAAGAGTAGATATGTTAATAAAAGAACGTCACTTAATGTCATACTAATCCCAAAAGGAGAGGTGAGTTTTCCATCTATTTTTCCAATTACAGGGTGTTATGATAGGTTTTAATCAATATACAGAAAGTTTCTTATTCCACCTGTAATTTTACTTTAAAAAAAAAATCAATTGGATTGATATTCTCATTTTTTAATTATTTCTTAAAACTTATCCTTAAATTAATTGTTTTATTTATCTATAGATGAAAATAATTGATTTATTTATTGAAAGAGTGAGACTATTTTAATAAAATAAAATATTATATTTATTTTTGTTAAAATCTTAAACTGAAATTAACGTGAGAGGAAGGGAATATCTAATAAGAGGCTTATTTATATATGTCTTAAACATTGGAATAAAAAAAAAATATTTTTATATGATAATAGATACTTATATGTTGCCATACATAAACAGGTACTTATATGTTAACATACATAAATACTTTTATATGATAATAGATACTTATATGTTAGCATACATAATGAAAGACAACAGTTTTACAAAAAAACCATACAAAGAATACAAATTAAAGAAAGACAACAGTATTACAAAAGTAAAAATTAAAGACTTTTATTTATTTAATCTTCATCTTATAACCTAACAAAATAATACAAATTAAATGATTTACTAATTCTAAAAAAAAGTTACATTTTTTTTTTTATCTTTATTTTATAACTTAACAAAATAAAATGAACTGTAAACGGAAAGGAAAATGTTTAATTTTTAATTAAGAAAAAAAATGAATTGTGAGTTTTTTTTAGTAAATGGATAATTAAAAAAAAAGTTGCCATTTTTCTTTCCCTTTTATCAAACATTCATTTTCATTTCATATTCACCAATCCAGTAGATCTCCACAACCACACATGAGAAGTGTTATATATAGTATTTTATATAAAATGGTGCACCTTACACGAGTTTTCAAATTGTTTACCTTGTATATGATGAACAGGTACTCGTATTTCTTACACTTGATCTTGATTTTAAACACCAGACTGACCCCACTCTGGAGGCATTGCCTGTCTCGCATTCATCCAGAAGAATAACATCAAAAGCGACTGTAGAGAGGTACGGTCTCTGGTAGTGGCTGAGCCAAAAGATCAAACAGTTCCTTTCTTCACCCTCAAACAAGGAAAAGACATTATCTTAGGTCGCCTGCACTGCACTGCACCCATAACTTCACTTCTCCAATCTATTCTAATTCCTACTTTAGTCTTTGTCAATACTTCACTTTATTGCTCTTTATATTCCAAACTCTCTCTGTCACTCTACTCTGCCACACATCCACCTTCCCCTCTTCAAATTTTTTTCTCTCACATCCTTGTTACCCTTATCATTTCCCCTTCCACTCACAGCATTTTTAACCAAAGCGCTACTTTTCCTCGGATGGCGACAAATAGTGGCACCAAGGAGAAAAAGCTGGAACAATTGAAAGAGGAAGAGGGGGAAGAAGAAGAAATTGAAGCATTGTCACTTTGCGATCTACCAGTCAATCTGATTAACGATGAGGCTCAACCAAAACCAAAACCAGATTCTCAGATCACAGAAACCCAAGAAGACTTTGATTTCCGCTTATGGGGTGCCCCCTTTTCCTCAGAATCAGAAATGTGTGCTGCTGATGAAGTTTTCTTTCAAGGCCAAATTCTCCCCTTGCGTCTCTCGTTAAAGCGATGTGAATCAAGCTCGGAGTCCTTTGATCACGGTTCTGTGAGAGAGTTTCGTAGCAATAGCAGTAGAAGCAGCAGCATAAGATGTTAGAATTAATTTAATTAATTCATTCCATTATGTGACTCATGTGAAATATTATAATGGGCCCAAATGTGATTTAATAAAATATGAGGACCTATTGGTTATTATGTGAAGTTAGAATAAAATAAAGATAAAATAAAATATTACATTACGGTAACCAACTTGATGGACGTTGGTTAATAAAATGGAATAAGGGTTCTGTCTCGGTCATAAAGTTTTTCACTGGTAAACCATCAAGAAGAAAGTATAGTAAAGAGATAGATGTGAAAAGGAGATAGAGAACAAAAGATCAAAGTAAAGATTCTCATGGATCAAGTTAGTCTTCTATTATGATTCATGTATTGTATGTAAAATTGTAAAATCAATAATCTAAAGATCCGAAGTAGTTTTCATAATGAATTAAGAACTAGAAACTACATAATGTCTTACATGTGGTATCGTAGACTGATTATTAGATTTATGATTTTCCTTGTATGAAAGTTTTCCCAAATATTAAGTTTTTCCCAAATTAAGATAAACCCTAATTATGAATTTAGGGATTTCTTTATCAGATTAGTACTGAACCCTAATTTATTCCCAATTTTATTTTTCTCAAAATTAAATAAAGGAATAAACCCTAATTATGTTTTCAAGTTCAAATTGAAACCAATTTTATAGTCCCTATGCATGAATGACCCTGTAATCCTTTCTAATTGAAAAGGCAAATGACGTGATAGGGTTAGGATGAATCATGTATGAAATTAGTTTCATTAGATGTTATAATTATGTTATAATTATGATGAGATGTTATGATGGGATATTATAATTATAATGGAAGAATGGTAAACTGTAAAGTTGATAAACTTTGCACGTAGAGAGCACATGTTAAACACATATGTTTCATATATTATATTATTTATAATATTATTTTGAATGTATATTATTTTGTCCCCATATTATTTGTACATTATTTTGTACGTACATATTTTTTTTATGTGGGGGAAGGATAATTAAAGAGTTATTTTTATGTTAAAGTGAGTTGTATAATATACTCATACTTGTAGAGTACGGTAAAGCTTTGTTATAGGTACTATATTGTTATGGGTACTGTAAAGCTTTGTTATGGGTGCTTGTAAAGCTTTGTTATGGGTACTATAAAACTTTGTTATGGGTACTTGTAAAACTTTGTTATGGGTACTTGTAAATTTGTTAAGGTACTGTAAAGCTTTGTTAAGGTTGTTAATGTACTATGAAACTTTGTTAAGGTTGTTAATATAATGTTTTGTTAATGTACTTGTGAAGCTTTGTTAAGGTTGTTAATATACTTGTTTTGTTAATGTACTTGTGAAGCTTTGTTAATGTACCTATAATGTAAACATTGATAAATGAATGAATCTTGTTTTGCAAACTGAATTGTATTGTTTCCATCTGTGTTTAAATTACTCATAAAAGTTTTGAATGGATGACAATTTCACTTTTACGTGAAATGCAAATAAAGGTCTTGGATTGAAAATCAATCTTAGGATGAAAATTGAAATTATGAGTTTTAATTTTATTTATGGCACATAATATTTTATTATGTGAATAATGTACATATTTATTAAAATTAATAAAAAAAATGCTATGAATGGTTAATAGCAATTAAAGATGTTATTTATTTGAAATTAAGCATGATAAATTTTGTTAGTCACCAAAGTGGCCAAAATTTTAAGGTTATTTTGATTTCAAATTATTAGTGATTTTATTTCAATTACCTATAGTATGAATGCTAAAATTATGAATAATGATTTATGGGTTAATTGAAGTTCATTATTATAAGGCATTTCGGGATCACCCGAAAGGTTGATTAATTGTTATTATCATTAATGAACATGAAAGTAGATAATTTTGTGTGCGTCACTAGTTTTATTTATATACCCAAAGGTATTAAGTGATTCTAGTTGATGCATATTTTAATTATCATTAATGTTATAAAAATATTAGCGTAATTATGTTTGTGTATTAGTGGATCTCCCAAAGGAGAACATTAGTATGCATAGAATGGTTATTTATGTTTGAATCTGTATTTATGTTTAGTTTTTATGACTCAAAGCGTTAATGTTAGACATGTGTTAATTGAAGTATTTGTTTATTATGTATTTCTACATTCGCTTACTTTGTCTCGTTCCAATCTTTAATAAATTAAATTCCTCGATCTGGAGTAAGAAAGTCCAATTTCACTTAGGTGAGTTGGATTTTGATTTGGCTTTCTAAGTTGAAAAAGCCAGATTGCTATCACTAATGCTAGTAGCAACAAAGAGAAAACTCATTATAGAATTTGGAAAAGTTCAAATAGACTTAGTCTTATGTTTATGCGAATGAGTATTGCAAGCAATATTAAGTATGCTTTTTCCAAAACTAAGGACGTGAAAGAATTTATGAAATTTGTGGAAGAGCGCTCTCAAACTGCTGACAAATCTCTCGCTGGGACATTGATGAGTACGTTGATCACCATGAAGTTTGATGGTTCTCGTAGTATGCATGAACATATAATCGAAATGACAAATATCGCGGCAAGACTCAAGTCTCTTGGAATGGCGAGTGGAAGAAAATTTTCTTGTGCGGTTCATTTTGAACTCGTTACCGCTCGAGTATGGTCCGTTTCGGATGAATTATAACACCATGAAAGACAAATGGAATGTGCATGAATTGCACAATATGTTAGTTCAGGAGGAGACCGGACTCAAGAACCTAGGAAGCCACTCTATTCATTACGTGAAAAATCAAGGAGCTAAAAAGAAAATTGTTAAGAAACATGGAAAGGGTAAATGACCATTAAAGATTAACGAGTCCTCTACTAACATTCAAAAGAAAAATGACAAATGTCATTTCTACAGGAAGTCTGGACATTTTCAGAAGGATTGTTTAAAGCGTAAAGCTTGGTTCGAAAAGAAGGGTGAGCACAATGCTTATGTATGTTTTGAATCAAATTTAACTGAAGTTCCCCATAATACTTGGTGGATTAATTCTGGATGTACGACTCATGTTTCTAATGTAATGCAAGGATTCCTTTCAACCCGAACCATAAACCCAAATAAGAAGTTCGTCTTCATGGGGAATAAAGTCAAGGTTCCAGTGGAAGCTGTCGGGACTTATCGTTTAATCCTTGACACTTGGATATCACTTAGACCTTATGGATACTTTTTATGTACCTAGTATCATTAGAAATTTAGTTTCTTTGTCTAAGCTTGATGTTGTTGGATACTCTTTTAAGTTTGGGAATGGTTGTTTCAGTTTGTTTAAGCGTACTTCTATGATTTGATATGGTTAGGAGTATGTTAAGTAATTCATGTTTACCTGTATCGTTGTGGATGTATGCTTTAAAGATGATCATGTATTTGTTGAACAAGGTTCCTAGTAAAGTTGTTCAAAAGATTTTTGAGTTATGGAAAAATAGGAAACCTAGTTTGAGACACACGCTTGTTTGGGGTAGTCGAGACGAAGTAAGAATTTATAATCCACAAGAAAAGAAAGCTGGATGCAAGAACAATCAATGAATATTTCATTGGTTATCCGAGAAAAATCAAAAGGGTATATGTTTTACTGTCCTACCCCATAGTACAAGAATTATTGAAACTGGAAATGCTCGGTTCATTGAAAATGGTGAAACTAGTGGGAGTGGAAGCTTCACGAAATGTGGAGATTAAGGAAGTTAGAATACAAGTTCCCATAAAAGGTACATCTACTTCAAGAGTTGTTGTTCCACATGTTGTAGAACCACACAAAAATCAAGAAGAACAACAAATTAATGATCCTGCGATTAACAATGATCCGATAATATAACAACCACAGGAAATAGTATTAAGAAGATCTCACAGAGAAAGAAAGTCTGCTATTTCGAATGATTATGTGGTTTATCTACAAGAGTCAGAAAATGACCTAAGTATTAATAATGAACTAGTTTCATTTTCAGATGCCATTAATGGTGATAATTCTGATAAATGGTTAGATGCTATGAAAGATGAGCTTAAATCAATGACACATAATGGTGTATGGGATCTTGTGGAATTACCAGAAGGATGTAAGAGTGTTGGGTGTAAATGGGTCTTTAAGACTAAGCGTGACTCTCATGGCAATATCGAACGTTACAAGACCAGACTTGTTGCCAAAGGTTTTACTCGGAAAGACGGCATTGATTATAAGGAAACATTTTCACTGTTTCTAAGAAAGATTCCTTTAGAATTATCATGGCATTAGTAGCTCATTATGATCTTGAGTTGCATCAAATGGATGTTAAAACTACTTTTACTGAATGGAGATTTAGAAGAGGATATTTATATGAATCAACCGAGTGGGGTTTATTGAAGAAGGAAATGAACATATGGTGTGTAAACTTAAGAAATCAATATATGGACTTAAACAAGCTTCTCGACAATGGTATCTTAAGTTCAATGATACTATTTTATCCTTTGAATTTAAGGAAAACAACTGTTGATCGGTGTATATATCTGAAGGTCAGTGGGAGCAAGTTTATATTTCGATTACGTATGTTGATGATATCTTGCTTGCGACTAATGATCTTGGTCTATTAAGTGAGACTAAGAAGTTTCTCTCTAACAACTTTGAAATGAAAGATATGGGTGAGGCATACTATGTGATAGGAATAGAAATATTCAGTGATAGATCACAAGGACTTGTTAGGTTTGTCTCGAGAAAGCATATATTAATAAAGTTTTAGAGAGATTCAGAATGGAGAATTGTTCGCATCTCCCGTTCCAATACGAGAAAGGAGACAAATTTAGTCTCATGCAATGTCCAAAGAATGACTTAGAACGGAAACGAGATGGAAAATATCCCTTATGCATGCTGTTGTTGGGAGTTTAATGTATGCTCAAACATGTACGAGGCCAGATATTAGCTTTGCAGTTGGTATGCTTGGTAGATACCAGAGTAATCCTGGACTGGATCATTGGAAGGCTGCAAAGAAAGTTTTAAGATACTTACAAGGAACAAAGAATCACATGCTTACTTATAGGAAAGTTGACCACCTTGAGGTGATTGGATATACAAATTCAGATTTAGCTGGTTATATGGATACACGAAAGTCTACATTTGGTTATGTGTATCTTTTAGCTAGGATGAGCGATTTCATGGAAAAGTGCGAAGCGATCTGTCATTCTTGCATCCACCATGGAAGCTGAAATTGTGGCATGCTTTGAGGCCACGACTCAAGCTAATTGGTTGCGGAATTTTATTTCGGGACTTGGAGTAGTCGACGACATTGCCAAGCCGCTGAAAATTTATTGTGACAATTCCGCAGCAGTCTTCTTTTCTAAGAACGACAAGTATTCTAAAGGTGCTTAAGCATATGGAATTGAAATACTTTGTCGTTAAAGAAGAAGTTCAGAAATGTAGAGTGTCGATAGAACGTACTAGCACTGATCTTATGATTGTTAATCCTTTAACAAAGGGATTATCGCCCAAATTATTTGCTTGGCCATATAATGAATGTGGGCATTATGTTCACTAGTGAATGTTAAATGTTAATGTTATTATTAATGCTTATGTGACACTCTGAGATCTTTAATGTATAAGTTTCGAAATTTGTGTTTTCTTCTTTATTTATATGCATGCAAATTATGATGAAGAAAACAAATTGTGTTATTATTATTAAAATGATATTATGTTTGAACCCATTATGAACTTCTCATTATAAAGTCATATTAAGGAGAAAGAGATAATATAGTGGTACATGGAAGGGAGCTGTCGATTGAATGACATGTAACCGCCATGACTCTTGTTATAGCTGTATCTTTAATTATGAATAATGATAGAACCAATTTATGTAAGGTCCTTTAATGCGCATTATGACTTAAGTATTAAATCACGAGAATCGTATGACATCACATGAGTCAAGTGGGAGAATGTTAGAATTAATTTAATTAATTCATTCCATTATGTGACTCATGTGAAATATTATAATGGGCCCAAATGTGATTTAATAAAATATGAGGACCTATTGGTTATTATGTGAAGTTAGAATAAAATAAAGATAAAATAAAATATTACATTACTGGTAACTCAACTTGATGGACGTTGGTTAATAAAATGGAATAAGGGTTACATCTCAGTCATAAAGTTTTTCACGGTAAACCATCGAAAGCGAAGCGTGAAGAAGAGAAAGAAAGACAAAGAGATAGATTGGGAAAAGGAGATAGGAGAACGAAAAGATCAAAGAAAAGATTCTCATGGATCAAGGTTAGTCTTCTTATTATGATTCATGTATTGGTGTATGTAAAATTGTGAAAATCAATAATCTAAAGATCCTGTAGAGTAGTTTTCTATAATGAATTAAGAACGTAGGAAAACTACATAATGTCTTACATAAGAAGCCAGAACTCAACTAATAGCAGCTCCTCCTCCACCACCACTACCACAACCGCAAGAATTTCCAAACCCAGAGCTCAAAATCAAAATCAAAATCACTTCCACACGCATCCAAGTCCCCAGCCTCAATTGAAGGTAACCGTTCCAAGACAAACAAGCTTGGGTAATCAGGGTAGAAAATCATCAACATGGGACTTTTTCCGTTTGGGTGTGGCTCCTGCACCCGAGATTGCATTGCAAGATCTCAAGGTTCGCAGTACCAACGGTGTTAACAAAAATCACATAGGTCGCAACACTAGCAGTGACAACAGCAGCAATAGTAACCTCAATGCTAATAGCGCTGTAAAAAGGAGTTACAGCGGTAAGAGGAATCACTTTTTGAAGCAATTTGTTATAGGTGGTGGCCTTTGGAGTGGTTGCAAATGCTCTATTGAAACAGTGCAATCGGACATGGTCATGATTAAGGGTGGCACTAAAAGTGCCAACAAGACCGAAAGCGCAACGCACGCGATGACAGAAAAAGTGATGGAAAGGAAGAAGCAGAAGCAGAGACCAAAGCAAGGGAAGAGGACCATGTCGCGTCGTCGAACGTTTGAATGGATAAAGGAGCTTTCGCATGATCCAAGCTATCCCGATGATGAGGCTTTGTTATCTAAATCTTAAACGCTTTGTCTCAGCGCATGCTTGTAATTTTATTTTTTTAATATTGGCTTTTGTTTCTTTTGTTCTTAAACTGCATCATTGTAGTGGAGAGTGGATACTCTGTAATCAAAATTTCTTACCCTCGTGAGAATGATAGTTTTGCTTTTTTCATTTCTCTTTTTGACTGATGGTGATTGATAGGATGTTAAAGATTGAATGGGTTTCGTAAGATATTGTTGGTGAGATCTGTGTCCGAGGCGAGTGGCGACGGTGAATTATAGAATGATAAGGTCAGGCATAAGTGGGGATAATTTGGTGCTTATGCTTGTCCTCGCCAATGGAACTTCGATGCTTAATGATTGGATGATTGGAGATGTGAAAGAATAATGATACGTGCATATCTAAAACAATTATCCAATTTTTTCTTATATAGTTTAATAGTAAAATATGCTTCAAAAATAATAACAAAATGTACGTTTCTTTTCCAAAATATAAAAGAGAAATGGTTCAGTTATTTTTAAGTTAAAGAATTATTTTATATTTTAATTATTATTTATTTTAATATAATAATTAAGATAAATTATTTTTTAAAATAATTATATTACTAAATAATAAATAATAAAAATGAAAAAAAGTATTAATTTTTACCTTTTATATATAAAGGGGATACAGACAACGTGAATGAACACTACCCTTCTAAATTATATATATATATATATATATATATATATATATATATATATATATATAAATAATTATTTTTAAAATATAAATACTATTTAAATATTAATTTTTTTATTTCATATAAAATATTAATAATAATTATAATAAATGTATTTTTTATTCTCTTGTATAATTTTTCACTTATCTCTTTTTTTCACATTTTAATTTTTTTCTCTCCTACCATTTCACTTTTTCAGTTTCACACACTTATATTTTTATTTTTTATTTTTTTACTCCTTCATTTTTATATATATTTTTTTCTTCCACGGTTTTATTTTTTAACAAAAAAAATTTCTCTTTATTTTTTCACATTTTTTTCACGTCTTAATTTTTTTTCAATAATTTTGTTTTCCTTTTGTTTATAATATAGACTTAAAATATTAGGAAAAAATTAAAAGTTAAGAATAAAAAGAATATTTTACAATTTTTTAAGTCTTTTTATTTATTATTATAATACATTATCGTGTATTTTTTTTTACTAATTGATTACTTATTTTATGTTTTATAATATTTTATTTTAATGTTAAAAAAATAGATTAACTTTTAGAGATATTTTACTCTCTATTATTGTATAATACAGATATAATTAAAAGATTTTAATGCGTGAATAATATAAATATAAAAATATATTTTAATGCGTGAATGCATTTTACTCTCTATTATTGTATATGGCATCTTTTAATTGATAATAGTATAGATATGATATGATAGACAGATTTTAATATGACAACACATTTTATTACCCTTCCTTGTATATATGACATCCTTTCATTAATAATAATATAGATATGCTATAAATATTTTAATGTCTGAATATATTTCACTCTTCATCATTAAATATGACATCCTTATATATATAATAGAAAGGTTGTAATGCATGAATACATTTTAACCCTCATCCTTATATATGACATATTTAATTAAGAATAGTATAAAGATTTTAATGCATTAATACAGTTTACTCTCATCCTCTGATATGAAATCCTTTAATTAATTAATTAGGTGAACTGAGAAAAATAATTAATGATATTGATTAATCACATTAAATTATTATAATTATAAATGTATTTATACATTATTATTTTTAAATAATGATTATCTATTTTATAATATAAAAGTAATATCTTTAATTAAAGAAAGCCATCATTTAGAGTGAAAATTTTATGAAATTGATAGAAATATACTTTCAATTAGAACACCAAATTAATATATATTAATATTTTATTGACATTTTTAAATTTTGACAAATAGTGTAATGAATACTTAAATGTTGTTCGTATTATGTTTGGTTTCTTTTTACATGATAAATGATAGGACATTTGTTCAATGTATTATTTTTATTATTAGACAAGTTATTTCTTTGGTTAAAGTTGAAATTGAAAATTTATGAACAATTTCAAACTCTAACTATTGACAAGTTTTGCATAATTGAATACTTCTAAATCCTTATGCAACTTCTCCCGGCTCTAAAAATTATAGAAGTAAATATATACTCTCATTAAATGTAACGAAGATAGTGACAATCTTCTATATGTATATCAAGTGAAAGATTTTTCAAAAATTCAATAAAAAATCGGTTGATTCTTTTTTTTGTTCACATATTAATTTTGCAAATATTTTTAAGACAAAACTTAGTCGTCTAATAACATTCAGAAAATTTGTTGGATTGCGACCAAATCATTGCAACTTTTTAGAATTTAATATTATGAATTACAAATCTGATTGTTAGTTCTTTTATTATCTTTAGGTATCTTCACATATACAAATAATTTAATTAATCACAATTTTAAACATAGAACTAACATTTTTTAGTGAAAAAAGATTCCTAATTTTATTATATATAATTTATTTTCAAATAAAAAGGATCTACATAAATTTATATAATTTTATCATGAATTTTGGTGTAATTTTCTAATAGATTGTATATTTAATTTTTAATTATAGTATTTGATATGCTAGAAACAATAGCAATGTCAACTTAGTTAAAACATCTATTTTTATGCACTTACTTTTAGTTTAAAAAACATTAAAAAAAACGTTTCTCAATGTTCATTGTAAATTAATGTTGATAGATATTTTGTTAATTAGTCAATATATGACGAAAATGATAGTTGATGTTATTAATTTATTATATTTATGATTTATTAAATGTAAATATTGAAAAATAATTTAAGCTACTCAGGTAAAAATTATTAACGTAGGAGACAAATTGACCGTTAGATTATAAAAAGAAAAAACAAAATTCTAAAGAAAATTGTAATATAACTGGATGAAAATAGGTTTAAATAAATAAAATTATAAAAATGTACGAAAAACCATTTTATGACAGTAGTAATCATTACGATTGGTATTCCTAACCTAACTGACGTAACATTCATCAAATTATAATTACATCCCATCAGTTTTATTTTATTTTGTTTGGTTGTCAAATCTTGTTTTATTTATTTCACCCAACAACATGGCAGCTCTGTAAACCTAAGAAGTTGGAATGGGAGGTAGGCCCAAGTTTGATTCGATAAAATCCATGTCTTGATCTAGCCCAAGTATGCGGTTAGGGATACTTTATTGTGGGCTACTATTTACACCTGCATTTTACCTCTTCGAATTATTCATCTACTTTTCTTTTCGTTATTTTTGACAAAATTACTTTTAATACAACGTAGTTTTATGCAGAGATTAAATAGTTTCAGTAAGATCTGTGAAATAAAAATAAGATGATCTAACATGATTTTTAGGGAAAAAAAGAGAGTAAAATTTGATAAAAAGGATGCGGTGAAGGTGAGGATAGTTTGAGGGTTGTTTAATTCAGTAGTATTTTTTTTTTTAAATCATTTTAGAGATAATCTAGAATTATTTTTTTAAATAAGTTTGAAAAAAAATATTTTTAAAAACTATTTTAGACAAAAAAAATATAAATAATTAAAAAAAAACGCAATAAAAGATGGAAATTATTTTTTTTAAATGACGACAAAAATGAGTTATTTAATATAATTAATAAAAAAACTAGATCTCAAATCATATTTTATCACTTTTTGTTTTTAAAAAACAAACACACTTTTTAAAAACTATTTTACAAGAATTGTTATCAAATAAGTTTTTTGAAAAATAAAAACTAAAAATTATTTTTAAAATAATAAATATGCAACTTCTTAATTTTAATTAAATATTTTAATGATATTAAAAAATCATTAGTTTTTAGTATCAATTAAATATATTTTTAAAAAATTAAGATAATATTGTCATTTTCATTAATGTCACGAAAATTGTAAAATAGAACTACAGTATAGCATAACGTTAAAGTCCCATTGACGTACATGTCTAATAATTAATGACATGGCTATCATGTTAATAATACAAATTAACACTATATCATTACATATATTATATTTTTTCTGTTAGACCATTTAATGATATGAACAATGTTCTTTTACTTAAAAAAAATTTAACATTTAAACTAATAACAAGATAAAATAAAAATAATAAAATGAAGAACTATTTAATCTTTTAAGAGGTAAACAAATTGAGGTATAAAGCGTAAAAGTAAATTAAGTGTGAATATCATTGCCCTTTCTTTTGGGCTAAGTTAATAGGATAATTGGAACAGAGATCAATCCAGAACTAAGATAAAGTAAAAGAACCAACAACAATTCTGTGGGGGGACTGGAAATATTCAAACAATTGCCTATATGACCTCTCATGCTATCTTAATAACATGTTGGGGGAAAAAAGTAGACAAAAGGAAATAAATTAATATATCTTTTGGTCATGGGAAAAAAAAAATTACAGCTCAATTTTCTCAAATATCTACTAACTAATAAAAAAATAAATAAAATAGATAATTAATAATATAAATAAAAGAGATGTTTGGAAAAAAATAGATTTATTAATATATCATAATGTTTTGATTATTTAAAATGAGGAGTAAGAAAAAAATTTCCTTTGTTAAAATTAGTTAATAAGTTATTTAAAAGTTAAAATTAGTTTTAAACTAAAAATTATTAAGCTACATTATTGAATACAAATTTGATAAAAACAATTAAATTAACTAATTATTGTTAAATATCATAAAATGATAGTCTACCTGGTTATTTTATTTTATTTTATAGAATAAATATTATTTGCTAACTATAATTTTGTATTTAAAATTAATCGTAAATTTTAATCGTAATTTTTAAAAGATTAAATATTTAATAAAAATAATAATATTAAAGTAGTGTTTAGTAAAGAAAACTAAAAGTTAATATTGCTCAAGTGAACGTCGATATTAAGACAGTGTTTGGTGAAGAATTCAAAATTTTCAAAAATAAAACATATACAAATTTAATTACTTCAATTAAATTCCTTTTCTTCTCTTTTTTTAATACGTAATTCAAAATTCATATTTTTCGAAATTCATCAGATAAAGTAATTAATATTAATCATATGCAACCTTTATTTTACGTTTTATTTGAAATTCCTCACTTTAATATTATTTGATTTTCAAAACAAATTTCTTATAAAAAATCATCATTTTATAATTCTTTTAATGTAATATCAGAACAAATTATTTATATTCATAATATTGTAAATTCAATTGAAAAATAAACCCCTTTTATAAAAAGTCGTAAAGTTTGATGTTGCCTGGTCCAAGTCGTGGTCTCCTTTTACTTTCTCTTTTTCTATGTAGTGTGAGGTGGTCCTTCTTTCTTTATAGAGGAAGTAATTAACTCCTTGTATGTTAAAGGATATCAATTTCATCAAATTTTCAGGATTGCATTGCATATGAATATTATTTAAGGATAGAGATATAGACAATACTTTTATAACATATTACAACTCTATGATAATAATATTATGATAAAAACAGTTATTGTATAATAATAATAATAATAAGTTCTCAAGTAAATATATCTTATCAGAATAATCTCATAATATTATTTTCATATGATAAAAAAGCACGTTAGAATAAAAAATAGCCAGAAAAACAAGGATAAAAATTTGAAAAGTTCTTAATATATTTCACAATAAATTATTATTACTTGTATGTTGTTCGTACAATTGTCCCATTAAAAAAAATTACTTGATAGCAAATCAATTATTTATAATATTAAAGAAACAATAATGATTTATAAAAGATAAACTAGAAACAAAAAATAAATGTCTAGAAATAGAAAATTAAAAATATTTTCACAAATGAGTTAGTTTTATAAAATGTGGAACAAAATATTTGTTTAAAAAATATGATATTGTCTTCACGATGAATATTATAAAAAAATAAAATATTTGAACAAAATAAAAATTATTATATAAATGTGATAATTTGCAGAGGTAAATCCTAAATAAAAATAATTGTCTTGATATTAGAATATTGTATATTAAAAAAAGGAGTGAGGAACCAAAAAGCTCCTCTTTGTTAAAGTAAGTTTAGATAGAAGGATACTTGTTGGAAAAAATCTACTCAACATCTTGCATATTTTAATAAATTCAAATAGTTTAATTTGTGTTAACCTTTAAACGAATGAAAAAAATATTTTATTTCTAAAATTACTTTTTATTTAGTTTCTCTTTAAAAAATCACACTTTTAAAAATATATTATTTATAAAAAAAGCCTTGTATAATATATACTTTATTTTTTAAATATGAGTTTTAAAAACTTTGTATATTGAAAACACTAATTACACAAAAATCACTTTGTATAAATGTTAGTTGATTAAATTACATGTTTAATGTTTTTTAATTATCTTAACGAATATTTTATATTTTGATAAAGATGACTGAAAAAAAAAACTGTAACTATTTATATAATATAGTTTCACATGTTAAGAGTATTAATTAATTATTTTATTCATACATTAGTAAAATAATAAATGATTAAGAAAGATAATTGAATAGACAAATTAATAAATATTAATTTTTTCGTAGAAAAATAATATATATATATATATATATTTTTTTTATTTAACTTATTTAATCTTATATTTATAATTTTTTTCTTTTTACTATGTTCTCTACATGCTCTATAGATTTGTAAAAAAAAATTAATAACTTTTTTATCCTTTTCTCTACAACCATGAATTAATAATAGTATAATTTTGATATATTTTGATCAAATAATTAATTTTTTTAAGACAATCTTTAATTTTATTTTATTATTTATTTTATTGATTAAAATTTTTACACTTATTTTTTTATTATACTATTTTGTTTAAATTTTTTCTATTATTATTATTATTATTATTATTATTATTATGTTTAAATTATCTTAAATTTTTTTTAATATACATGATTATAAGTAAATAAAAATTATAGGAAAAATGAATAAATAAGTTAATAAAATAATAATAATAATAATAATGAAAAATTAAATAGATAAAATAATAAATAAAAAACAATTAATGGTATTATTATACGTTAGTCAACCTGTTTATAAATTGACCTAGTTACTTAGCAATGGAGGGTGTAAAATAACATTCCATTAACTTAACTATTTATCACTTCAAAAGTTTTGAGCAAACACTTATTACTTTCCAACACAGGGCCCATCCACTAAGAAGATGATTAGGATATTATTTATTTTTGGTAAAATACCTTTTTTATTTCTGAATATTTTTAAAATTATTAAATATATTGTTGAAAAAAGTATTATACTTGTTTTTTTATAATATTATATTTGTTTTAAACATATATTTTAAAAAAATATTTGTTATTTATTAGTTATAATAATAAATGAAAATTTTAACATAATATTAATTATAAATTTATCTAATTGAAATGATTTCAGTTATAAAATTCACTTATTAAAATCTAACTCGTCAATTTTTTTAAAAATAACAAAAATATGAATTTAAAAATAAACATATATTTGACTGAGGAATAAAATATATTTTAGTTTTTTTTTTAAATTACGAAATTATTTCAGCTATTTTTTGTTTAGTTTAGTATCAAGTGTTATGTCTTTCAATATTTTTTTCTTTCAAATTTACTTCTTAAATTATATTTGATTTGAATTCAATATAACAAGTAATATAAATAATTTATTGATAATTTAAATTAGTTTTTTTTTACCATTATATTCATTTAATAAATGTTAGAAGAATTTTTCAATAGTTAAAATAAATTTATATTATTTCGTAAATTATTTATCGCAAATATAAAGTACAATTTAAACATTAAAACACTAATTTATTACAAAATTATATTTATAAATATAATATTGTTATTTAAAGTATTTATTTATTATAAATTTTAGTTTTATAAAATAAAATTTATAATGTTGATTAAAATACTACTTGAAATTAACATTGTTTAATTTTTTTTTTATTTTTAAAAAACCAGTTGAAGAACCAGCAGAAAAACATGTACCGGATAAACTAGAAGTATTCACATCAGTCACAATGAAATAAAACATAACATCAAAACAAAGAGAATCTTAATCATGAAGATTTTATCAGTCAATTTTTTTTCCCATTTTCTATTCCATATATATTATCCTTTCCTTTTTCTTTTCCGTTTTTTATATCTTTTTTTCCGTGTTCGCAACACCCGTCCAACACTCTGCCACGGGAATGAATCAGTAACTCACTCCACTGTTTCTAGTTTTTTCTTTTTTTTTCTACGTTTAAACGCGGAATCCACACGTTCCGCGTCATTTCCATTTTCTCATCGGACCAAGACATCATATTTCCTTGACCAACCCAAAACTCACTCACTCCCTCTTTTGTTCACTAACCGGGTACTACACCGAACGAAAGAACAGAACAGAGAGACAAAGAGCGTTAAGGATGTTGCAGCTCTGCCTGAGGCCACTGGAGATGTGCTTTGGTGGTGGAGGCAACGAGGAGAACCTCCTTTGGGACACGGACCTTAAGCCCCACGCTTCAGGGAACTACTCAATTGCTGTGGTACAAGCCAACTCCTCCTTGGAAGACCAAGCACAAGTATTTACCTCTCCTTCAGCAACCTTCGTTGGCATATACGATGGCCACGGTGGACCCCAAGCTTCCCGTTTCATCACTAACCATCTCTTCCCCTTCCTCCGCCGTAAGAGGCCAAAAATAATTTCTTTCGTTTTCTGTGATCATATTCATACTCATTATTCTAATTTTCGAATTGTGAAACATAATAATACTTCATCCTAAGTTATGGAGATTAGTTTCAATAATAACGATGCAGCCCGCGAAATAATATATTTTTCCATAGCAGAATTTGTTAGGTGATTTCGACCTTGATTTAGATTAATCTTCACATGATCAAGTATTATTAAGAGGTTTCTTTTTCGTGTAATCATGTTCCATGAAGCTATTTTAATTTTCAAAGCCAAAATATAAGAAAACAGCGTGTGATCCACTGTAACACTGATAACTTTTTTCCTGTAAAAATACACTAATTTTTTTTCTGAAATTAGCTAATAATTTCTCCCTCGTAACCATATATATGTTATTCATTTTCAATTAATGATATGAGAAGTTGATGAAACTGATTATTGTGCGTGGCAGAGTTCACAACAGCGGAAGGTGGATTGTCGGAGGAGGTGATAAAGAAGGCGTTTGAGGCAACGGAGGAGGAGTTTTGTCGTTTTGTGAAACAATCATGGATTGCACGACCACAAATTGTTTCAGTGGGTTCGTGTTGTCTTCTGGGAGCGATTTCAAAGGATGTTCTATATGTTGCTAATCTGGGGGATTCGAGGGCGGTTTTGGGTCGGAAAGCGTTGGAAGGAGAGGTGAATTGTGGTGGAGTGGTGGCAGAGCGTTTGTCCACTGATCATAATGTTGGAGTGGAAGAGGTCAGAAAGGAGGTCGAGGCTCTTCATCCTGATGACGCACACATTGTGGTTTGCACTCGTGGAGTTTGGCGAATCAAGGGCATTATTCAGGTATGTTTGAATACGATATGACCTTCTTTATTCCTCCTTCTTTGGTGTTTTCAATTACTTGAAGTTTGCCAATGAATTTACTTTTAATATTTGTCTCTATCTGTTTTCTGCGTAAACTTATGTTTAATGAGTGACATGAATCATGAAAGATCTGCAACTTCAGCTTCATTGATAACTATCTTTACTGAACCTGCATGACTTGTGCACTGGTTTGATTTTAAATATTAAATCAAGTTCCATTTGACTCTAAACTTTAGTTTGCATATATTCTTTATGTTTTGAGTGTATGGTCATCGTCCAATTGAATTTTACTACATGTATGTACATTTGACAGTGGCAGTGCTCCAAAAGATATTAAAACCAAACAGAACTTTTGCGAAAATATCGATGGAAAACGAATAAACTATGTGACTACTTGTGATAGAAAGAGGTGGAACAAAAAGAAATGCAAGTATCTTTATATGATGAATGTTTAGGAGGTGATTAAACTATAGAAATGTCAATTGATCATTACTTGAACTTTTGTTCGCATTGAAAAATAAACACAAAGAATAAACATGCATGAATACAACATGTTATTTGACACTTTAAAAGAAAAATAATAATAAAAAAATGTAAGATATAACATGATAAACATAAAAGAAGAAAATAAGGAATGCTAAATAAAGGTTTTTGACATACAAGTGTATCGTAACATAACTCCAACATAAATTTTCACCATCTTATATGAATATAAGAAAAGAAAATATAGGAGGAAAAATATAATATTTTAATTGAAACAACGGAAATTTTAGCGTTAAAAATATAATATTTCTTCTTTCTTTATGTACCCAACAGAGTTTAGAGGGTTATGGTCTTCATTATCTAGTGTGATTTAGTGATTATGATTTTGAGAGATAAAAAGTGTGTTCTTTTAGCTGTTCTCTAAAAAGATTCCACGTAAGGAAGCAAATCTTCTAAAGTAAACATGACATGAGAATTTAGGCTCAGTATTTCGTTCCACTTCCATGTTTCGAGTCACGTCACATGCTTTCACCTCCTATTGTTTGTGCCATGACGAGTGGACGTGGATCAATGATGTGATTTTATGATGGCTTCTTTTCATGATTTTAACTTGATATTAAATTTATCTGCATTTTAGAACCAGTCTAATAAGTGGAGCATGTTATTGATTTCTCAATAGATATTCATGATCTGATTCTGTAACCAGCAATCACGCCGCATTTTTTTTTAAATATCCTTTGAAAGCTAGAAAAGTCTTGCAGCGTTTATTCTCAATGTGTGAGTGAGGAAATGTAGAAAGAATCATCATATGTGAATCTGTGGTGGTCAAACTTTTTGTCTAAAGTTGACGTGCATTCATCCTCTAAATGCATGTAGATATCCACCATATATTCTTTGTATTAACGTGAATCGGTATTTAACCACTGAATAATGGTTTTTTTTTGGCAATAAAACGTTGAAGAATTTGATTTTGAAAAAGTATGTTTAGATTAATGTGTGTATATAAGAAATAATTACATATAATTGTTAGGGAAAAATAACATATTTAAAATTAATGTATAATTCTGTTCATCCTCATCCTCATTCGGAACTTCTGTTTAAACTCTGAACTTGAGCTATTTACACATTATCTTCAATTTTAATTACTACGCGTTTGTGAGTGTTTTAATAAAAATGGTAATTCTTTTAACTGTTTTTTGATAGGTCTCAAGATCAATCGGAGATGTTTACCTGAAGAAACCAAAATTTGACACAAATCCTCTGTTCCAACAATCTGTATGCCCAGTATACTTGAAGAGACCTGTAATGACAGCTGAACCATCGATACTGACGCGGAAATTGAAGGAAGATGATCTGTTTTTGATCTTTGCATCAGATGGTCTTTGGGAGCATTTAACTGATGAAGCTGCCGTTGAAATCGTCTTCAGAAATCCCAGAATAGTAAGTCCACACCAAACAAACCTTCTAAACTAAACTACAAACACATGGTAGACTAAGAATATAATACCACAGATCAAACATTAAAAAATATTGAAATTACAAAAGCAACTACACATAAGTTTTATTCAGGGGAATATAAAAAAAAGATGCTAAAAGATGTAAAATTCGTTTGTATTGTAGGGAATAGCAAAAAGATTGGTGAGAGCTGCACTAGAAGAGGTTGCAAGGAAAAGAGAAATGAGATATGAAGACTTAAGGAAAGTTGAGAAAGGTCTAAGGCGCCATTTTCATGATGATATTACAGTGATAGTTCTATATCTGGATCATTCAAAAGAATTTGTAAATGGTAGGTTAAGACATAGAGGAGATTATGACTGCATTAATACTCCTATCGATATCTTCTCTCAGAGCGCAGCTGAAGTTGATCTTTAAATTGAATAAGCTACTGCCTTAAAAGCATACACAAAGGAGTTATTATACGAATAAAAATAATATTTTATTTCAGGTCTCAAATCTAAAAATGAAGAAAATTATTTAAAATTAAAAAAATATATTTATATAAATAATACTGACCAACTCATTTATAGATCTATAATAAAATAATTAATTTTATTCTTAAATATTTCTTATTAAAAATTCTGCTTTTAAGATGTGAGCAGTAGCATCATCACTTGACCAACAAATTGATTACATTTAAAGGCAAAATATTCTCTCTGAAGTGGTTTTAAAAAGGTAGTCAAACGAAAGGGATTGTAAATGTGAATCCCATAACCATTTTGTTGCTATTTTTTTTTTTTAATTAGTGTAATTTTATTCTAAGTCATAATTTATAGAGTAGTGATTCTTGGACAACCTTTTTACTACATTATATTAATATAATAATAATAATATATAATAAGATAAATGATAATTAAAATAAAAATAAAAAATTGTCTATTGGATGTAGGTTCATAACAAGATTGTCAAACCATCGTAATTCTAATTTCTATAACACTTTTTAATACAAACAAAGATTAAAAAAAAAAACTACTTCCTAATAAATTATGAAATAAGATGAATGAAGTGACTTAAAAAGTTGAATTATAGGAAAAAAAATGTTTTTATAACCAGTGTCAACCTCTTTCAATGAAAATTATTTCCAAAAAATAGAATATGTTGAAAAAATGTTTAACCAATTCATTTGTTTGAATTGGATCGGGTAACGGAGTATTTTCACTTCAAATCTTAATGTATTATATAGTATAAATTATTTAATCATTGGAGTTTTTTAATGATAACAAATAAATTACTTTTGCTATATTTTAAATTAATACACTTGAAAGTTTCAATATAAATATTCTTTTTTTTCATTTTTAATTTTTTGACATTTTTCATGATCTTATCTAATTTAGATATGGTGGTGTTTATCATGTTTTATTACATTCTAGATAAATAAATTAATATATATATATATATATATATATATATATATAATTGTAGAAATGATATATTATAAACTAAAAAAAATATTAAAATAAGAATGTTTTAACTTTAATTAATAAAAAAATATTAAAAAAATAAAATTTAGGCAAAATGATATTATAAAATATAATAAATTATTTTTATCATATAGCATGAATTAGACTAAATCAACTTGATCATAATGTCACTTCCATAATAGATGACTGAATTTTAATTGGAAAAATATCCAAACTAAATCAACTAGTCAATTTTGATTATACTTTAAAACCAAACTAAGTTAACATGTGAATATGTAATTCTTTATGAGTTTTTTAACAGTTGAATAACATAACGTAAAAACTGATATGTTTGAATTTTCGTTATTTTCTCATAGTTAAATATTTAATTCATATAATATTTGTAATATGAGAATATCCGTATTAACCAATAACAGTTTTTAATGAAAGATTTGAGGCATATTTTTCTTTATCTTTGAAATCAATGTCCACCATTAGTCAAGTCAAGTGTGTTCTCCCATGATCTCAACACCTATTTAATCTATGGTTTATTTTTAACCATGTTGCTTTTCTCCGTCTTTTAAGATCACTGTTCGCAATTGTCAAACGCCTATTTGAGAATTTTAAGAAAATAAATCAAGCATCATTTCAGCTTCAACCACTGCAAACGTAAGTTGGAAAATATTTTTGCGGTCATCTTGTGCTACTGTAATCAATAAGGTACCTCTATATTTTTTGTACAGAAAAGTTCTATCCACTTGAATAATGGGATTACAGTGAACAAATTCATCTATGCATGACCTAAACGACCAAAATACACGTTTTAAAATATTTGAATTTTGTTAAAGAACTTCACCTTGATAAGCTGGTTATGACTGTAGTTTGTAGATGAATCTAAGAATAAATTGTTGCATGGCTTGTAACAAACAAGACAACTTCTTATACAAATCCTCCCAATTGAGAATCCTGACTTGGGTAGGTGACTTAGCATTGTAAATAGTTGTAAGTTTCTTCGCTCAAGCGATGAGTTTCTCGCTTGAACGAGAATTGACCACAGGCTAAACGTCTAACGCAGTTAGCCACATAATACAACTTGGATCACCACATATTTCAATCGCTTCTCGCTCAAGCGAAAGTACCCGTCGCTTGAGCGAGAATTGACCCGAGATTACCCATTTGTTACATGTCTCCTCGCTCAAGCGAAGAAATTCTTCGCTTGAGCGAGAGAGAAATAATCAATCATAATTTTGTATATTCGATTATTTTAAAATTATAATCGATTATAAATTTATTCGCTTAAGCGATGGATGTCTCGCTTGAGCGAGAATTGACCACGGTCCAACGCAGTTACCCAATCAATTATCGCTCGAGCGAAGTAACCCATCGCTTGAGCGAGAATTGATTACAGGCTAAACGTCCAATGCAGTTAGCCACATAACGCAACTTGGGTCACCACATATTTCAATCACTTCTCGTTCAAGCGAAAGTACCCGTCACTTGAGCGAGAATTGACCTGAGATCACCTATTTGTTACAGGTCTCCTCGCTTGAACGAGAGTTGATCTTACGCGAAATAATCAATTATAATATAAAATAATCTATTATTTTAATTAGTGAACAATAAAGAGTGCTAGTTGGGTAAATAATGTTCCCGATATATTATTTTGAGAAATATTTTTTAAAATAATATTATTTATGAAAAAAAAGTCAACAATTTACTATTTATATTATTTTTCATTTTTTTCTTTTAAGTAACGAAAAGACAGGACTTTTTGGCGTTAGAATCAAAATAATTATAAATTAAAACAACTTATTAGTCTTTTTAAGACATTGATTTTATACTTATTTTAGAAATTTTTTTTATTTTCTTTTAATTATGTTCTATTTATAAATAAAAATTGTTTTAATTTTATATATGTTATTATAATTCTAGTTTATTGGAGTTAAAAGATATTTTAATGAATTAAAAAATATATATATAAATTATTTTTAATTTAAACTTTAAAAAAATGTTTGACTTGACAACGTAACGAAACAATTATTTTCATGATTTTTGTTTTTAACTTTTTAAAAGGTAACGTAGAGAACAGGGCACTTTTGCCTTGGAACCAAAATATCTATATATTTCGATAAAGACATATATGGCTCTGCGGCCAGATTAAAATTGGGCAAAGGGAGTGATGCCGTGGTCTCTAGGTATGCATCTTTTAACGTAATTATAATATATTTTTTTAAATTAATCATAATTTTAATAAAAAAATGATTTAGTTTCAAGTCAAAAAAATTTCCATTGCTATAAAATAATCGAGGAAAACTAATTTAAAAAGCAAGTTCGGATACTCAAATATATGAAAATATTTTTTCTTATTAATTGTTATTAAGTAAAATAAAATAAGAAAAACGTTAATAATAACTGTCACTCCCTTTCTCTTTTAAGTCCGAAGTTTTTTTCTTGCTTAATTTTTTTTGTCCATTTTCTCTTTGTCGCAATCACGTGGACCAAAACCACGACCACGTCACAATCGTACGCAAACTCACGGCCCCATTGTTGATATATTAATTGGGTCGACCAGTTACACTCCAGTCTTTGTCAGGGAGTTTGATGTCCACGATGTTGTTTAAAATTTGAAAGGATAATGCCAAGTTTCCATTAATTCGTATCATCAATAAATAAATAAAAAAAAACAGAAAATTTAAAAAATTTATATTTTTAATAAAATCACATTTATATTTTAAAAAATATATTATTACATTAATTATATACCAGAATTTGACAAAATTATTTATATTATAATTTTTCTTTTCAATTATGTTTTATTACAAAATTGAGTATTATTCAAACCAATAACTTGTACTTTTACGAAGCATAATTGTCTTCGGCATATATTTTTAAATAATATTTTGCATTTTTTATTATAATTTATTAAAAATATGAAAATAATAATAGTGATGATAATAATAATAATTAAGAAACATAAAAATTGTGCTTTTTAATAAAATTTAGTCAATAATATAAAATATAACAAAAAATTGTCATTAACTTTTGTTTTCAAATATTTAACATAGTATATAATAGAAAATATTAATTAGTGTAGAATAATTCGCGTGATCCATATTTAATGATTGTGTCCGTTAAATTTTGTTTATATATCTCAACTTTTTAATGTATTTTTTTTAAATATATTTTTAATTATATAAATATTTTTTATATTTTTATTTATTAATTTATATTTTTATTAAATAAAATAAAAAAATTATGTGTTAAAATATTAAATATATTTAATTAGTTAATATTTATAATATTATAATATATTTATATATTTTAATAATATAATAAATAATATAACACTTTTAATTATAATTCTTATTATTTTAATTTTAATATATAGATATTTTTTAAAAATAAATTAACGTCAGCTCTTCCCTTTTTAGTTCTTCAACAAGTTAAACAATACGGATAAAATAAATTGACGAATTAAAATTATTAACTAGTCCTACTGATATTGAGACAAATTGATTAATGAGTTCATTAATCTAAGATTGATGAGTTTATTAATTTAATCTGATTTACCCTCTCTAAATGAAGTAATATGACTTAAATTTAAAATATATTTAATTTTTTTAATAAATCATTATGACCTATGGCTTAAAATTTATAAATTATTTAAAATGAGTGAGAGTGAGAATTAGATAATCAAATAAATATTATTTTCCGTTATAATTGATTAAATAAAAAAATTATTAATCTATTTTCATTTATTAAAACTTTGATTTACTAAGAATTATTCTTTTTAATATAAACCCCAAATCAATTCTTTCATATGATTCATATATATATCCAATCCATTTACATTATACCATTGATGTAATTCATCCGTAAATTTAATATTATAACAAAAATAAATAATTTTAAAAATAAAAAATGAAATTTTTAAAATAAATTAAACATATATTTTTAGAAACTTTTAAAAAGGTAAATTTCATTAATATTTAATTATCAAACAAATTCAAATTAATTTTTATATGTAAATAATCAAGAGGACATTTTATATTTTAATAAATAGTAGATAAATTATCAAGGAGTCGTAAAAAATTTGGATGAATTTAATTTGATTTTTTTATATATATTTTTATAGTGAGTGGATTTATTGGATAAATGATTCTTTTCGCCATAAGAATAGTTATCAAATTATAGGTTAGTCCAGTGGACCAATCCAAGTTAGGCCTAATCCGATTAATTTATTGGCAACTGATTTTTTAGACCTGTGAGTAAATTTATTTAATAAAATAATAATTAAATTTCAAAATAAAAAATAATATTATTATTTTATTAATATATACATATATATTATTATTAGTATTAGTATTATTATTATTTTAATATATTAACCACATAAAAATATTTTATTTAAACATAAAATCAAACAAAATTAAATTTTTTTTTTTTTAAATATAAATTAAATCTAATAATTATATAATTTTTTTACTTAACTAGCGAGATAATAAGTTAACCAGATGAGATTGTACGTTTACAGAGAACTCAACCCTCTTTTTACTAACACACATTTATTACATTATTACACATATAATTAAAATTAATTTTAATTTCATTAATGTATATTGCATATATATATATATATAAATTTTATTTTTAGTTTTTGATAAATTATTTTTATATAAATATGTTGTGATTTAAAAAAAACTAAACCAAAAATAATTTATTAATCTGTTAACTTGACCAGGATAACTCTGTTTAAAAACCTACTAAACACTCACAAGATTGGACCATTCTTTTTACATACATCTTTACTTGTTGGCAACTATAACTACAATAGTACACAAACACTTTAGTTTCTATATTTTTAAATTTTCTTAGTTCAGTATCTATGTATGTTATTTTAATTAACTCTTTATTTAAATTGAATCGAACTAAAAAAAATAGAATGCATACGATTAAAGTAAATAATTTTAAAATATAAGAATTAAAACATAAAGTTTATTTTTTTATAAGAAATTAATCACAAATTTAATCTTTTAAACTTCTATTTATTTATATTCAACTCAATGTTTCCGTCATTCTTAGGTTATTTTCTCTGAACCAAGCAAGGATAGGGTAGGAGTTTTTTTAATATATATTAGGGACATGTTTTATCCACTTGATTTCCCATGTAGGGAAAAACTAAAAACCATAATCTACTTTTCCGTGGCCAATAAAATTGCTCCATATCTATTATGGGTAGAGTTTTTGCAAAGAGTGGGGATATTTTGAAAATGAGAAATCATTAAATTCTTTAAATAATTTATTTTTATTAATAATAAATTAAAATTATTATTATAATATTAAAAGATAGTTGTTTAGGAGAGTTTTAAGAATTTAGATTATCAAAAGAATCATTTTCCTTTTGTAAAACTTTTATATTGTACATGGTATATATCTGTAGATGTGGTGCTACTTGTTCCCCGTGGAAACCCCCAATATAAAGGGCGGCGACATTGTAACCCCGAAAGTCGCGGTTTCACACGGTGGTAGGTGACAAGCAAAAGTGATAACAGGGAGAAAGAGGAGGGAGAAAACAGATGGAACAAATGGGGATAGCAGCGGAAGCTCATAACGTGAAAATTCTGGGATCAGGCACCGAATACATAGTTCTGGCTCACGGCTTTGGCACCGATCAATCTGTGTGGAAACACTTTGTACCTTATCTCGTTGATGATTACCGTGTCGTTCTCTACGATAACATGGGAGCGGGCACCACTAACCCTGACTACTTCGATTTCGAGCGCTACTCCAGCTTAGAAGGTTACGCGTCAGATTTGCTTGCCATTTTAGAAGAGCTCCAAATTGAATCTTGCATATTCGTTGGCCACTCTGTTTCCGGAATGATTGGTGCTATTGCTTCTATTTCTCGCCCCGATCTCTTCACCAAACTCATTCTGGTTGGAGCTTCCCCCAGGTAAATGAATAATTATTTATCCTAGTTTTTGTTTTGAACTTGCAATTAATTGCCGTGTTTTGTGGAAGGTATTTGAACGACGTGGATTACTACGGAGGATTTGAGCAGGAAGAGCTGAACCAACTATTCGATGCTATGGCGTCGAATTACAAAGCGTGGTGCTGTGGGTTTGCTCCGCTGGCTGTGGGCGGAGACTTGGATTCTGTGGCAGTGCAGGAATTTAGTCGAACATTGTTCAACATGAGGCCCGACATAGCGCTGGTGGTGTCGCGGACAATATTTCAAAGCGACATGAGGCAGATTCTGAATCTTGTCTGTGTCCCCTGCCACATCATACAGGCGGAGAAAGACATGGCGGTTCCGGTGATGATCTCGGAGTATCTCCACCAACACATTTCTGCTGAGTCCATCGTCGAGGTCATGGCCACCGATGGCCATTTGCCGCAGTTAAGCTCGCCGGATATCGTTATTCCGGTGCTGCTCAAACACATTCACCTTGATGTTGAGGCAAGAAGCTAGACGCATCGATGATCCACGTGACTCCGCTGGAAAATACAATATGTGCGTGTGTTTGCGTTTTTATTTTTTATTTTTTTTTTCACTTTATTGTGTGCGAACTCTGATCTGTGTTAGTGGGAATCAAGTGTCAATGTCACTGTGGTCAGTGGTAGATTCACGAACCGTGAACGGCTAGAAAAAGGAAAACTCCTGCAGTGTACGTTTTAACTATTAAGATGTTTTAAATTTAGGTTTAATTACTTTATATTAGAAGATATTTTCTGCATAATGCATTTTTTTTAACTTCATAATCTTTATACATATTTTGTTCAGTTCTAAAGAAATATGTATAAAAAGTAAAGAAATGTTGTGAAATAAAAATATTCTAATTAAAGATCTCAAATAAGTGATTCTTTTTAAATTTATGTAACTGTGACAACTCATAGTTAGATAATAATATGAAGAAAAAAATTACTATCAGGGTATTCTATTTTTTTGAAACATAAAAATTATATAAATATAAGATAAGATATAGGAAAGAGAAAAGTTAGCATTATAAAAATATATTAAAAGCATTTATGGATGTAATAACTTTTCCTAAGCTAACATGACATACTTGATGTGTTGAGCAATAAAAACTTGAAATGACATGGCATGACAGAGTGATAAGATAATTTCATTTTCGAAAAAAGAAAAGGAAAATATAAGAACGAAAAGAACATAAGCTAAAGCGCGGATAGAGAAATTAATAAACCAAAAAAACAAATCATACAAGAAGTATTAGTATTTTTTGTATTAGTATTACGAAAAAGGTAAAATAAAAAAAATGAGATAGTATAAATATTTTTTATTTAATATATTTAATACTTTTTTATATTTATAAAAAAATATAGATAAAAAATATATTTAATGATGATTAAATTTAAATATTTTTATATATATATATATATATAAAATACATTTTTTATATCTATTTTTTTTATAATTACAAAAATTTAGAAAAAGTACCCCTCAGACCCGAATAAACTAGGCCACGTTTACAGATGATGCTTATAAAACTTTAGTAACTATAAACCATGCTTAATGTGAAAGCTGAACACGGGCTTTTAGTTTATACTTGTCTAGCTCTCTTTTTTAACTTCTGGTAAGAAAAGTTTAAGAAAAAATGTATGGGTCATATTCTAACGTGTATGTAACAAATGATTTTCTTATGTAATTAATAATATATGCTACAAATGTTATAAATAGTATATTTTATAATACTCAAAAATATAATAATATTATTAAAATTAATTATATATATATATATATATATATTTACCTTGAATTTTTAGTTGTTACAGTTATATTATTAAAAGAAATATTTTAATGGATTAAGAAATATGAATATATATAAATTATATTTTATGTTTATCTCTTAAATAATATGAAACTTATAAATGTGTGATAATATAGTCTTTAGTTGATAATTATGGGATATAAATAAAATAAAACTTTATTGTCGACGTTACAGTGTACGTCAATATTTTATTTACCTTATATAACATTTTGTTTACTTTACAACTCTAATTATGTATATGAATTATTATTGATATTTATTTTTTAAGATATAAGACTCATCAATATGTTAATCATCTATCACCAAAATTCTTAAAAATAATAATAAATAATGTTCATAATTAACTATTTTTTATGGATAATAATCGATCTTAGGCTTTTTTTTATTATATTGGGTAAAAAAAAATTGATTTTACTAAAAGGGGTCAAAATTTAAAAATTTCCTAAAATTAATTCAATCGTGCTATATGTGATGATTTAGAGGGTGAAATCGTTCTTGAAAACACATTTTTTATTTAAATGTATTTGGTAGTACGAATTTTTCACTTTTTTGTTGTATAAATGAAAAATGGGATTGGAATAACATGAAAGCAATAATTTTTTATAATGCGAAAATAGGATTGAAACATATCAATTGTTGTATTGAAACAACATATTTCACTAAATGTTTGTGTAATGTTGTTGCACCAAATAAATAAAGAGAACATATACAATAATGTAAATATGAAGAAGATGAAAAATTGATATAATAAATAGAGAATCCTAAAAATGAAGGAGATGAGCATGCAAAAAATCAGTAACTCAATGAATGTCTAATTGAATGTTCAACCACGTTCTTGTAACATCCTCATACTACTTTTCACTTTGGACTTCATGACGAATGATACAAATACATTAAAATCATGTAATATGAACTGATTTTGGTTCTAAACATGTGCAAGGTGATGCGATTTTATAATTGTCCCAATTGAATTCGTGCAAGAAACGATAATGTCAGTTATGAACTAAACTTGTGTTACCATACATGTTTTTACTTTCCTGACAAAAAAAAGTGTTTAAAAACATAAATTCAATAAAAAATATCATATGATTTTACTACCAAACTTTGTTTCACCTGACACTATTTAACCAAAAAATATTTTAAATTATCGATCTTTGATAAAATCAAAGTTTTTTAACCCTTTAGTAAAAATTAATCAATCTTATCATAACCAATTTACACCTAAAACGCCTCTTACCATTTAGAAGGTATAAAAAAATATTTCTATTTATTCTAATGAATTTCAAAATACATATTTAGCAATTGGTATAAATTATGACAAACACATATATAGTTTATAGGGGACACAAAAATCGGCAGCGATGTTAAATAAAAAAAGATGAAAAAAATTAATGTGATTTATAACGAAACGATTCTCATAAACTGTATGGTTGAATTAAATGAAATGTGATGTGAATTGATTAATTTTATTTTTTTCTTCATAATAGATGTAAATCCATGAAAAATATACATTTTAGTGAATAATTTTATTTAATTTATTTATTTATTTTAGTAATTTAATCCCCTTAATCACTTATTTTAGAGATTAAAAAAGTAAAAAAATAAAATAAAAATAAGACATGGGTAAATAAATAAATTCATTTAGTTAATAAGTCAAATTAAATGGTAACATTTCTATTTATAAAATAATGAGTTGAACTGGTTTATTTTTAATATAATTTGTATTGAGTCAAATTATGTTAAAATTACTTATTGTATACCTGAAAAAAAAATTAGATGGTAAAAGAGAAAAGGAAAAGAAGATACGAAAACTAAGTAAAAATAAAATTATTTTATAAAAAATTAACAAAGTAAAGAGTAAAAAATGATAAAAGTACAAATGATTCATTTGAAAGAAAAAAAAATCTATTACAATTTGAAAAAAAAAATATTACAAATTTTTATCATTAGATTATTTTAAATATTTCTTATATATTGTTTTTCTCAATTTCAAGTTATATGGTTTATTATGTAGGGATAAATAATTCATTAGACGAGCTCCGAATACATTTCTCATGGTATAAAAAATAATACACAAAATATACATAATAAGTTAATATTTTGAAATAAATATGTTACATTTAAATTTGTTTTAAAACTATAATTTCAAGTATTTTTACATGTATTACCACCACACAAATTTATTTCACATTTATCATATTGTATTAATTAACGTCATATAAATTTTACATGACTTTCGAAAGATTGGACATTAAATTAGACTCAGAGATCCTGTATTTATCACATTACTTTTCCTAAGTGGACATTCCCAATATAGGTACATAATTAAAATACTCTGTCTTATGTGACAAGATAAATCTCTATAACTTGTCATATACAATTATAATTATTTACTTTTCACATCACATGCTAAGTTATAGAAACCTTCTTCAACTCTCACCACATGATCTCTTCATCTATGTGATTCCAGTGATTAATAGAGTCAGAGAAATCTCATTTAGAATTCAAATTCAATATTCTTGTACACTTCACCACATAGTACCTTCTTAGGTACTCATAACCACACATTTTAGATAATTATGTATCACATCACAAGCTCAACTTAGTCTCACATACAAAGATATATCTCCGTTAATTGATTCATTCATGACTTGACTAAGTCTCAACAAATATATTTTAGTATCAAACACACATAAAACACCACATCGTCTTATAATTCATTACACATATAATATACATCTAGAGATATAATGGTAGTTATCACATTATAATAATTTTTTTATGCATATAATGATACTTAAAGCAACTTATTTTATGCTCATAACATATATTCAAATATTCTAAGTTATATACATACCATTTATCACATTTATAAATAAAATGTTTTTTTCTAATTTGACATCTACCTATTATTTTTACTATAATTTTTTTTGTAGATATCATTTTTTACTAGTTATTGTTTTATTTAATTACTCATTTTTGGTCTTCAATTTAGGTGTATGAAATGTTAAATTTGGAGCTATGTTTTATAATTTTTATAAGTTTGAACAAAAAACTTTTGAGAATTTTTGCTTAAGCGAAAATATATTTGAGACAAGCCTCATTTCAGTGGAAGTTTTTTCACTTGAGTAAAATATTTTTGTTTTAGCAAATATACACCTAAAAGGAGTCATTATCTCTATTACACATTTCGCTTGAACGACAAACTATCTCTTAAGCGAAATATGTAGATAATATATTGCGAAAATACACCTTAAACTAGTTTATAGGCATTAACCACTATCCTTTAAGATTTTATTACATCATTCTCTTATAGAACATGTTATACCTAGTCAAAATATTGTTATCCTATATCATAACATTCCATACACATGTTTCCACATAATAAATATAATTCAATTCATTCAATTATATACAAATATCAATAATATCAATTCACAATCAACTTTCTACAAATTAGACAATGCAACCAAGTCATCATTTCAATCCAAATAATCTATCATGCTAAGAAATTTACTACTGATTTCTCTTACATTAATTTCTCAATCTTTAATTTCAAAAACTCAAAAAACATTCAATTTGATAGGAAATCAATCATGTTCATAAAAAACTTTAATTAATAAATTAAATATACCATAATATTTTTAAGTTAGTCAGGTTCATCTTTATTAATAAAATTCATATGCATGCACTTTGTACTCCACATTCAACCTCTAAATTTACAAGTAAATATTTTAAAATAGGTAAAAAAAAAACTTACTCAAATTAAAATTTAAATTGAGTAAAAATATCTCCTCTATTCTAAAAATACTAAGAGATGCTTTAATATATAAAAAAAATGAGAAAGAAAAAGATTTTTAAGACAAAAACAAAGAAATCAAGTTCTAGATAAATTTTGAACTCTTAGTATTTATTATTTATAACTCATTTTAACTTATAAGACTTCAAATTTTACCTTTCATTTAACCATTTTTACTTTTTAATTTTCTTAAATTATATCCTAATATATATATATATATATATATATATATATATATATAATATTCTTTATTTAAAATTCATTAATCAAGTTTAAATATAACATCCTGAACTTGTGTTTCTTACCTTTCGTTTTTTACATTTAATTTTCAGTTTTTATTCCTTACATAGTGCAACATACACAATTTATAATGTATAATAGAAACTAACTTTCAAATTCAACTGAGACACTGTTTAAATGATATATTGAACGAAAAAATTGAGATTTTAGTTAAACGAACATGTTGTCTAATAATAATAATAATAGTTATTATTATTATTATTGTTATTATAATAATAATAATAGCTTTAGTAATCATATATTAGTTAAGGTTTTATTTGGTTTTATAAAAAGATTAATTTTATTATTAATTATTTTGCAAGCAATTATAGATATTTCATATTATTTTTATTTTAAAAATTCATATTTATAACTGAAACAAGCAATTAACTTAGTTTGTTTATAATATTCAAAATAAAATTAATATTATATTTTTGTACCTACTCACTGAAATACAAATTTCTTTCGAGAAATTTGCTAAACAACTTTAATTTTAAAAAATAAATTTCACAAACAACTTAATTTTTTATTTGTTTTTGTTTTAAACTTTAACTTATAAATTTAAGAAGGACTAAGACTAGACTAAATATATTTAATATATATATATATATATATATATATATATATAAAGATAATAATATTTTCTAAGATCAAAATAATTAATGGTCTATTTGTTTTCAGTGACGGAAAGATAAAAGATGCAGAAATATGTGGATTTCACGTATTTTTATGTTCAAATTATATAAAAAATAAAATAAAAATCTTCCTCTGTCATACGGGAAGCAAAACGAAAGAAGTAAAAATTTTTAATCATCAATTATGAGATTATTCATAATGAATTATATAAGTAAATATTATTAACTGTAGATAATCTATAATTCATTAAATTTGAAAATTAAATATTTACATTATTTTTTATATTATTATAATAATAAATGATTAAATAATTATATTAAAATAATAAATAAATTTATTTTACTTTTTATTCATTTCTACTCTTTTCTCTTCATCTAAACAATCCCTCTTTATTTTCTCTTTCTCACCTTTCCCCCTCCTTCAAATCAACTTATGGAAATTTCTAACCATGCCGTTTACTTTTTCTGTGAATGGATAATTGGGAGTTGAAAGTGACAAGAAAATTGGGATTTGACTTTAATGGTCCCTTTAGTTAGGCGTCCATTAGTTGTCTCAACATTAATAGCCTCCATTTAATAGGCTTTCATTATTTATGTGCTTTATATTTTCTCTAGGATTATTCATGTGCGTTTCTAATAACATGTGTGTACATTAATGGCTTCGTACTTTTTTTACAACAGCCTCTTTCTTTCACTTTCAAAGAAAAAAAAAACGAAAAAAATAATGATATTTTGATAATATTTTTATTTTATTATGCTTTCAAGTAAATAAATTTTCACTCCTTAAATTAAAAATAAAATTTTAATGTCTTAAATGTAATAAAATGTATTTGTATTCTATAAATATTAAATTTAAAATGTTATTTTTTAATATTTTAATCTAAAATTAATTTTTATTCTGAGAAGACAAATCAATTTATATTAATATAAAGGATCAAAATCAAAATTATTTTAAAATTTAGAGACTAAAAATATAATTAAATCTATTTTTTCATTATTTATTGATAATTTTTTTATAATAACATAGTAATAGTAATAATGTTTATATTATTTTTATTATATAATTATAAAAATAATTATGAAGATAACGAGGAAGTTTGGATTCATAACTTCATCCACTTCAATTTTTTTTCTTTAGTTGTGGTTTCACACAAGGAAACCACACCAATTTTACACTGAACTGTTTTTTGAATAATTGCTACTCGAGATAATTTATTCATCTTAAATAACAAAATGACATATTTTTAAATAAGATTTTTTCTATTTTTTATTCCTGTCGATAAAAAAATTATTTATTTAGTTTTTAAAAGAAGGATGTATTTAAACTTACAACTTTTGTCTCTGTATAAAATATTAAAAAAAAGTCAAAAAAAAAATTTCACAAAGTATTCAGGAGTAAAAAGGTTATTAAAATAAAAATTTCACCTAAGACAAAGATAGAGGTGAAAAATGTAATTCAAAATGCAATTTTGATCTTAAGATTTTACTTTTAATCTAAAAAACAACATAAGTTAATAAAATAATTTTTAAAAATCATAATAATAATCCATTATAAATTCAAAGCGTAATGGATTAGTGCATGTTATTATTATTACTTTATTTATTTCTTATGATTTATGCATAAATTATTTTTAATTTATAGAAAAAAGAATAATTTCTATGTTTTTTTTTCTCGAAGAAACTTATTTTCAATTTCACGCAAACATAGTAATTTACTAATAGTGATTGTTGGGTCAAATTTGAAAAGTTCAACATAAAACAAAACTTATGAAAATTTGTCACAAAGTAACAAGTCATTTGAAATGATAATAAAAAAAGTTATAAAATATTCTTAAACACAAGCTCAGATAAATAAAAAAGTAAAGGTACAAAAAAAAAACAAAACAAATTACACCTTTTGATCTCTTTTTGTTGCAATTGTAAAGTGTAAAAAGAATAAAGAAGATGGATGGAAAGAGATGATTGAATGAAGATAAGCAGAGAAGGCTGAATTATAAGGATTAAGGACGCTAAGCACAGTTTTATAAAGTGTTTGCTGCATTTGTGAGTCGTCAATGCGTAACTTTTTGACGTCTCGACGCGATTTTCCACTTTTCGAAAAGCTAAACCTGATTGAGAAGAATTGTTGGATCCGGATTCTTATAACATATTAAACTCTTCCTGTACACATTCGTGAGTTTTCATTATTTAAGATTAGATGACTTGAGTAGTTTATTTATATATGGAAAATGATACTTTCACAACCTAAATTCATACAACTCCTATAAACAACTCTGTTTTAATATTATAATAATAGTTTTACTTTATTTTTATTTGTATTAAATCAGTCTATAGATTATTATATTAATAAAAGTGAGTTGTTTATAAGGGTTGTATGGTTTTTGGTTGTCAAAATATCACCACTCTTTATATATACTTGGGCAAAATTCAATTAACTATTTCGTAAGATTCACCGGCGGGCATGGCCGAGGAATCATTTTACTTGTCGCATTAAACAACATTATGGAATCCGAATCCGAATAAAATTCGGAGTAATTAAAGCATCTAAAATTAGAATTTTTTACCTAATTTCCAAAACCCACAGGGCTGTACGACGGCCCGTGAGTTTGGGCCACCTATACCTTTCGGCATACCTGCACGTCACGCGCTATGCGCTTCGTGGTTATCCGAAATTCGGAGTGTCAATATGGGTTCTAACCCGTGAGCCAACCCGGCTCATCCCGGGTTCGAACCGGGTTGGGTTGGATTTTTTTTATTTCTATCAAATATGGGTTAAAATGAACCCGACTCACTTAATTCAGCGGGTTAAACGGGTTCGAGCTAGGTTATGGTGGGTTAACCCACCATTAATTTTAAATTTTAAAAATAATTATAATATATATTAACCTTAATTAATAATTATATTTTAAATTTTAAAAACAATTATAATACTTCGGGAATCCTAAATGTTATCCTCGCCTCATCTCTATCTTATATTGTCGTTCTGCCTACAACAAGTCAAACTACTGTCAACAACACTACGTTTGTCATTGCACTTATCTTATCATATGTTCATCTTCATCGTATCACTACATCACCGTATCCATTATAACATCTATACATTATTTGTTATTTGTTATTGATTTATACGTATATCTCTTTAATATATGAATTTTTGACTTCTTTCTTTCAAATTAATTTATAGTATGAAATGCAAACAATGCATCAAAGTGTCAATGTGAATTGTGTTGGTGATGATTTTATTGTTAATGAAAAACCCAATGAGTCAATTTCGAGTTAATAATGAAGATACTAATGTTGAGAAAAAAGGGAAAAAACAAAAGTTTCTACATCGAAGTTTGGAAATATATATATATATATATATATATTTTATATTTATATTATTTTTAAAAAAATATGGGTTAGTGAGCCAACCCACCTAATCCATCAACCCACCTAACCTACCAACCCGTAATAGGTTGAGGCGAATTATAAAATTTCTAACTTACCAAAAACTGAGTCGGTTCAACTGATCTATTTTTAGCGGTGAGCCGTTAGCTCACTTTCACAACCCAATCCGAAATCCACTCCTATTACACGCACTCTTTCTTCCTCTTAATTTCGAAAGCTTCTCATTGACTATTTTACCCTTTCCTTCTGCATTTCCACCCCGAAGTTTCTTTTTCACTGCTACTTCTTTGAAACTTGAAATCCCGAAAGGAGAAACAACACTCACACACGTCGTTTCTCTTCTTCATCCATGGCTCCTGCTACATGTCAGCTAGTTAGGTTCTGCAGCTCTTAGGTCTGATCTAACGCTGTTCGATTCCTTGATCCTCTCGTTTCAGAGTCTGGTGCAATCCAAGACATTTGGTTCGCACACACACTCTTCTTCGCACCTCTCTGATTCCGTTTTTTTTTTCTTTCTTAATTACGATTAAATCTGCCTCGTGAATGCTAATGTGATGTCCAATCTGCTTCTGGTTATTGCTTTCAGTAACAGAGCCTTCTGTTACAGCCAATTGGAGCTGCACAGGCACGTAATTGAGGATCGTGACCGAGCGCTTCAGCTTGACCCCGCCCGTCTTACATTCCCAAAGGTCTTTTGCTAATTAAATTTATTCTACACTCGATGCTTCTTTTAGCTGTTTGTAGCTTGGGAAATGTGATATAAATTCTTGATAGAATAACAGAGGTGGTTGATGAATTGAAGGTTAAAAACTATGTGGGAACATGGAATTTTATTTTGACGGATTATCATCATTCGTTTAGTTTATGGATTATCATCAGGCGACCGTTTTGTTTGAATTTTACTAGAAAGAGTCAAAGTGACAAATGCTTTGTCTTTGAACTTAGCACCGGCTTATTCTGTCATTCGTGCGGTTTCTTCTTTGGGAAGGAAAGGAGATGCTGTGTTAGTATGGGAGCAAGGTTATGAACACGCGCAGCATCAGTCTTCAGATTTGAAACTATTGCTAGAACTTGAAGAGCTTTTGACGACCGCAAAACATGGTAACATTTCGTTGTGTGAAACCAATGTCACAATCCGAATCAGATGCTCTGAGTAATGGGGACTTGACTGAAAGTGGTGAGAATCAAGAAAGGTTGAATGCTCAAGCTGAATTATGTGACAATACAAGTGATAAATCTGCGATCTTGCCGAAGTCTGCTGATAATTTTGACTCATGAAATGAATTGAGTAGTGAAGATGGAGAATCTAATAAATCTGACAGCCAAGTGAATGGAAGCCCTGACATTATTGATGAATTTAGTTATAATTCTGAAAGTGACACATCAGAATCACGTGATAATGATAAAGTATTTACCAGCAGGGATGAGTCTAGTAGTGACTCGAGTGAAATTGCTGAAATTCTTAGACAGCCAAATATCCTGAAGCACTGATAGGAAGAGGGACAGCATATGCTTTCAAGCCAGAACTTGATGCTGCTATAGCTGATTTGTCAAAGGTATTTAAATTTGAACAAACTAACTAAAAGTTTCATCGAGATCTGGGTATCTCCTCTATTCATAAGTAGTTCCACTTTTATTTATTGGGCTATACAATTCAGTCCATTTGCTGGCAAGGCATGGAAGAGGAGACGTCAGGCTCGGGCAGCCTTGGGGGAGTTTGTTGAGGTGGGGTAGCTTACTCTATCTTAGTATTTGCCAAAATTTTGAAGTTTACCCAAATCACATTGCCAACTGGAATTTTGTTTGTTTTTTGAAATATTGGCTATTTTAGTTCATCCATGCTTCATGTTAGGTATGGTTCATTGACAATCACTCTTAATGCAATGGATCTCTTCTGGTACAGAAAATGAAAATGATCGAAATTTGGTTTATACTTATGTTTGAGCTTTTGGATATCTCAGGCTATTGAAGATTTAGCTAAGGCATTAGAGTTTGAATCCAACTCAGCAGATATTTTACACGAGAGAGGTATCTTATCTGTGGCAGTCCTTTTAATTTTGTTATTTGGCCAATTGATTGATGCTGGAATAATTAATTATACCTCCTTCTATTATGATGGTTAATGCACGCATCTTGTGGTAGCTCCTAGAAGTCTAGACAGAGAGACTTGATTAGTTTTATATGAAATGAATATATATTCTTTTTAATAATTCTTTCCGGTCTCCTGTATTTTGTTTACAATTACAACCTCATTGTTAATTTCAAGTTGAAGATTGATTATAAATTATTGCTATGATAATGATGATCTAAATATTTTCTTTATGTAGAGTAATGCCACTTATATATGTCTAACTGTATGATTTTCATAAATTCAATACAGGAATTGTCAATTTCAAATTAAAGTTTGATGCTGCAGTCCTGTGTGCAACTAGACAGGGATAATAAGTCTGCCTACACATATTTGGTGGGTCCTGAGTCTTAAACATTTTAGTCCTCATTGATTATGAACCCTTTATGTTGGTTTTCTCATCTTTCACATGAAAATATATCTTTATGTTTTAGCTGAGCTAGCATTGGCTTTTACAGGGTTTAGCATTATCTTTAATTGGTGAATATAAGAAAGCTGAGTATGCACATCTAAAATCACTTCAAATTGATAGAATTTTCCTTGAAGCATGGGCACACCTGACTCAGGTATCTATCAACATTATTGTGGAGATGGATTGTTGGAACATTACTAGTTAATTTACTGGAAGCTTTATTCTTAAAATCCCGAGTCATCTATGTGCATATTATGTTATGGTTTGAAATGTAATAAATTATATACTTGGATGCCCTCTGGTCTCCAATAATATCATTCATACCATTTCTGTCTTGTATCATTCATTCAACTTGAATTGAAGTTTCTATTTCATGTCAGCTTAGTAGCTTAGTTTGCATTTCCTTTTAGTAACTTGTAAGTTAACTGTACAAGAAGTAGGTTACATCTTTCATGCCTTTTTATTTCAAGTTATAGGTTTATATCTGTTCTGTTTGATGACTTTGGTTTCTCACCATTGATCCTTTCATCTCCTTCATATTCATTCTTGAGGAAACTCCAGATTTCAAATACTGATTTGATTGTCATGATTCTTGTGAAAATAACTCGAGAGACAACAACAACAAAGAAGCTCTTTGACTTTCTTTTTTTCCTTTCCTTTTGATTTTTAATTTGAGTCATAGTTGGATTGGTTGGTAACAGGTAAACTTCATAATCCTACTCAACAGCTTCCCACAGATCAATTGTCTGTAGTATGCCTCCATTCTTGCTGCCCAGATATAGTACTTATCACCATCGAACGCAGGTGGTGTTAGTGCTTAGTTTCAAAATCCATATATTTGATGAACTTAGGCAAGGTGTTTAGGCTTTTCTGGTGGTTTCACAGTTCACTCACAGTTCCTTTAAAATGAGGGCTCTTGATACCAATTTGTTGAATATTAAAAAAATATGAAGTGCAGAAGCATAATATATTGATCTATCAAGAACATAATTTTTAGGTCTCTTGTGAAAATTCAATTCTACTAAAGTTTCATTTATCTCAAAATCAATTCCATTCCCTGTAAAATTGATTGACTACCTAAAATTTTTGCCAAATACAACACTGAGCCTATTTTACTCACCAACTTGTGATTCATGAGTAACACAAATAGGCACTTAGTGTTTGGGCGATGGGACAAATTGTTTTGTCTTTGACATTCCTGTATGTTTGATGCATAGACAATGTGGAAGGCATGGATAGAACCCTCGACCAATATATAGAGGATTTAACACCGTATTAAGAACCAATTATCCTAAAAGCTTAAATTGTTATATGAAGACATATAAATCTCTAACAACTATGAAACATGTAATCTGAAATGTTTTAGTTAGCTTGTTTGATTTTCTTATTTAACTGATAGAGTAGGACTTTTCTTCTAAATTGTTAAAGCTTGTGGATTTCTAAAGATTTATTAAGCTTTGATGATATATGCATCATAACTCTCTTTCTCATGACTAGTGATTGCTACCAATTATTAATTCTTAATGATGGTCCAAGGTTGAGGTTACATGTTACTTTTTTCAAACAGTTTAAATAATAATATTTCGTTAGTTTGTGCATTATGAAAATGAAGACTTCAATATTTGATTTGCAGGTCACGCATGTCAGTTCTGTCTCTGATCGTTATAATGTTGTTGGTGAGGATTTCTGGTCATCTACTTGGTGCAGCAGCGCTGCATTTGAAGGGTACGTGTGCATGGTGCAGATGGTGCCTGGGGAACTTATAATTTTTCAAATACTTATTTCTGGATGTTAATGTTTCAGGAAACAACTTGAGGGGACAAGGATAACATTTGTAAAAATGTAAGCTTGATACAGTTAAAATTTAAGTTATTTTCTTCCCCATTTTCCTCTTTTTTGTTGTTTAACTGTTCATACCTGTATATTTTATCGCGGGAAGTAATGAATATTTTCGGGGGGAGCATGGTTTTGGCTTTGCAATCAAAACACCTTGTACACCTTCTAGATGGGAGGATTATGATACAGAAATGGCAATGGCATGGGAAGTACGTTATAGTTATACCAAACATTTTTTATTATATACTTTTAGCCAATATATATGACCCTATGGGGGCCTTTTTTATGTGGCTTGCTTCTGAAAAGGATGTGTGTTTGAGTCATGCCCCTTTTATCATTAAATTGTGGTTGATGCTTTCGTTGGAATTGTGTAGAAATTTGCTGACACTATATTTCATTATTTAAGTTTCATATAAAATCTATGTATTTATTTTTCAAGTTACTAGCATATAAAATCTATGTATTTATTTTTCAAGTTACTAGATGAATTTTGACAATTTACCTTGTATCCGTCTTGATAACTGTCAGGCTATCTGCAATGCTTACTGTGGTGAAATTACGGGTCTACTGATTTTGATGTGTCTGAAAATGTGAGAGATGCAATTTTAAGGATGGCATATTATTGGTACGGCCTTATAAAAAAATACATAACTTATCTAGCCTCTCGGAGCGATTGAAGCCATTATGTAAATTTTTTTCTTCTATCTTTGGTCCAAGTCATTCCGTAAATTTATCTCTCTGTTTTTTAAGTATAACTTTATGCCACTGTCCCGAGGATCTGCTGTAGTCGGATTGTAGTCATACTGGGTTTGTTCCTTGCTGCTAATATGGAGTTCACAGGAAGCATCCCACAAGGTTTGCAGGTTGATTGGGAAGCCACTTTGCACTTGGATTCTAATTCCTTTGTGGATTCTATCAAAAGTTGGCTATACCCATCTGTGAAGGTAACAACCTCATGGAAAGACTATCATGATGTAGCATCAACGTTTCCAACAACAGGGTCGGTTGTTGCTGCCTTGAGCGCTTCTGACGATTGAAAACTCCTTGAAATAATGGCCAGGTGAGTCCGTGGCTCTACGTTATTTTCAGTTTCTGTTTTTCTTAATTTCTGGTCTTGTAGTGTAGTCTTTATAAACAATTACCCGATATGCAGTAGTATGGTTTATTCAGTGTCTCTGCTAAAGCAAATTCAATGTATTATTACCTGGTTTTTGTAGGTTTCCGTATGTTCGATTAAGGACTACATTGCTGGTGGTCTTTCACGAGCTTCAGAAAATGCAGCAGAACTCTTAATTAAAAGCTTTGACATTTATTAACAGATCTTCCTGTTGAGGCTTAATCTAATGCATGTTTTTTAGTTGTAATAACATATGTTAGCCTTTGTACAGTGTTGTAATAATATATGTAATCCTGTTGGATGATTAAATTACCATTTATCTAATAATCACTATGTCGCCGCCCCGCCCCAAATAAGAAAACAGGTGAGAGGCGAATAAGTTTGTTCGTATTTTCATTATTAAATTGTCTTAGTAAGAATGGGGTAGTATTCAATTGCTTAAATGAGAGTGGAGCATTACATGCTTAGCATTTTTTAAACACTCCTACGCACAACTTCATTTCCTGATTTATCGTTAATGGTAGGTCATGGTTAGGTGTGCATGCACTATGCTGATGTCTCAATCTGAATATCATTATTTTACGTGGGATTAGGTGCATTAATCCATTTTTAATGCTAAATTGTTTTTTGCATGGCCATCCATAATCGTTCTCACCCTTATCTAAAGTTATTTTGTAACGGAAATAAGCATGCTCAAGTACAAAATAAATTTGAGAAGAATAACATTCAAACTTATCAATAAATAGTCCATAAACATAAAAAATCAACAGTTATTTACAATATATATATATATATATATATATATATATATATATATATATATATATATATATATTCATAAAAATAGAAAAAAGAGAGTAAAAGAATGATTATTTCTCACACTTCTCTTACCTCAAACATATACAGATGTTGTAAAAGAGAAAAAAAAAACATGATTTCACTTAATTACAGATATCACGAATTTCAGTACAAAAAGAAAAAAAAGAAAGAAAGAAAAGAAAAAGAGAATATGAAAGTGAAAGGCAAAAGGTAAATATATAAACTTTTTAAAAAAGTACATTTATAATTCTGTGACCGTTTTAGTTTTTAAATATTTAATTTGATTATTATTTGTAATGATATATTTCTTCAGAAGTTTGTTAAATTGTCACTCTTAACTTAATAATTACATATTCATGAAATATTTCTAAGCTTAAAATATATATTTTAAAACTAAAATATATTATGTAAATAATTAATGTATCGCATTATTTTATGTTTTTATTTATATTATTAAAAATAAAATTATAATTCTTTTGATCATATGAAAAAGTTATAAACATGTTAGTTTTAATCGAACAAATCAGTTTTTCTGTGTTATGAGTAAGATTTAAATATATATAGGTTTAATTTATTTAGTCTTTATAATTAAAAAATTACTTTTTTACCCTTATACTTAAAAATAATTCATTTTAGTTTATAGAATATAAAATCCAATTATTTATTTTATAGTTTAGTCTTTTATAAACATGTTAATTTTTACCAAACCAAATGATTTCATTTTCAAAAAATATAAAATCTTCTCTTTACCAACCAACAACTTCAAACAGTTAGACATCATCCCTCCAACCAAATGTTGTCAAATACTTCAAAGCAGCTTATATTTATTCAGGTTACTTTCACAATTAAAAAATATATATATCTGACCTACACTAGCTCCTGTATACACTTGAGGACTTGAACCATGGTTTTCATTAGTTTCTTTACTCTAGAAAGTAATATATAATTATATACAATGAAAAATTTGGAAATTCTACTAGAAAAAAAAATCAGTAAAAAAGATAAATTATGCTAGTAATTTTATAAATAAATAAACTAAAAAAGTTACATAAAAAAAGAAATAATCAATAATAAATTAAAATAAAAGCAAAATAAATTACACATTTTCTATAAAGAAAAAAAATGTAATTTTCTCTGAATCCAAATTTCATATTAAACAACTGTAAACTCTATCAAGTACCAAATTTTTAAAAAATTAAAGTTTAATAGAAGAATAAAGAGATAGTTCTATGCAAACATATCTAACATCATTGTATTTTGAGATAAAATGAAATTAGACAATTATAAATTCTACCAGGTAAACGATATAAAAAAAATAAAATTTTATAAAAAAATATAATAACGAGAGAGTTCTATGCAAACCTCTCTTCAATAAAAAGAAAATGAACTACAATAATAAGGTATGCACCTTAATGAAAGCCATATCGAGAAGCACAATCAGGAAATTGTTATTACACGTGGGATGTGTACATATTTTTTTCTAAATTTTACAGCATCTTTTGTTTTTTTTTTTTAATAATATGTACTGCTTCTACTTCTTTTCCCTTTTATATTAAACCATGACAAAATAATAAGTAATTATTTCCTATGTTTACAAATTTTAATTTCAGCAAATAAACACGTAAGTTAAAAAAATAACCTTTTCTATTTTAACATGATAAAAATGAACTTTTTTTTAATAAATAATTTTTTTAAATATGAAATTGTAATTTCTTTTGACCTTCGTGTACTTAAAAAAAATTACGTCTTTATACTTGTTATAATTGTAATACATATTCTCAATCAATGACTAAACATCATTCTATGAGATTAGATATTTATAAGTCACTCTGTATAACAAGAGATATAATAAATCCCAGTATGATAAAATATGAATTATAATAGAAAAAAACAGACTAATATATTTAAAACTATGTGTACATACACTAACCACTTAACATTCTTGAATGTACACAAATTACTGATACTAGAAATTGATTATATAAACTTTTTTGCAAACATGTATATTTCTCTTTACTAGGTAATAAAGCAGAAAAAAGTTATATAAAAATGGAGGTTGACAGTTATATAAAAGAAATGGAAGAAAAGAATTAAACTTTTAAGAAAAAAAAAAATAGTAAAAATATACGTATCCAATCATGCCTGTATAATAAGTGTACCGTACCGAATACCTGCCGGCGCCGGTACAATAAGTATTCAACAGTACCATGCATGAAAGTTTTACCTACCATCACTGTCCAAGAACACGAGCAAGAAATTAAAGAAACAATTTTCTGAACACCAAAAACTCTGTTACCATGTTCTCATCCTCATCTTCTTCCTCAACTTCAGATAATCACATTTATTTTGGACCACAAAATCTTTCGGGTTCTTGCTGCGTAGCGTTCCAATTTAACTTGACTGAAGCAAAGAGCCACGTGGCGTTCATCTGTTTGTTAACCATTCGTGCTGCGTAGTGTGGGATCTTGAATCCCTTTCTCTCCCGAGACCCAAATCGGTCGCTAATGAACATTAAACAATCCATCAAACTCTCTTTGGCTAGCCCCTTCATGTCATAAGCCTGTGATCTTCTCCACAAACTCTTGCTGTGAACACACGCGCTCGCCACATTCGATAGACACAGAGCTCGTGTGGTATCGCTGAGTGCAGCTTCTGGCTCTCTAAGAAGCAAGTGACACTGTGCTCTATTGCTATGAAGCACAATTCTCTCTTTCTTAGTCTTTAATGGGCACAGATCCAAAGCCTCTGTGTACTTCATCACAGCTTTTTCTATGTCCCCTGACCCAAATTCTCGATTCCCTTCTTGTTTCAAAATACCTGCCAACACTTTTTTTTCTCTGATTTCTTCCTCGTTCATTAGGCTTTCTCTTTTGACTCTTTCCACCTTCAACTCCCATAACTCTTTTAATGTTCTCTTGGTTCTCTCACTCTTTAAGTTCAACTCACCAAACTTGATTTTGTGGTAATCCTGTAAGAGAGTCTGCATTATTGCTTGCCCCACTTTGGGTTTCCCTCCCATGCTTCTAAGCTCAACCAAATCCGCAAGAACTGGAGCAGTGGTGTCTAGTACTTTATATCTTGTAACTGGATCTCTGAGAAGTTGCAAAAGACTATCAATTGCCATGTGTTGCCTGTCATCTGAGGACCGTGAGACATTGCAGAGATTTACTACCACTTCTTCCAAATCTGCTACACTTTCTCTCCCCATTTGGGTGTCGCAAAGAGTTCTGAGAAGCCCTATTCCTGCAGGTGATGTTGGGTTTACCAAACCACCCCACATTCCACACAAGTCCTTCAAGAATCTCTTTTTGCAGATTAGTTCCAGAGATCTTTCTCTACATGCAAAACAATCAAGGAGATAGAGAGACCAACACTGAAGCTGGCTGGCCCATTCTTCTGCCTTTCTGTTCTCTAATTCCAAGTCTCCGTGCCCTCTTGTCAGCAAGTTCCTATGGTACTCCAACCTCTCTGATTCCTTCAACGCAACAAACTTTTCATACACCTCTTTTAGGCACGTGGATGCTATGTCAATGGCTGCTTCTACCACCTCAGCTTCATGCTCAGCAACGGCTTCAAAAGTAGCTTCATGGCTGGCCAAATGACCCAGTGCACGAAGTGCAACTCGTTTCTCAACCCAACTAATCTTGCCTCGTATCAGCTCCATCAGTGGCTGAAACACGTTGGACTTAACAGCTTTATCGGCAAACCCGGGTTTATTCATGGTGTAAGAACCAATGATATGCGCTGCATAATAAGGGATGTACATGTTCTGACACCTAAGGAGCCAATCTTTGTTAGTGACTCCTTTTTGAATTAACTTGGCCATGCATCTAAAGATGCCAAGGGAAGGAAATTCTGGATCATTGGGGTTGGTTATGGCGATTTTCCATAGCCCACTTAACGCGAGGATGTGTTCTTGGTGGTCTCTGAGAGGCATTTGTTTGAAGTAGCGAGCGATTTTCGCTCTTCTGAGAGGAGGAATTGTTTCAGACATGACGATGCAGAAGAAACAAGAGCAGTTGTTGGTGTATGTTGGCGTATCAAGCAGCAAATTATGAATTTTGGCCTTGATGGGTGGATTTTGTGGGAGTTGGTAATCCATGGTTAATTGAAAGAAATTGGAAGTTTTCTATGAAAGGGACATGCACATCGAATGAAAGGATTGATTAATTATATATTGGTTGGAGTTGGTTGTGGCGCACCTTGCTGCTCGTGACACGATAATAAGCTGTGTTGCACATGTAACACAGTACAGACAGTGAGTATCATATGCGCCACCCCCTCCCTAAACGCCTTTCTTCTCATACATGGGAACCATGATTGCTTCAAATTCAAACTTAGATGAATGGACGAGAAGTTGAAGAAATTTTAACGGTTTTCTTGTTTTACTATTATATTTATATTTCTTTTCTTTAATCTCTTCCATTCATATGTAGTTGAATAGATTGTTGGTTTCCGATAACCATGTTTTTCGTACCAAAATTTTGTAAAAGAAATACGCAAATCTTACTTATTTACTTCTAGTTGGACAACCATGTACGTTAAAAAAATGAAGGAAATCGTCTCACGTTATTTGTAAATCAGATTCCTGTAATAAAATTAGTCGTATTTTACTTTTTGTTTTTTTTTTATCAACCAAGAATTTATGAAAAGAGAAGGAAGAGCTCTGATTTTAAAGGAAAATTATTGTTTCCACCTCACAATCTCATAATATTTTTTTAAAACTTTTTTTTTTCATAATTCAAATCATTTCACACTTCTTCATATGTTAATCTTTATTGTAAAAGTTGTCCTAAGATGTGAAATAAAAACAATGTTACTAAAAAACACATTCGATAAAGGTTAATTAATTTGTGATATGGCAAGGGTTTCTAGAACAAGACCAAGTGCAACAAACACGCACCTGTTTTTGTCCAGAAAACAGATCGATATTAGAAATGGGTATCTCTGTTTTTATTATATAAAAAGGAAAAGGATGTAAATATGTTTCACTATGAAGTAAAAACGAAACCTTTTTTAGTTCTTTATTGTTGACTTAAAATGGGGGATGGACCACGAATCTACCATTCGAAAGATGCAATAAAGAGAAATTGGCAGTGACTTGAATTGAGGTGCGAGAAATAAAAAGGGTATATAAGATTGATAATTTGAAAAGGAAAAGATAATAGGGGGAGGAAGATCTCTTGGGAATTAAGCATAAGTTGATGAGTCTGGTCCCCTCCATAAGAAGCCAATCAATGTCCTTAGTGTATTCAAACTCCCCTGCTGAATGTATGATGGAGTCATTCCTTTTCCAACTCAAAAAGTGAACATCTCGGATAAACAATACACATGCAAGTACAAGTGGGGTGGTCTCAAGAAAATGCGGCTATCGAAGACATAATCTATAAATGCGTATGTTGTAGGGCTTTCAACTTTTAAATTAACCTACATTAACAATTCTACTTTTTTCCTTAATTAAATTAACCTATTCCAAACATCTTTTCACCACGGGGTTACGTGTTCTTGAATTGGCATTGTCCACGGAAATATATTGAATTCTACATATTATTTTCACACTATAAAACTATGCATAAACTTTGTATATGTTTCGTGAATGTAATGATCATGATAGTATAAATTAGTTTTATCTTGTCTACATAGTCTTTTTATCTTATTTCATATATATATATATATATATATATATATATATATATATATATATATATAATTAGAGAGAGAAAAAATGGAATCTCGTAAAATATTAACATTAATTTAAAAAAAATAAAAATTCTCCCCGTGTACATAGGGAATGATGATTAGGATGTCCAAGTTGAGTTGAGTTTATTGCTAGGCGTGCACAGCATAGATTTTGTGGGCACGTGATTTAAAACACTGCCAGCACTACGGGTTTCTAGAAATCCCCATTTTCAGATTCAAAACTTGAGTGGCGTGCAAGAGAAAGAAATTTTTTGTTGGATTTTTTGTCATTTTACTTTCTTGTTATATAAGTTAATTAAAAAGGAGCAGGTGCGAACTATGATAATTAATTAATTAATTTATGTTTTCTTTCTTAACTCGAATGATTGAACAACAGGTATATAAAACTTAAGAAACAGTTCAAAGTGGAAAAGAACGATAAGAGGAAAAAAAGTAAATTTCAGCAAAATATTTGGTGAAAACACAAATATCATATCCCAAAATAAGGGAACTTTCTAAAGTAATTCAAGCTTTAGGCTTTCATCCACGTATTAGAGATAAAGCCATTCAATCATTTTATTTATACGAGCCCAGTGTAGAGAAAGCCCATTTCATATCTTGTTGTATCACGTAACCTACCTCATTTGGGCTTTTTTGTCCAGGGAACGAGGGGTACCCACACTCTTGGATATTGATTCTGTTATTTCATTGATGCAGATGGACCAACAAAACTTGAATCAATTGTTTTTTTCCATGTCTCTTATTAGTTTAGTGATAACATTAATTTTTTTATAATTCTACAAAACATCATTGATGGATTTTCGTAATATTATTATTTTAATGATAACAATATTTAAAAAAAAAAGTATAAATTCTGTCATACAATAACTTACATGGTCATAATCCTACTACATATATTTTCTGTTTTTCTTTGCCATCTTTTTTATAGGATTTGACTGCATTTTCTCTTACCATTGTTTTGTCTCAAAATTCTAAAATTTCAGAGAAAGGGCATTGGTTTGTTGACTGAGCTTTTAAATTTTGCTTGCAATAATTTGAGTTCTAATTTGAAAAAAAAAAAAATTTAGAATGATACTATTTTTTTCACCCCTTTATGAATTTGTTTACCGCTTCTCTTATGTTCTCTTTCAAAATTATTTCTTAATTTTCTCATGGTTTTTTATGGTTATGTATGCTATTTTCTTTCCTTTAAAATAGCTCTTAAAAATAAAGTTTGTTTCAATATATATATATATATATATATATATATATATATATATATATATATTATATTTAAAATTGATTTCTAAAAGTATTTTTAAAAACTAAAAAAAATACAACTCAATCAAACAAACCCTTATATTCTTCTTTTTTATCAGTTATATTTTGTTATTGTTTCTCCCTACTTGACGAACCTTAAAAAAAATTTGTTTTTTTTTTTACATTGTGAGTGGAAATTTATTGTACAAATGTGTTAATCTTACAGGTTAGAGATAGTGATTAGATTTTTGGTATCTTTTCAAAGTTTAATCTTTGTGTTTGTTCCTCTTTAATTTTACTCAAACAATTAGTTTTTTTTTTTTAAGAATTAAGATTTAAACAAATTAGTACAGTTAGTAGACAAGGTTAGGAACCAAATCAATTTAACACCTATTTTAGAGGTGTTAAATGGAAATTAATCCCAATGTCTTTATCACATGCATTAAAACTTTGTCACTTTGTTTACTTATTGCATGTTCTTGATTTAGGAAATCTTAAAAAATATTTTTGGGTTGATTTATTTAACTTAAATCATTGTTTTCCTCATCAATTCAATTCCAACCCTTTGTTTGTGGTTCCTAAGAATTTGTCTTCAAAACCAATCAACAGGCAACACCAACAAATTTAGCAACTAAATTTGGTGTTGTTGATTATTCCTATGCTTACACACAAATGCAATTACAACGTTTGGTTAAATGCCATCTTAAATTTCCTCCCAATATACTTTTCTCATGCCAAGGAAGCCTTGTCCTTTCATGTACTAATGTAATTGCAAATCATCACATGTTGTCACCAAAATCAGCAAGTACTTTTCTTACGTATCTAGAAAAGCAAAAAAATAAAATAAAATAAGATAAATATGGTAAAAGACAATGCAAAAGTTAAAAGGTATTTCGTAAATGGTTGGTTATAAACATTTAAATTTCGGTATAAAAATGAAATAGATGAGGAAGTCACCACTATTCTATTCTCATCCACTCTCCTACATGAAACATTCCTAAAATATATTGAGATATAAATTGCCTAAAATATATAAAGAAAAATAAAATTAGCTAGATTGTAAAGATAGATGGAAATGTTAGGTTATGAGCTCAAGTGTCATTAACAATGAATTAATGTTTAACAACAAAAAATTAAGACATATTTTTATAGGCACTTTTCTCACAAAAATAGAATATAATTACCCCATATTAACTCTTCCAAATTCTATTGATTTATGAGAAACATGTTGTACAGCCTAATAAATATGAATAATTATATGTTGAAGTATTTATTATTCAGTTATGATTATTTAAGTAAAATTTCAGGGGAAATAATTATAGAGATTATTTAAATGACATTTATTTGCTGTACCTTCTTTCTTTTTATAATATAAAAGCTGTACTTTGTTTTTGTTTAACTAACTTTAAAATAACTAGATATGAATCATCATTGAAATAATTATCATTAAAAACAACTTATTTTGAGGCATCTAATAGACGAAGTTATATATATATATAACCTCATTTAAAATTTGTAACTTAGTTTAAAATAACTTTGTAATGTTTTATATCAGTTCTAGGACCTACATTTCTTGCTTAAATTCACAGGTGAAACAGACATTAAAAGTTTTAAAAATTAAGCTTTAAATGAAGATGTGTGATTTAGAAAAATGTTTGAAGGGTGAAGAAGGGGTTAAAGTTGTGTCGGTGACTGCACCAGCTCCTTCTTCTAATAATCTCTGGGGCAATTATTGGGCAACATCCTTTCTGGCTCGAAGTGATTGGTTCATCATACAATCTTACATCATATATGCCTCCATGGCTCCACCACAACTACGTACACAGCTGGATCACCAACACCAAATGCATCACATCAATCACAGATACATCATACATACATACATATACCAATTACCAACCATTGGATTCTATTTTGATTATTGGCTCATCAAAATATTATTTATTAGTTAGTTATGTATTTTTATTGTTTTCTTTATTAAAACGTGATAACTCTGATTATTAATTACCAATAAATCATGTCATTTTAAATAATGCCACCGACGCTAATTAACCACTATGTAAAACTCTATATTAACTATTAAAATGTTGTTCTTTACACTTTGATTACCACAATTCACATTTTTAGTGTTTGTTTTTTCATGTATTGTTTTTTTATGATAAATTTTCAAGTATTGTTAGAACTTTTTTTACTCTAAATTGCTTAAAAATATTTTAAATATAATTCATGCTATCTACCAACAATTTGATTTTTTTTTTTTACTCCTAGACAAAAGGAATAATGATCCACATGTGTTAATGTCTGCTCTGGTTTTTCATTTCTCGGACATGGTTTTTCCGAGTAATTCTTGTTGAAATTATAGATTTAATCTTTAATTTGTGACATTATAAAAGAACATTTCCTTAATTATAGCCAACGCCGTTGGTGTTAACGTCACGGATAATAGGGCCGGTCCAGAGATGGAGAATGGAAACGGAAGAGGAAAACTTGTTTGGGTGGGCCCCCAAATGTGAAGCTTCTGAACCCGAACCCCAAATTCGTTGATCCAACGGCTAGTGGGGGCCCATCTCAGTGGGACCCACTTCCCAAACACCAGCACCACCTTCTTAACTGACAGATGAAACCGGAGGGAGCGAGAGAGGGAGGGTGCCTGTCCTATATATTTATATATCTTCTCCAACACTTCCAACTGTGCTCCCATCTCATTCTCCCAAACCAATACACACTCAAATGGATCGGAAAAACCTACTCTCTCTCGCACTCATCGCCATTGTCGTCGCCGCCGTCGGAGGTCAGTCTCCATCGGCGGCGCCCACCACGTCCCCTCCGGCCGCCACCACCACTCCCTCTGCATCCCCAGCCACTTCCCCTTCTAAGCTACAATCACCCGCGCCGGTTGCTTCTCCCAAGTCATCTCCAGCAGCTTCCTCCCCCAATGCTGCAACCGCAACCCCCGCATCGTCTCCCGCGGCTACACCTCCGTCTAAAGCCGCCGCTCCAGCGACCAATCCCCCGGCGGCCACACCCCCTGCTGCCTCACCTCCTGCAACCACACCTCCGGCGGCCACACCTCCAGCAGCCACACCTCCAGCGGCCACACCTCCAGCGGCCACACCTCCTGCGGCCACACCTCCTGCGGCCACACCTCCAGCGGCCACACCTCCTGCGGCCACACCTCCTGCGGCCACACCTCCAGCGGCCACACCTCCTGCGGCCACACCTCCTGCGGCCACACCTCCTGCTGTGACCCCAGTGAGCTCACCTCCGGCGCCAGTTCCAGTGAGTTCTCCTCCTGCGGCTGTTCCGGTGAGCTCTCCTCCTGCAGCTGTTCCGGTGAGCTCTCCCCCTGCACTGACCCCGAAAGCTGCGGCACCAGTGGTAGCTCCGAGTGCTGAGGTTCCCGCTCCCGCTCCGAAGTCGAAGAAGAAGACGAAGAAGAGTAAGAAGCACACTGCACCGGCACCTTCGCCGGCATTGCTTGGACCTCCTGCTCCGCCGGTCGGAGCTCCGGTATCCAGCCAGGATGCTTCATCTCCCGGTCCAGCCTCATCTGAGAACGTGGTACGTATTGCGTTAAAAAAATAAAAAACTAACATTCACTATTCATACTGATGAAAATAATATAAGTGCAGACTTTTATTATCAAACAATGCAAATAATTCATATGTCTGAGCAATAATTGGACTATTTATTAAGAAATCTCTATCCTTAAAATTTCTACGCTTAGATTAGTCTTGTCTTGTCTTTTTTTGGTGTGACCCTCGCCTGATTGAGTTAGTCTTTAAACTAAAATCTAAAATTTAAATGTTGTTTTCACTGTAATCAGTTAGGTTTAACTTTTACTGTTTATACAATTTGGATCAGATCTGCAATTTACAAATGTAGTTTCTCAGATCTCTGCGGTGACGTGAGACATTGATATGCCTTGTTGACCTTTGACATCTGTTGGGTTTTTTAGTTGACTTCAATATCATAGAAATCATACCTGGTGTCCACGCACCAATATTGAGGTGGATTTGGTCATTTTATAGTCCCTTCTTTTATTGAAGGGAAAAAAAAATTCCTTCTTCTAGAACTAGAATCCGAGTTAACTTGGTATAATTCAACAAGACATAGCGAAGTCATGAATTGTTAATAAAATCAAAGGGTTGTCGCTGTCTGAAATTTGTACTGTTTGTATATTGCAGAGTGGAGCTGAAAGCATGAGGTGCTTGAAGAAGGTGATGGGATGCATAGCTTTGAGCTGGGCTACCCTTGTTTTGATCTTCTAGAGAGGAGTCTGAGACTTGATTGCAGTTGTTACATATTGTTGTATCATTTATTGGCCCTGTCGGCCCAACATTTAATTTATTTACTATTGTTTTCTTCAATCTATTGTTACTTTTTATATATATAATTGATGATGTTGTTTGATATTACTATTATTTCTGGATTCCTTGCCCTCTTGGGATTGCTTGAAGGGTGGGCACCGACACAACGAGGCCTTTCTATTTTTATTTTCATTCTGGTTGATTTTCTGGTAAACTTTCTATTCCAGGTTTAACCACCTAAGCTAAGAATTTCTCTATTCTACCACTTTTAAAATTTATGTCATTTATCGTAAACTGTAGCATGCAGTCATGTATTGTCTACAGCTATGATAAGGGTATGTATATATATGTGGTTAATTTTTATTTTATTAATAAAGTATTATTAAATAATTATATTAATATAAAGTTTATAAATATATAATTCTTTTTCAACATTACAGTAGATATTTATAAAAATTTATTCGGTACAAAGTATTTAGATATCTATAAAGTAATCTATCTTAGTTTAAACTAATTTCTCCAATAAAAATATATGATTCTTTTTATAAGAAAAATAATAATTAAAGTGAATAATTCATTTGTATGTAAGTCCTCAGAAAGAATTAACAATTATTAGTCACGTGACTACTTATAAAACATACTTTTAAATTTAAGTTTAACAATTGAAATATGATTAATTTGTTTATATTTATCAATTCTTATTTATTATAGAAATTTATAATTTTTCGCTTAATACCGTTTATGTTATTTTGAATTTTATTTTTATATCTTCATTTCTCATAAATAAAAATTTAAATTATTTTAATAGTTAAATATTTTGATTTATAAAATGATAATACACTTTACTAAAAATATTTATTTTAAGTTTCTTATTTGAAATTTATTGTTTTCTATTAGTTTTATAATATGATTTGATTTAAAAATTGTTAATATAACTTAGTATATGATTTATTTTAATACATATAACTAAATTAATTTGTTGAACATAAAGTGTTTTTTTCAAATAAAAAAGTATGATACATAAATATTAACAATTTATTTTATTTCTGTGATAATTAAATTTATTTAAGATTACAGTTCAATAATATAAATTTTAAATATTTACTTGTTCAATCAGTAACTCTTTTGAAACAATTCAGTTGTATTGATCTTAATGTTCTCGTGTGCTCAATAAAAGAGAAAAATGAGATATTTTAGTATTTAGGTTAGTTATTGTAATTAGACCACTGTAAGTAAAAATAAGATATAAGAGTATTTATTGCAAGATTTAGTAATTTTACATCATTGTCTGATTTTGTTTATTTAGAAAAAAAAAAAAAAACAGTTTATCCTAAACATCATCATATGCAATGGTTCAGGATAGTAACTGTGTGATATTTCATATATATTTTTTAAACTATACTTTGTGTAATTAGAGGGAAAAAAATTTCATATCCCGAATCATGATTCTTAAAAATAATAAACTCTAATAATAATAACTTTTACTGAAAATATTTCTAGAAGTATTTATGTAATTATTTTTAAAAGGTAAGAGTAATGTACTATTTTTAAGAAAAATTATTGTCATATTAGATGTTTTAATATGAATAACTTTGCATTATTTCTTATTTCTTTCATTGGATTTTATGAAAAAAATTAACCAACATCACTTTTAAAAATATTAAGGTTGGTTAATTTGATTTAGTTTGATTTTTTTTTAATTTTAAATATAATTTGAGATTAATTTTAAAAACTGATTTTAAAAATAAGTTGAAAAAAGAATTAATTTTAGATGAAGAAGAATAACATAAATAATTACAAAAAGTTATAAGAAAAGTTAAATTAATAATTTTATAATGATAAAAAAAAGCGATTTAAATGCAAAATGTTGATACATTAATAAAATGGAAAAATCTTTTATCATTTTTGATATTTTGGATTTTGAAAATTGAAAAGCAAAAATAATTTTTAAAACCTGGTTAAATCAAACAAAACTAAAAACTATTTATAAAAATCCTAAAGAAACAAATCCTTATTTACTGAAAATATTACATATGTTAAAATATAAACAAAATATGAACCATAATTCCCTAATCTTATATTATCATAAAACTAAAATTTTCTTCTCAGTTCAATATAGAATTGACATTAGGAGAACAAACTCATGGTGTAGTCGATTTTGAAGCGATATTGCCCTGTTTTTATATCATTCCAAAACAGAGCAACTAGTTTATTTAATGAGCGCTCTTGGATCAACTAAAAGTATTTGCAACAACAAGTTATGAATCTTTGTAGTTGATATTTATTGAAATTTAGTGCTCTCTTTTTCAACTTTATTCCACAATTTGTTCTTGTTTTCTTGGAGTAGACGGTAGACCTAACTTTATCATACAATTAAGGGTCGTTTTATGATATGCAATTAAGCTTCAACCAACTTTACAGGCGCCAGCTTGCACATTCAGTAGTATTAAGGTCCTAATTTCTCTTCGTTCCACTCAAATATGGTGAAACCTGTGAAGTTCTAAAGATTTGTCACACAAATTCTGAGATCCTCTTGGATCATGCGTGTCGGTGATAATTGACAAAGTCTTAGTGCCACAGAAAATTGCTGTGACCACAAAAGGCCTTATTGTAGAAGTCTCTTTTAATAGCTACTGCAGAATGTGATTTTTCTCGCACATTTAGGAATGGTTTACAGGAATTAAAAGCATGCTCAGTTCAGCTTTCACAATCAAATGTTTTTCAAGTTTCATAAGGAAATTTTCTGTGTTATTTCTTTACCTGCACTGCACCCATATGAATTTGTTTTCGTGCTGGCTTGTGACCACAAATTTATTTGCTGTGGGGTAACGTCTTTTACTGTTATGGTTAACATAGAAAGAATGGTGTACATGATTTTCATTAAGAACAAATCTATCGGAACTCACATTTTTTTTTTCTAAGCTTTCTTCATTGGGACGAAACGTTCGATTCCAAAATCACACTCAAAGAATTTACCTTTTAGCAACCAAGGGCAACCGGGAAAAAAAGGCACTTAAAGTTTTCTCCCAAATTCCTTAAATAAAGTTAAATCATTTCCATTTTTTTTCTTTCAGTAGGACAAAAGAAAACAAGGGAAATTAATCTGACAGAAGTAAATCAAGCAAATTAAAACGATTCCTAAGTGTTCATACAAAGTGGTAATCATGTGACGATGAAGAAAACTGGGGTTTTCATTAGGATTATTTGAACCAAGATGAGCATACCCGTCTATCTCTGCAAATAAAAAATTGGAAATCATTTTTACACTCACTGTTGGTTGATCTATAACTTTTTAGTCAATAGAGTACGTTTAACAGGTTGATAATCAAATAGAGCAAATTGTAAACATAATTTTTGTAGTTTGTTAACCAATATAAAGATTGTGTTGTCCAAGAATCATTTTTTGGTATCAGATCTAAGCAGACAAATGAACCTGCATCTTAAGTTATTAAATATTAAAATGTTTATTCATTGTTGAGCTTAAGTTTAAAAGTCAAATCATTAAATATAAAGTTATTTGATTGAGATTCCTAGAACTTTTGAAATGTCAGGGCTCTTGGCAACAATCTAAATCTTCTCTCAAATCACCAGTTCAAACCCCTTTTCTTATTAACAGGCAACATATATTGTTTCTCTATTCATCTCAACCTCCAAATAACTGATACTCTAATTATTTTACAATTTTAACTATATAATTATGGGATTACTTATTAATGTTGTGCATGAAGTTTCACTTTGCCTCAGGAGAAATAGTTATGGCTAGAGTTATCTCCAGTTAATGGATGAGGAGAAATGAGAACAGAGCGTGTATTCTCATTGAAAAAATTGGTGAAGGAGTTGGAATCATCGATGACAGTCATTTCATGGAGAATCTAAAGAAGCTTCAATAGTGTATAATACAAACAAATATACAATACTGTATATACTGTACATTTAGACTTATACAGTACTGTATAATACAAACAAATATACAAGATGTTCAACTGTGAAGTAACAAACTCAAAACTGGTTAAATACTTAACAACTTAGTTCAACTATCTCTCAATAATATCTTATATTGGATAATAAATATTTATGATTGCCAGCTTAACGATGAAAGTGGAAAAAATAGAGGTATAACTTTGGGGAAAATATCTGCAATTCGATGTTCACTCTTAACAAGCACCAACATAATAAGATGGGATTGAACCAGTTCTAAAATAAAATGATTATTATCAACGGCGTTATGATTTGAATGTTGAAGATGAGTAAGATTGGAAGTAAGATGAATAGCAAATTGAACCATGACCAATTCAAACAAATCAGTTTAACTCACTACTTTATTTCGATTCAAAATTTTTAATATATTTATTATATATTTATATCATACAAAAAATAAAATTAATATAAATGTAATTGTATATACATTGTTATTTAGATCATAAATCAATTAAGACTAACTATATATAATATATTAACTAAACTTCAATTCATTATTTAACGAATTCAATTTTTAACTTAATATAATTAATTTTATTCTTAAGTCAAATTCAATAAATAAACTCATTTGTATTAATTATCACAAATGCAAATATTAGTGTTGTAAAATTCAGAGCAGTGAATGGCTTAGTGCTTCAGTTTCAATCAATCAACAATCAGTGCTTCATTAGTGTTCTCATTATTAGAAATCTTGAAGGATGATAATGATCAAACCAACCAAACCATCTCTACTTCCAAATCTTCATTTTTTTTTATTTCTTTTTAATGTTTTCTTACCGTCTCTTGTTGATTTCTTCTTTCTGCTACGCCATCAAGTCTTGATGGACACTCACTTTCAAAAGAGCTTTTTACCTTCATCTCTGCCTTCCTGCTCTTAGGGTTCTGAAACTTGGAAGATAAACCCCAAGCTTTAGTTGAAACCACTTGAGCACAACCTTCTCAAAGGTAAGAAGTATGACATTTTGAACGCTCCTCTCCCAACAAAACCACCATACGAGTCTCATTCGTATGCTATTCAAACCCAAGATAGTTTCTCCTTCTCATGCACCCTAAAACCCTCAAAATCCTGATCTAGACTAATCAGCTTTCAATAGATCTTTATCCCACTAAATCCAGGAAACATCCTTCCATCAAAATTTGGAATCATTTTTACAACCTCAGTACCAAGATCAAAGCTCTCATACCGGTTGATAGAAATTAGACCAGAATTTTAGACAGAAAATCTTCTATGAACATAAAAGTGCATAAATTTGGAATCATTTTAACAACCTCAGCCCCAAGATCAAAGGTCTTATACTAGTTGATATAAACTAGACCAAAATTTCAGAGAGAAACTTCTATGGCTAGAAAATTGTATAAATGGTTCCCAGGACTTTTGAGAAGCCTGGACTCTCCCACGTTAATCTGAATTCCTTGTCAGATTAGAAGATAAAATCTCCCTCTCAACATGCCTTGTTTCTCTAATAATCTCAACCTCCGACTATCTAATTCTGCTGAGAAATAGAATTATCAACAGTTAAATAAGTTATAGACAGTTAACTCCTCAATTTTGTTGATAGGATTATCAACTAGTATATATATGGTTGCCTATCATTGTCATTACCTTCACTCACAACCACATCATATACTCTAATGGTTATTAATTGCTTATTGATTAGTAAATAGAATGCGATACAAGACAGAAGAGGATGAACTTCTTAGAACCACAGAATAAAAACACTACGAAGTTAGAAAAACAAGAACATAAAAATAAAAACCAATAACTATATAAATATATAAACATCATCCTTTTAACCAAATTTTAGTTCAACCTAAAGCTATCACCCTTTGATTCACTGCTACATTGCAATTATCACCAACAAAATTGCGTTTGCGGATTATATGACTAAAGAATTTTTATATACATCTATGAGGGTTTCATTATATCATGATAGACAGTTCGATTAATTAATTCTTAGAAACCAAAATCTTGATCAGTTGTATAACTATATGATGGTGTAAATTGTTCACGCATTGGTGGACTCAAACCATTAAGCAATAGTAGTACAAACGAAGCTCATAATGGCTGAAGTTCCTGCTCTTGAACAGCTACATCAACTGGCTTGTATGAGTGCTCAGCTTGCTGTCTGTTTTTCCAAATTAAGAATATTCCCAAGGCTGATATTCCTACAAGAAATGTAAGCAAAACAGCTAAATCCACAACCAAATAATGTTGCTGCCACCAAGTCCTGCATTATTTCAGAAAAATGTGTTTAGTGAAAATACCTAATCTATATGCTTCAAATAAATAGAAGATTATAGATATTACAGCTTCACACATGACAAAGAGATCATAAAAAATAGACAACTACAACCACTAACAGAAAAATTTGAATCAACAACCATGCAAAAAAGTAAGGTTAAACCATGAGCTATCTCAAATTTAAAAGAACAGAGGTTGTTGTCCCACTGGTCCGAAAAGTTTATTCATGACATCATATGTTAAAAATATGGTTCTAAATTGAATTATATTAAATTAATATGTCCAAATAATTACATTTCATTCCACCATTGAACTACTCACTAAGGCAGAAGACATGCCACAGGATAAACAGAGTACAGTGAAAAATATAAGGATTCAATAAAACGCGCACCCACACCCACACAAGGAGTTTAGTATGTGAGAACATGAAAAATGATAATTGAGCTATTTTTTAACCTTCAGTCATAAGTTGCATTGAATTGTAAGATTTAGAGAGTATGAAAAAAAAATTTAAAATCATATACATGATAGTTAGTGTTCAATGTACTAATTTTAAACTAGAAATAAAAGGAGTTAGCCATAAGTCTCATAAAACAAGTTAATTAAGTTTGTGAAGCCTCTATTTTTGAAGGATGAAACAGCCAAATAGAGTGCAAGAATTGAACAAGTGAGTGACAAATAACAAAGTGGAATAATCAAATGGGATAAGTTCAAAAGTTGCTCCATCAATTCCCTTTAATTTAACAATTTAAGCTTTAAGACTTTTCAGTCTCTATGATATTTGGTGAAAGAAAAGTAAAGATAAAATAATGAACAATAAAATAGTGATATAGATGGCGCTTTCGTAAAAAAATATTATTACGGATGAAAAGTTGAAAAATTATTAGGGACCAAAAACAAAACATAGTAGTAACTTATGAAGAATCAGAAAACATATTGGGCATGTACTTGTATGAATGGCCTGCATATGTTTTTTACAAAATATCAGATGCGGAAAGCAACACAAATTACATTAAGCACAAACTATAACAGAGTAGTGCATTAGACTTTCCAACCAATCTGCATCTGTAAAACTAGGCAACTCAGTGTTGGATGCATTATAAATAATAAAACAGGAAGTTATGCAAGCACGAGTATATGATGGTAAGGAAAGATCAGTTTTTGACCTTTTTTCTTTCAAGAAAATATTTACCGTTTCAATGGAGGCTTGGCATTCCAATCAATTAACTTATAACTTCCGAATGAGTCAGGAAGTTGCATACGATGTTCAGAAAGCCGGGCAATCATACTCTGTTACATCAAAAATCATAATCAAATGGGGCAGTCTTCACCAAAATGCAAATGTACAAATGTCTACTTACCATTACGGTGGCATTTGAAAAGAAATCAGCATATGGCCTGGGTGTTATGAGCCACTTAGAGAGAGAACTACTTCCAAGAGAAGAAACATTCATTAAGTGAACCTGTGAGCATTCCAGCCAAAATTAAGAATGTTGTCATCATGTACTAAAAATACACATCATCAGGGAAAAATTAACCGCAAATGCATTTCATTATATCGGTATTTTGGAAAGTAGTCACATTGACTAAAAATAAAAAATTATGACTTGTACTCAAATTCCAATGCATACCATTCAAATGAGATTGTGAAGGTTATATTTTGAATATTATTAATCAAACTCTTATACTGCATCACAATTATTAATTATAATTAATGATGCAAGTTGCCAACCAAATTTTCTGCACTTCAGTGACCATTTCTAACCTGTGAAGTATTAACATCTAACTCATTAGCAATAAGTCCAGTCAATTCTGTAATGTAGGGCTTCATATCCTCGTAGCTTATGTTAAATGAAATTACAATTATTATTTGAGCAATTTGGAGTTCACCTGCACATTTAAGTTGATGAAAGCAGATTAGTCAACAGTGAGCATATAAATCACAAATAAGGTTGTCAAAACAGGTGGACTCATTTGGGCCTAGTCTAACCCTATGGACCAAGTAAAGAAAATTAATGGTCCAATCAAACCTATATTTTATAACAGGTCAAAAAATTTTGCCTAGTATGCCCTTATGTCAGAATGCTAGGTCAACAAACTATTGGACTAAACTTGGCATGATTTGTAATTTTAAAAAAAAAATACACTCACACACACACACACACACACACATATATATATATATAATTAATTCAAAAAAATAAAAAATGTATTTTAAAATTGATGTTATATTAATGAAATTAATTTTTATTTTAGATATAATGATTTAATATATAAATTATAAGAGAATAAATCCATACTCTCCAAATAAGAATTAAAGACTTTTTCTTTATTATCATCATTTTTTAGTAATCTAATGGTCTAAGATGGCAATTCATCTTAATTTTAAATTTTGGAATAAGTGGATATTAGATACTTACTCTTAGAATCAGTAGATCTCTTATCAAATTAATTTATAATAAATATATATTTTTTAATAAAATAATATTATCTTTATTTTTATTTTAAAAATAATTATTATTTTATAAAACAGATTGACCCATAAACTTACGAGTTAGTTTTACTCAATCTCATTCAAGTCATCACCTAAATGGTCCGGACCAAAATTGACCTAAAACAATTTAGGCTACAAAAGTTTTTTATTTAACTTAACCTATTTTTCGGACCAATCTATTTTGACACCATTAATCACAAATAGACCAAAAAATAAACACATAACGAACTATTTTATCAATGTAACATCTGATCCATGTTTGAACATGGTATCTCTATATCCCTTAAAATAAAAAGCCAGCAGCTCATAATACCTAGCTGAAAATTATACTGTGATGGGGAGGGGGACGGAGCAACAGAGGACTCAAATGCTTTGGTCATGTTTATTCCTTCAGATTTTGGAGACAAGGGTGGTGGGGCATCTGAGACATGTAGCCTTTCCCATAACTCAGAACAATTAGTCTTCCAGAAACCAATTTTTGTATGCTCACGATCATACATGACAAGAGTGTTGCGAACAACAATACCTATGCAAACAAAAGAGTGATCACTAAAACAAATCCATACTACATAATATTTCAAATGAGGGGATGTATGAAATGGCATGAATTACCCATACTAAATAAGTTATACCTCCTAAAAGAGTAGTTGGATCATTGCCATTTGAAAAAACCCCAAGACAATACGCACCTCGCACTTTTAAATGCTTCATAAAATACAGCCACATGAAAATAGGGATAAGAAAACCAATCAACCAAGAAACACAACTAAAGATATTAATGATTTTATTGCAGAACTAACCCGAAACAGGTAATTTTCAGGTGACAGTGACAACTTGTGACCATTTCCAAATACCATATCAACTACCGGAAAGCTTTTAGAGAGTTGAGAGACATCACTGAAAAACAAGTACACTCAAAACTGTTAATTAAGCAGCATCTATGTGTACATTCACTCCTAAATAGTGCCAGACTTACCTTCCTGCACCAGAAAAACATATATCATTATAGCGTGGATCTGGACCAATTATTCGTTTCAATGTGCGAGTTTCCTTCATAATCTGTGATCAGATAAATACATAATCTAAGTAACCAGTCATGAAAGCTAAAGATTATATGGTCTACATTATACTTGATTTTATACTAAAACAGGATAATTGATTTATGATACTAAAATAATGATGACTAAAGATTAAAAAAGTACTCTCCATGAGTCCACAATACATAGCCCATCATCTGACTAAACAATTAAACTTTCTAAATGTATGAGCTGTTAAGGGAGAAAATCCCAAGGAAATGAAGAATGAAATACCGCATCCTAAGTTATAATCTAAAAGCATAGTCACTTAAGTGCTACTCCAAAAGATTAATAGTTAACAAAGACTGCTAATATTGTATCACATGTTGATTAGAAAACTCAATGAGACTTTGCAAAAGAAGTAAAGAACCATAAGAAAAAGACATGTGAATTGAAGCATCTTCAACTTCAAGTATTTAGATATCATAAAATACCAATAACAGTATGGCTAACATATGCTGCCTATTCAAATAAAGAAAATCTACAATGATTCAGAACACTGTTAACTACACTATAAAGAGAAATCTGTTCAGAAAGGTTCAAAGCATAGAATTCTAGCATCTCAATAAATATAGATGTAATAAACAAACAACCATTCAAATATTTTTATAATTGTACTGAAAATTGAAGTTAACTTTTACTATTGCGGCGAAATCTGTTCAGAAAGGTCAAAACAGCATAAAGTTTTGGCATCACATTAACAGAAGTAATGAACAAACATCCATCTAATGAATTTTAAAATTGTACTGAAAAAGTTAAGCTCACTTATCAGAACATCAAAGTTACTTTACTGAAGTTGCGGAGTGCATTGCATAAATCTTCACTAAATTAATCAAAAAAATCTGATAAATAATTCAAGGCTCCTTCATTAAATAATCAACAAAAATCTGATAATCCAACTTCAAGGACAACACCAGAATCATGATTATGAGATGAAGAATATATCAGCAGAAATTTGTATAATGGGATGAGTCATCCAAAACAACTTTAAATAAAAAAAACTTCTTATGAGAAAATACATTTATGGCTCCTTTAACAATTTTATTTATCTCCCACACCTTATAACTCGAGAATGATGAGTTTCAATAATTTGAAAACAAGTCAAGGTTTTTGAAAAAGTAGGTGAGATAAAAAATTGTAACTCAAAAACATTTGTACATTTATCAGAAAGAACTTACGGCATGTTTAAATGCAAGAAATGCAGATTCTGGTAGGTATGCATAAGTCGTGCCACTATCCAAGACAGTTCCATGTTTCCCATCAAAAACCTTAGGGTTTAAATTCAGTCGCTTCCCCGCAACATGTACCTCCTTCAAATTTATATTGTAATATGGACTGTCGCCATCCCAAAACTAGAGTAAATGTGTGAGATTAATAAAATGCATTTGTTAAGAAAATGCATGACATCTCATATCTGTAAAATAAGAAATTTGACACACACCTTCGACCAGGATCTGAGTATGTAAAAACCATGTCAGCTGGAGCGGAAATGCCACCAAGAACCATAGCACCCCCACCAACACCCATTCCACCATAGCACAGTGAGAATGAATCACTTATCACCTTTTTCTCAACCAGTTGATCCATGATACTCAGATCTCCACGGCCCAAACCCATGATGCCATCAGCATGCTGAGTATAAAGATCACCAGTTTCATCATTTTCACAGCCAAAAGTAGCACGTTGAGGGGAAAGGTCACTCTGATTTCCAAAGGATACAACATCCTCACCAAGGACCCCACTGCTAGTACTCATTTCCGCATACCGTCTCTCATATGTGCACTGCTTCCTGTCTTTATCACAGTTGCACTGCCATGTGCATTTTACAGGCTGATAGGTTTCTGAATCTTCTGGCTGGAACTTTGGATCCTGTTGAAACAAATTGGGCACACAAATCCAATCTACTTCAGATAAGACAGATGAGATACACATGAACAGGCACTACAAATTCTAAATAAAAATAATTGTTTTTACATCTATTTCAAGATGAAATAAATGGTATTCAGAAACAAACATGCAAGAGGCATAAGCAGTCTACCACACAATATTAAAGGAGTGTTTGGTAGTTGGTAGAAGTGAAATTTGGAGGAATGAGAATGAAATTCAATATCTGGAAGCTAGATTTATATTGTGTCGGAGTGAGTCATCAATTTTCAGTCCTCCACTTTTCCATTTTCAAAAATATACAAAGCACACCACGGGAGTGCATAAGTATATACAAAATCATATTACCCTTTCAATGCGTACTTTTATTATAATTTGAACTCCGGGCCTCAATCAACTCCTACAAAACTGATCAAACCTTTCAAGAGTTTGAGATCTCAACACACCCATTTAGGTCACTCAACTAGGACTACACATTCAGAGCATGGACAAATGCAGACCAACAAAATACCTTCCCCCTACGAATAGACATCTTGAACACAAATACATGTGACCTGATAATCAATCTAGAATAGACTTTGATATAATCTTAAAATATTTGCTCAAGGCCTTGTGAAGTGAAGATAATCCTCATAAGGACCATATTAGATATATCTCGTCGAGTTGGCCTTTGAATAATTTTCATAAGCCCCAGTCACATCCATAATCAAATAGCCGCTTTTTTACACAAATTTAATAATCAAACAAATTAAACATTAATTTTTCGATCCAGACACGTGATGATAGGATCCGGAAGCACTACCTGGTGTCTACCACAGTGTTGGCAAGTAGAGCACGGGACATAGGTCACAGTGCTCCCCGTATCAACAATAAGAGCAAAACTCTGCGGAGGAGTACCGATCCAAATCCGCGTCGTATAGTACCTACTCATCCAATTTTCCAAAACACACATCCATGATTACAAAAAGAAAAAATATGTGCCAAATTATTTTGAAAGAAAGAAAAGGAAATGATAGAGTGAAAGAGACCGACCCGTTCCGGAGAAGATCGTCATACAGTCCCATACGAGCGTCAGGGTGCCGTTGGGACTGCGATTTTTGAAGTTGACGACGCGGGCTAAAGTCGGAAACGGAATAATCGGGAACAGAGTGGTGTAGAGGGAGAATCATAGCAGGACGAGAACCCTCGTTTGGTAAGAGTAACATCCTGCCGGAGTCACCGGAGACAAGAAACCACCGCACAAGGGATATAATTAGGAACACGACGGAGATGAGTTGAGTCCGTCGCAACGCCATGAGTCAAACTGGTTCAAACTACGGCGCAGATCGAAAGGAGACACGAAGTGAAGACTGAAGACTCGACAGAAAACGAGCCTCAATCTGCACAAAGGAGTGTGGAGGAAAGTCAAACTATCCTAAAACAAAAATATCCACCTTTAACTTAATTTTAAGATCAATTTATTCTTACGTAAAAATTTTAAATTATATTTTTATCATTATTTATTATAAAATTATCAAGTAATTATATATATATATATATATATATATATATATATATATATATATATATATATATATATATATCAGTTAACGTAATTTAATTTCTCCTTGCCTAACTTCACTATTGTTATTAATTGCCTAAGTGTAACCATCACCTCTATTTTAAGAAAATAATAATGACTATCTATTTTCTCAAAATCAGACAAATATTATTTTGTTTGGTTGGTTGGAAAAATACTCTTGAAAGAAAAAGGAATATTATAAATTAGCAATATTGTTTCAAACTTTAATGGTTGACTGTAGTTAATACAATAATTAAAAAATAATATATGAAATGACGTTTTAAAAAAATTACTGAAAAAATAAAAATAACATTCTACCATTGAAAATATACATAAAATAATAAACTTATCATAATATTTAACTCAAATTTCAACAATATAATAATATTTTCTAATTGTAATCAGGTTGAATTTAGAATTGAAAAGAAAATAATAAATATTTTATACTTTTTAAGAAAATTAAATTAAGAATCTCTATTATTATTTAAATAAATAATTTTCATTAACTCGTTGACTTCTTCTTTTTTCATTTTATGTCCCCTTCACCTGTTAAACTGAAAACTAGTTATTTTTTGTTTGAATTGGTTGAACTGATTTGATTGATCCAGTTTTCTAAATAAAAATAACTAAAGCTTAAATTTATATTTTTATTAAAAAAAAATTGTCAATTTAGAATATGATATGTTTCATTATAATTAAAACGAAGTTTGTAAATAAAAAATGACGTCATTAAAAAAATATTTTTGAGAAAATAGTTAAGAGACACATTTATTATATTGTGTCCATGTTTTTTATTATAGTCTTTACTTTATTTTCTAAGTTTCAGTTTCAGTTTAATCCTTAATTTCTATCTTTCGGGAGTTTTTTAAATTATCCCTTTATCAATTTTTACACTTTTAATATGTGTTAAAATTAATTAATAGTCTTGCATAGGAGGAGAAAATAAAAATAAAAAGATAAAAATAAAAGAAGAGGTTATAAGATTAAGAAAAAAAAATTAAAGATTTTTTTTATTTTGTTTTATTAGTCAGGATTTGAAGAATAGTATTTTGAAAATGTAACTGTATTTTATCACTCTTAATAACCGTACTCTGGGTTGTTTGTTGACTTAAAAAAAAGTGTTTTTGTTTTTATTTAATCTTTATAGTTATTAATCATAATAAATATTTTTGTTGACTTTGATAACAGCATGTGCATTCATTTTCAAATATTAAATGCTTTAAAAACTATAAAATATTTTTTACTTTATAAATTCAAATAGAATCAACTTAAAAAAGAAAAATAAATATGAAACTTATAACTCTTGTTATTTATTATTTTCCTCTTCAACCCTTAATAAACAATTCCATGTTAATATGTTATAGTTTTTTTGTCTAAAACATGTATCGCACAGAGGAATGTTGTGGGAATATTTGAAGCAATTTTTTTAAGAATTAAAAGTTATACACATTTACAAAATAATTAATAAGAATAACAAAATCATATGAACTAAAATATTATTAAATAGAAATTAATTAATTTCTTCCTAAAAACTTTTAAAATAAAAATAAAATAGAAGTATATTATCATAAGTTAAAATTAATTTATGAACAAATTAAAAAATAAAATTTTAGAGAAACTATATAAAAATTTCTAAAAATTAGTTTAAATATAACTTAACTATAACATACAATAAAGTAAAAGGTAGGTATCTTTTATTTATATAATTTATTTATACATCAAAATGTGTGACATTTTTATATATACAATTCATTCATATTTTTTTATATTATATAACTATTTTTCTAACTTTTTTAATTATATTTCATTTTGAATTATAATTTATCTTTAATATTTTAGAAAATATTTTTGCAACCATTTATTTTAAACTATAGACTCTAATTTTTTTTAAATTATATTTTTACTTTTAATATTTCGGTAACTATTTGTATAATGTTTTTTAAAATGTAGACATACAACACAATATTGCATCAGTGTTTCTACTTGTATCTATAAGATAAATAATTATAAATCCTCACTAAAAAAAACTCCTAAAATATCCTATCTCACTAAAATATATACTGTGTAAATTTATGATTTAGATCGACCCAAGCTGGAAGACAAGTTAAACTCTTTGCATAAAGTTTGTCTTATTCATATTATTTTGCTACTCCCTTGATTATAATTTTAGGGCCACTACAAATCCTATATGTACATTTTCATTGCCATCAAACTACAAGAATTGGAGACTGTGGCTTGTATTTCGGGGTTTTCAAACTCCATATTTTTATGTTTCAATCAAACTGCAATAATTGAATATTGTGGTTTCTATTTTTAGTGTTAAATGAACGCCTCCTGTATCTGATTATGGCTTGATGGACAATAACTACCATTTTGTATGAAATTAGTTCTGCTGGACAGGAAGATTTAGATCATACGTTTTATGACGCAAATTACTGGGTAACATTTTATACTAGGTGAGAATTTCTATTCAAGGAGATGAAAAATCATTGTAATATCCAGAAGATTCTCATGATGCGCATATTGGTTTGGGAAAGAAGGGATGGGGAAGATTATTTGTGGAATGAATGACATTCATTTTCAATGGATTGAGCAATGGAAGTCACATCTTTCTAGGGTAGATGTAGTCCAGCATCAAACTTAACACGAGGAAGCTTGGCATCTTAACATTAACTGATTTTTCTGAAATCTGAGCTATTTTGGGACTGTAATAATGGGAAAGTAATGGTTCCTGAATATCTGTTTTGGATATTTGAAGTACAAACGTTGTTTACTCTGTCACTGATGAATGCATATCTGTTTAAGTATGTTGGGGTCATACATATCATAAGACAGTTTTGGGTTGCCTTTTTTCTTGCCAATATTTTGAAAAAAATGTTATTACTGCAATTGACAGGATTGAAGGGAGGAAGTGGAATCATATTGAGGGTATGAGCATCGTCATATTCCAGTCACAACCTAAAATGAAATCCCAAATAGAGTAGATAGGGCCATCCAGAGAGATCAATAAAGGGAACTATTTGTTTGAACATCATAATTCTAAAAAGTGTCTCAACTACATTCACTATGTCACTATCCAAGGCATGCTTACAGCTGAATTATACATAGAATTCTGACAGACATACAATGCATAAACTATGACTTGTTTTTGTTTAGTATGAGAACCAATAGCACTGACCCGTGCGTTTACTAATAACAAGCATGAGTATGTCAAAACAAAAATCGACGAAAATTATTTCTGAGAGCTTTCAGCGGTAATGCGTTTCCTGGCTTTAAAGAACTAGAATGACTGCTCAATTGTCTGTGGTAGCAACTGTCTTTGATCTGATTAAACTTTGCCACGGTGTATAAGTAATGGCCCGTGAAATAAGGTAAAGTACAAATGCAACATATGCAGCTGTTACTACAAACACTACAGTGGCAAACATTGCTCCATTCACTTCAGAGGAGAAGAATTCCAGCAATAGATAACCGTTTATCACAATCACCAGAGCAGCCACAAGCCAGGAAATAGTCTGTATCCATATCATCATAAGACAATCATGATTTATGACTATTACACAATTAACCCAAACAAACTAAGCAGAAAAATGGGCAAAGGGGTGTTGTTGGTCTAAATACATCCAGTGTCCACAGAAGGTACAGTTGAAGAACACTTGACAGAAGTCAAAGCATCAAGTAAACAATACTGTCTTAGCATGTTCAACATGAGAAATAATTGTAAGGAGCACGCACTAAAAGGAACTTAAAAAGGGAAAAAAAATAGAGAGGTACAAGAAGAAATCCTTAAACTACTCACTTCAGAAAGCATAAGTCTCTCACGTTAACCTAACTAAGCAGAGAATTATCAAATATCTCAACGATGGACATTATATTATCACATATATCTATACATGTCATTTTCTTGACGTTTCAAGACTGTTGATTCACATACTGTCCAACCGCAGTAAAATATGATATAGGATATTGAAAATACAGTTTTGGACCCACGACAGATGTTAAGAAGTACTAAATACTCCCCCTGTTAAATACTTCTACTTAAAAACTATGTATTAAATTACTTGTATCTTTTAATACAGTAAATGTTTACTTTTTAGTGAAAAAGTTGAAAATATAATCTGATGATGAATAATATACTAATATACACTGATAAGAATGATAGAATCTACAGCTTTATTTTAATTAATGAAGGTCCTAGGCTGAATAATTGGCAAAAGTAGTTCATCGAAAGTCCATTATCTCACCTCCTTTCTACTCTCAAGACAGGACAGTAAAATCAAACTAACTGTTTTGCTTCTAAAAATATAATTTTGAATTGTACAAGAGAAATCAGGTATAACTTAGGTCAATTCTGAATTATCTCTTGCCTGAATAGCAAGACATAAAGGTCTACATTGGGACATTTACTAATCATCTCTTTCTAGGATTATTTAATTGATGACCCAAAAAGGTAAATACCTATGGCAATTTCAAATCAAATGAAATAATTTGACATTTCAAAGTCTTCTATCAAATAAATAACCTGATAACAGGCAAAGGCTGACAAAAATGCAGGTAAAGTGATAATATACCTTGAGGACAGGACCAATTCTGAAACTGCCCATTATCTGTTCTTTGGACACCAAGCAAAGCAAGGGAATGAGTGCAAAGGGAATTTGAACGGATTGGAGAACATTAAGCCATTCATTCAGAACATCTAATGAATCTTCTGAGGTATCGAATATAAGAGCAACTATCATGGTTGGGATGATTGCAAAACTTCGTGTAATCAACGCCCTCATCCACTTCTTCAACTTTAAATTCAGAAACCCCCCCATGATAAATTGTCCAGCATATGTACCAGTAATTGTGCTACTCTGGCCGGCTGCTAACAACCCAATACCCCATATATACAGGATTGGGAATAGTCCACCCCCATACTTCTCCTGAAGGTACTGCCCTGCGTTTCCAAGACCAATGTTGTTTGCTATTTCAGTACCATAAAACCCCTTTGCAAACACAGTTGTAACAAATATATTAATCACAAAGGACACTGCAAGGGCGATGGTGGACTCTATCGAGTAGTAATTAAGTGCTTCCTGAACACGGCCTTTCTTGCTGGGGTCAACCTGCCTTGATTGAACAAGCGCAGAATGCAAGAACACATTGTGAGGCATAATAATGCAACCGACAACTCCAACAGCTTGTTGTATAGTTCTGGAGCTAAGTTTAGGAACCAAAATACCTACAAAGATAAGATTGAAGGATTTATCAGATATGTTGCAAGAGCACACCTAGGAATTTACTCAAGATGAAGTAAAATTCTCACACATCCAAATCAACAAAACAAAACATTAAATTATACATTTGGTCCATATAATGTGTTTATTTTTAAGTTGTATGCTTTAGTCCCTATTAGTACATAAAAGTTAATTTGGTCCATGACGCTAGCATTAAAGAAGAATTTCTAGCAAGCAAAGTTTTTTATTTTAGAGAGACAAAAACTAAAATCGAATGAGTATAGGGAGAAACTGAAAACCAAAACAAACTTACCAACAAGAACATCAACACCATTAGGCTTTGCTTCACCAAACATCCACGCAAATGAGAGAGCCATTACACCAATCAGAACAGCAAAAAATGCCTCCAGTTTCCTCACACCATAGTTCTCAAGAAAGAGAAAAATGAAACTGTAACAAAACAAGGCAATTAAATAGAAGTTAATTGATGAATTACTTAATTTGAAATTAATAAATACAGTTAAAGAAAGAAAGGAAGGAGAAGGTTACTTACCAGTCTAAAGCAGTAACGACGACCCCAGCCCAAAGGGGAACGACGCCGTTACTGAGAATCCTGATAGCAATAGCGCTTCCAATAACCTCTTGAATGTCAGAGCCAATAAGAGCTATTTCAGTCATGAGCCAGAGCACAATCCTAGCCCATGTGGGGTACTCATCCCTGCACAGTTCAGCTAAGTGTCTCCCAGTGGCGACGCCGAGGCGGGCCGAGAGAAGCTGGATGATGAGGCCCATAGCCGTGGCCCACATGAGCAGCCACAAGAGCGAGTACCCAGCAATGGCCCCAGACTGAAGATCCCCCTCCAAATTCCCGGGATCCAGGAACGCGATGCTCATCAGAAATCCCGGTCCCGTGAACAACCACAGCTTCCGCCATGAGAACGGCGGCGCCTCCATGTCGCCATCGTGCTCATCGATTCCGACCACCACAACCTTCTCCGAGGAATCGTATGCAGTCTCTTCCTGCTCCTCCGCTAACAGCGGCTGATGGCGGTCTTGAGGAGGCATCGCGAAGTGAGGGAACGAACGAACAAGTGAGTGGCGTTGGTGTCACGCCGGCGTTGCTTTGAAAACCGACGGCGATTTTGGCGTTTTTGGTAAAGTGATAGTGAAATTGCATTCAAAATCAAAACAATCCAATTTTGTGTTTATCTTACTGAAATAAAGAATCCAATTGAAAAGTACCTTGTGTTTTTCCGAATTGAAAATTCAGTTTCTCTTTTATTTTTATTTTTCTGGCACTCTAATCTAAGTCTATTTATTATCCCGCTAGAATAAGGTTTCTGCTAGAACACGTATGATTGTATGTGTCATGACATGACATTGCATGCACGAAATTAAAAGAAGATATTATCTTTAGAATAACTGTTCGATTTAAATAGGAAAATCATTTTATGGATGAAAACCAAAGAAAAAAAAAATAAGTATACATAAAATTCAATGATCAAATAGATATAGAATGATACATATTAATATTTTAATTATCCTTTTGGTTATGAATATGGTAATATTTAATTGGGGAATTTATTAATAATTTTAAAAAAATAATCAAAATAAAACTATTAATAAAAAATATTATTTATTAAATAATTATTCAGAATAAAATTTAAAAAATAATATTTTATTTAAATTTATAAAATTAAAATTATTTTTAAATATTAATATTATGTAAATTTATATTTTATTTATACTAATATTTTATGATTACATTTTATTTAAATTATATTTTATGATAAAAATTTATTAAAATATATATTTGATATAATAATTTTTAAATAGTTTTATTTGAAATAAATTTAAAAAAATATACATAACTGTCAACAAATATACAAAATTTGCAAATATTTAAATAAAAACCTAACGGATTTTTTTATTTTACATGTCCCAGTCCCATCGAATTGTCATATGCAGAGACAAGGAAGATAAAATTTTGATTAAACCATGTGTAGAAGAAGAGGTGATTGAATTTAATAATTAGTTGCTTTCATCATTGCAAAATTTGGCTCATATATATATATATATATATAAAATATATATATATATATATATATATATTTAAATGTGTTAGGTTCATTATTTATTAAGTCAAATAATAAAGTAATCTAACTAAATTAAAAAGGTTTGACTAAAGGCATATGTCATGAAAATAAATTTGTGTAGAGACCATAGTAACAATTTCTAATTTAATGAGGGGTCAAATTAAAAATATTAAAACTTAAGTAATTAACCTAATTTTGGTTATTTTAAGGGGTCATGGTCCCCTTCTGGAAACACATAGACAGAACGTAGTTATAATCTCATTCTTTTCTTTCAATTAAAGCACTTAATTGTCCGATGCACTAATTTGAAGGAGACTATTTTAAGGTAAGCATGGTGGAAATTCTTTTAGAAGTAGACCCCACCATCGCAATGATGGTTATAATTAACAATAATAAATAAAGAGCATATGTTTAAACAAAATTACTGTGCCTCAATTAGACTCTTATAAATTTTGCATCTTTAAAATTATAAATATTTGGTTCTGTTATGCAAATAAAATATTCAAATTTTGGTAGTTTAATATTTTTGTAAGTAAATTGAGTCAAGAAGTCACCAAAGTAACCTTTCTTGAATTGGGCAGTTCATGAAAAATATTGAATGTTAGTGTTTGTGTATATTCATGCGAGTATTAGTTGGCCCAAAGAAAGATTAATATTTGGCCGAATTGCACACACACTTGTAATGATAAACATGTGATAATTATAAGGATTTGCTTTGTCGATGATAAATCAATCCAAAGACTGGTTTATTGTTGGACGTGCTTTATTGTCAATGTTTGATTATTACAACAAGATACCTCTAGCAGTTAATATTACTGTCCAAAGACTTGATATTAATGGTGCATTGGGTGTCTTGAGATAGGTTAAACCATTATTTGAATATATATATTTATAATTATATATTTTTATAATGTGAGCATAATTAATTTATTTCTCTTGTTCTAAATTCAGCTACAATTGTTTCTGTATCTGCCAATTTAAATTCTGTTCCGATCCTCAAAAGTATATTTCCTATTTTGGTCTGTTCTGAAGTCAATTTAGCGTCAGTACCCAGTAACACTTGGTGATTAGACTCAGGTGCAACTACTAACATCAGTGTTTCTATAAAGGGTTGCCTAAGCTACCGGAAGTCAATTGATTCTGAAAGATGGATATATGTTGGAGATGACAAATCGGTAGAGGTGGAAGCTATAGGGCATTTTAAATTGTTATTAAGTACTGATTTTTATTTGGATTTGAAAGACACTTTTGTTGTGCCGTCATTTAGACGGAATTTGGTTTCAGTTTCTTATCTGGAAAAATTAGGTTATTTGTGTTCATTTGGAAACAATAAGTTCAGTTTGTCTTTTAATTCAGATATTGTTGGAACTGGTTCACTTTTGCCTTATGATAATCTGTATTTACTTGATAATGTGACCACCTATAATGAAACCTTTAATATAGAATCACGGGGTACTAAACGTAAAATTGATGATACTCACTCAGGAGCATTATGGCACAGGCGCTTAGGTCACATCTCTAAAAATAGAGTTGAACGACTTGTGTTAAATGGAATCTTAGAGTCCATTGACTTCACAAACTTTGATGTTTGTGTTGAATGCATTAAGGACAAACAGACCAAAGCGAAGAGATTAGGTGCATATAGAGCTACAGACGTCTTAGAGTTGATACATACGGACATTTGTGGGCCATTTCCTACACCTTCGTGGAATGGTCAACAATACTTTATATCATTCATAGACGATTACTCACGATATGCATACTTATTCCTTATACATGAAAAGTCACAATCTCTAGATCTGTTCAAAACATTTAAAGCTGAAATTGAAAATCAACTCAATAAAAGAATTAAGTCTGTCAGATCTGATCGTGGTGGTGAGTACTATGGCAGATTTGACTGGGTCGAGTGAACGGCGTCCGGGACCTTTTGTCGGGTACCTAGAGGAGTGTGGAATTGTCCCACGAGTATACCATGCCGGGATCACCTAGCATGAATGGTGTATCTGAAAGACGAAATCGAACTCTTAAAGATATGGTCAGGAGTATGATTTGTCATTCCACCTTACCAGAGTCACTCTGGGGAGATGCACTAAAGACGACAACTTATATTCTGAACAGAGTATCAACTAAAGCAGCGACCAAAACACCTTATGAGCTTTGGACTGGGCGACAACCTAGTTTGAAGCATTTCCATGTGTGGGGTTGTCCAGCTGAGGCAAGGCCTTATAAGCCAAATGAAAAGAAATTGGACTCACGAAAAGTAAGTAGTTATTTTATTGGTTATGCTGAAAGATCTAGGGGATATAAATTTTATGATCCCACATTAAAAACAATTTTTGAGACGGGAACTGCTACGTTTTTTGAGGATATTGAGTTTGAGGAGAAGAATAAAATCAGGAACTTTGTCTTGGAGGAAGAATCGGTAACAATTCCAGAACCGATTCAAACAGTTACTTTTGATAAAGTAAGTTTGGAACCTCCACAAGGCACTCGTTAATGAACCCCTTACTCAAGATGATTTGGTTGTTCATGAAGAACAAACTCAAGATCCTCAAGAACCTGTGCATCATGAGCCAATAACTTTGCGGAGATCCACTAGAGAAAGAAGAAGTGCTATTTCGGATGATTACATGGTATTTCTTCAGGAACATGAGGAAAACAATGGTATGATGGAAGATGACCCAGTTAACTTCCGTCAAACCATGCAAGGTTCTAACTCTAAAAAGTGGATTAAAGCAATGAAGGAGGAATATAAGTCCATGCAAGACAACAAGGTTTGGGAACTTGTCCCATTACCAGAAGGTATGAGACCCATTGGTTGCAAATGGATATTTAAGACCAAACGGGATTCTAAAGGTAATGTGGAAAGGTATAAGGCTCGTCTGGTAGCTAAGGGCTATACCCAAAAGGAAGGGATTGATTTTAAAAAGACTTTCTCTCCAGTTTCATTGAAAGACTCTTTTAGGACAATCATGACTCTTGTAGCACATTATGATTTGGAGCTTCATCAAATGGATGTCAAGACGGCGTTTCTTAATGGCAACATTGATGAGACAATTTATATGGTGCAACCAGAAAATTTTGTGCAGGGAGATTCAAAGAGTATGGTTTGCAAACTGACAAAATCCATTTATGGACTAAAACAAGCATCTCGTCAATGGTACTATAAATTTCATCAAGTAATTCTCTCATTTGGCTTCGAGATGAATATTGCTGATGATTGTGTATATCACAAGTTTAAGGGGAGTAAATATATTTCCTGATCTTGTATGTTGATGACATTCTACTTGCCACTAATGATATAGGCATATTGCACGAAACCAATAAATTTTTATCAAAGAATTTCAAAATGAAAGATCTTGGTGATGCGTCTTTTGTATTAGGAATTCAGATACACCGAGATCGATGTCGGGGTATTTTAGGATTATCACAAAGGAGCTATATCGAAAAATTTCTTAAAAGGTTTGGTATGCATGAATGTAAATCCGGGGATACTCCAGTTGCTAAGGGAGACAAGTTTAGTCTCAATCAGTGCTCAAAGGGAAATTTGGAAATTGAGGAAATGCAAAAGATTTCCTATGCATCAGCTGTAGGGAGTTTGATGTATGCCCAAGTATGTACGCGTCCAGACATAGCATACATAGTTGGGGTTCTAGGCAAATATTTAAGCAATTCAGGAATGGACCATTGGAAAGCAGCAAAAATGGTCATGAGATATTTAAAGAGAACAAAAGATTACATGTTCACATACAGGAGGTCAGACCAGTTGGAGATCGCTGGGTTTTCTGACTTTGCAGGTTGTCAAGTTAGTTTGAAATTCACTTCAGGTTACATTTTCATATTAGCAGGTGGTTCGGTTTCTTGGCGCAGTGTCAAACAAACCCTTACAACTTCATCCACTATGGCAGCAGAATTTGTAGCATGCTATGAGGCGTCGAATCATGGAATATGGCTGAGAAATTTTGTCAC